TGCAGCAGTCGGGATTGGTGGCATCGAGTACTGTGACATCATATTGGAAATGATGGGCTGGTTTCCTGTTGGCACAGCAGCAAAATTCTACATAGTACTGTTGTTGCCAGACTGACACAGTTTCAGAATGTCATATTAACCGACAGGACACCATGTCTGGTTCGTGTGGAGAATTAGTGGAAGTAGACTGTAGTTGATATGGCAGCTGCAGATGCTTCCTTTTTTGGTGTTTATCAGTCTGTGTGCCAGCCATATATCAATCAATACTTTTCATTACTACCTCGGAAATGGAATACTTCCTTCAGATATAATTTACTGTTATTTGTGACCATCCTTTGACCATGTCCTCTTGTGCTGACACACCCTGCTGATGACCAGGATTTGGGCTATGGGCCGCCATGGTGCCACTATTTCAGGCAACTCGATCTGCCTCTGTCAATCCCTGGGATACAGGGTTCTTGCGCATGTTTAAGTTGGGAGGCACGACAGCCCTGCGCAGATGACATCATTTACAATGAGTGGGTTTCCTGCCAGTCAGTGTGAGATAGTCAGCCATCGGATGGTCCATCGGACGGTATTCCCATATATGCATATTTGTACCGCCATGCCTCAAAGGATGATCATGCCGTCTGACTCGGACAACTACTATCACAACATAACTTCCAGTCATCAGGAAATGTTCACGTGCCTGGGTTACCTGGAAACAGACCAAATCAGGTAATTCAGGTCAATAAGGAAGCCAGAAATGTTACCTGGAGCCATGAGGTGTCGTTTCTGGCTCAAGGTCAAATGCAGACTTGCCAGTCACCTTTCCAGGTGAACCCAGGTAGGTTTTAGCAGGGTGCGTGCACTTCCAGATTGTTTTCCAGTCATTGTAGTATGGTTGTAATCACATTAGAAATTCATATATTGCTCTCCCAAATGTTACAAAAGTGTCCGATATTGTATACTAACTAAATCCCTATGGTATCGTAAACTTCCCAGTCCAGTTATACTGCATCAGCGACGAAGACTCTCCTCCATTTCAAGATCGGCACCCTCAGAGATCGTCACCATGACGTGGGACATCGTTCTACACAAAAGATTGAGGTCAATGATACCAAAAAGCGAGTAAGTGAGGACTTGCCGTGACAATGCAACGATGCTTGGTGCTCCGCTCGTTGGCAGGCGGAGGAAGGCGAAGTCTCGAGACAGCTCTCATATCTCGGTGAGCTTGTTGAGAAGGAATCCCCCAAGGGAGTGTGTAAGGCTCTTCGTCAGATGCATTGACCATTTCCGCAGACTAGAGCTATTGGCGAGGTCAACACAATGCCTAATCAGAAAAGGACTCACAAAACGCTGCTCCTTTTCCCCTTCTTGATGAACGCCTCCTACCCACGACCCAAAACTTGTGCCCCCTCCCCACCATCGATCGACGCCAGCAGGCTAGTTGGCTGATCACCCCCTGTGGAAAATGAACTGCCATTGACAATCCCTGCAGTACAAAAGAGACATTAATATGGACGTGGCAGAGGTGAAGACGGTCGCACAAACCAGACATTGTACAAAAGCATGGCTGCTGCTTCAGGGGTCAGTGCTCCAATGCTCTCATTTACAAACCAGCCCTCCAAAAGACCCCCATGCGATGGTGGTGGCGTGACTAGAAGATTTGGGGCGTCTTCAGGGTATGTATCAGGATTAAGCAGAGGACAACTGAAGAACGAATAGAAAGTTAGCCTGGAACGCGCTTGAAGATGTGCACCATGTCATCTCACGAGTCACAGTCAGAACACTCACTGAGGCGAAGAGAAGGCGCAGCCGAGATGTTAAGCAAGGCACCGTGTTCACACGCTAGATGGGTTTTAAAGTGCATGAGGTTGCTTCTGCATTGTATATTCGATTGGGTCAACTAGAGAAGAGGAATATAATGTTGAGAAAGTACCACTTGGGGGGAGAATAAGGAGATTGACGAACAGTCTGGGTGTTTGGGATTTGGAAGGGTTCAGTGTTTGAGTGTATCGAGGCCCCCAAGTGTCGAAGCCCAGTGAAAATCAACCCTAAAAAATGGCCAAATGGATCGGTGGAGCCCGATCTGAACAGGGGAAATGGCCGGAAATTGGCAAATATATCGATTTGATCCAGAGGAACCCGATCTGCACAGGGTCGATTTTCACTGGGGTCGAAGTATTGAATGTTGGAGTCCTGTGTTTGAGTTCAGGCTTTCCAGCATACTGATATGATGTCGAGATTCATTGATGCACCTGCCTTGATCTGCACCTAAACTGACATAGCTTCAAGTTGTTTGCGCTCGTTATGCTCTATACGCGAATGACGGCGCTCAGCGCTAAGCAATGGGGCAAAGGTGTTGGTCAAGTGTCGGTTGGGAAGGAAGGGTTGTTGAGAGATGTTTGGTGGATGTTGAGATTGATCACGCTGTTGCCTCTTCTAGAAGCGGGGTTTGAATGGACTTGTCGAAATTTCACGAACCACGGTTGCCAAGTCGTTGCTGATTTGGATTGCCTGGAAAATGTCTGGGAATCAAAAGCCGCCAGGCGATCAGGCACATTCAGGTAATCCAGCACGCCCAGGAGCTTGTAGGTTTCCTGATGCATCCCATGCGACAACAAGTCAGTTGTGTCTGGATGGACCGTTTGGAAATTGCTTCCTTACATATGCCGATGTATGTGAGGGATACGTATCTTTTGATTCTACATGCACTGACTTGTATTTACCACAGTGATGTGCCGGTCATTGACTAGTCAATGGTAGTCATGACAAGTCAAAAGAAGTCAAAAGTCAAGTCAAATTGACCGTGACTTGGTCACCATTTACTAAATAAGGTAAGATAGTTAGATCAAAGTTAGATAAGCAACGAACTTTTGTACAGCACGGTCACTGCAACGCGCACAAAAGACTGGAATTTGTATTTGAAATATTTAATCTACAAGGGAAGGAAGGTCCTCAAGATCAGAGTTGTCGCTATCCTCGGGGGGCGTCTTTCTTCTCCGAAATCCAAGCGCAGCTGACAAACGGCGTGTGACCGGTATACGGCGCTCTGTATTATTTCCTTGGGTAAGACATTTCTAGATAGTGACAGTTAGAATGTCCAAATTATATAGAATTATCAACCATACTTGTATGAGCAAAGAAACCTCATTGAGAATCCCTTTCACCCGTTCAGAACTCGGGGGAATACACTCCCATTCACGCGCCAACTGTGCCATGTTGCTTGCAAATGCAGCATCAAAACTTAATGACCAAGCTTCCATGAGATCCTGCTTGGTGACGTCGTCAAGATAATGCAGGATCTCCCGACGTTGGTATACAACATCAGAAGTTGTCATAATTTCTTCTTCAAAAAATTAGTAGATTGTCACAATCATAAATTCAGAGCCTCACAATTTGCTGAAAAATTGCAGAACAGTGTACAGAGTTGGTTGTTTAGTTTGAGGATGTAAGCATCTATTCACAACTCCTGTCCTTTTATTTCTTTCCTTGCTCAGACTACCCGGGCCTGTTACTCTGGCCCTCCTCTGATCACTCCTGACACTCCGGATAAATGTTGGATTGATCATATATACTTCACACATGTAGTACAGAGTGCATATGCCAACGCGCATGCAAATTGCTCGTTATGTTATTGATAATCCCCACTCTCAAAGTAGGGCAGACCCTTCCCATCAGACCCTTACCATCACGGTGACTCACCTTCCCTTGAAGTCATTCATCACGTGCAAGTCAATCAAAAATCGATGTCAATGACTAGTCATGACTAGTCATCAAAGTCATGACCGTGACTTCCTGTTTTTAGTCATGACCTTCCAACACTGATTTACCAGCCTTATCAATGTGTCTGGATGGACCATTTGGAAATTGTCACATCGACCACGCCTGCTACATTTTTTTTGGGATCTGTTAACTTCACCACCCTTGTTCAGAACATCGACAAAATTGGTCACCGTTGAAGTGGTATACTCCAGGGCGTCACCTGCATGGGACTCTGTAACCAGTCAAGTTGTAGTACATGCAAGTAAATCATTGCAATTGAATAAGCATCCTTGCTGATGATCGCGTGACAATATGTACTGTATTTGTCCCCGTAAAAATTCTTTGAAGTGTTACCTGGAATCGGACGTCTGTATGAGACAGCGGTATCCAGGTCCGCCCGTAGGGCAATTTTCAACGAATTAAGTTTCATCACAAGTTCTCCTGAAAGTGTTTGGCACGGTCATCCTTTCCTAATAACGGCATCACCTTATAACAGATCGACATGTCGATATCAAACGGCAGATCCAAGTAGATCTCCAAACCTGTTTCGCAAAAATGCTGTGCATAAGTATGTACCCCAAGGTGTTTCCAGCAGATTCAATATTTATTGGCCATCTACTGGCGCGACGATCTCGAACCGCTCATCCACTGCTGTTTGAGTCTTTGACTGCGATACACCTCAATACAGTTGCTTTACAGGCGTCTACAACCTACGTCCAAGCTTATGTTGAATGTGGCGAGTAACATGCTTGGAACCTACTTTCGTGTTAATCTAGGTTTATCAAGGTATATTGGCCGACTCGGAAACAAGAGAATACTCTTAACACGCTTACTTCAAGTCAGTGGTGATTGCAGCCCCCACAAGTTCCCGCACATATCTCGATTGGAAGGCTAAAATTAACGGGATTGTTTTCAGAACAGCGTCTATTTGCTGATCCGCTATCCCCAATCGCTAACAAAAACTCCGAACTTTTGAAGATTGCTTGAAGATGAGATCTCCGCTTGACTCGGGAGATACTTGTCTCTCAAATCAGCCTAGCTACGTGTCGTATCAAGGTTTATAATGAACTCCCATCCCACCGTAGGGACGGTTTCAGCTCCTCTCAGATGTCAGCCCCCCATGGAACGCTTCAAGACATCATTACTCTTGGACGCGACCTGTGAGTTAAGGTCTTTTTTTCGAGACTGCAAGCTTCAAGTTTACCATTATCTTCCTTAGCCTGGCAATGAAAGTTAGAGCTCAATCCGGTAGAAAGAAAGAACTCTCTAATCACAAATGATCAGTGGTATTTTACAGGGTCGTGCGTTCTCCTCGCCTACGATTATTGTTTGACTTTCGACCGGGAGGTTGATGAGATTTGGTGGGGAAGGAAAACACCAAGTGTGTCTGGCACCCATGACTATCTTACCTCTCACCAATACTTAATCAACCGCGACAAGTTTTCTATCTTTATCTAAGTGTGAGTTTCTCCGATTTCAGATATTCTACACCCCCATGAACGATCGTCCAGAACCGATATTGCCCAATGGCCTTCTGCGTCGTCACTCTTTTCGGTACACCACGCAGCTTACTCAGATGGTCATGATCATAACTCAATATTATCCACGCAGCTTATTTCTCCTCACTATGGACATTTGAAGTAGCCAAAACATCAGCACTTTCTCATTCCATTCGCTGACTTTTTGTTCCACAGATGTAAGCACGACATCTCATCCCGCCCAAACCATTTCTATGATTCTCATGTCAATCAACTCGATCGGGTCAGCTGCAACCGCTTCGCGATAGTGGAATGGATTCAGACCTTACTTGTCGTTATACCCGCCGAAACTATACTAGTCTATCGGTTAGTATCTTTCGACTTTGACAGCAGCTGTCATAACTGTCAACTTTTTAAAAAAATGCCTCTTCGGCAGGTCATATGCCTTGAGCAACCGGAACAAGTTTATCATCGGTTTTTTAATCGCAATTATGACCTCGCAGTGTGTCGCTGTTGTCTACGCGATGTCGCGGCCTGGAACCAACGGCGGTATGCTTTCTTTATTTTAATTTTACTTTCCGCACTAACTTTGCTCCAGCTCTTCAAATCCCTATTTACAATGTGGATCCATTTCACGGTCCGTGCCAGCCTTGAATAGTCGAATCTTAGTACGTTAACCAGAGTATCCAGTTTGCATTCTATTTTCAGATCCCCGCATGTCAGTGGAAATGTTACTCGCCATTCATCGAGCTGATCATATCCCACTTTCAGGGACACAGCATACCTCTCCCTGACAATTATTTTCGACATCATCGTATTTTCTGTAACTCTCCATAGGACAGCGATCGACGCGTTCATCTCCCAAAATTCTGCTCTTTTACGGACCATCCGATGGGATGGGACAATCTACTTTTGCGTCATTTTAGCCGGGAATATCGTCTGGTTGTTCTTGGCGCTGTTTGCCAGGGTGAGCTCTCCCCCTCCCACATTTTAATTCCCTCACAGCTAAAAGAAAAATTTAGCCCGGCTTGAAATTCATGAATTCCCAGTACGTTCATGGGCGCTTTTCAGACTTGCCGAAAAATCTAAAAGTCATAATTCTAATTTTGCCAGGCCGAGCATGATGTATGTTCATCACCGTATTCTCTGACATCGCGTTGACGCAATTTTAGACTCACGTCAATCATGATCACAAGGCTGACACTCTCCCTAAGGCACGCGAGCCAACACGGAGGCCGAGTATTCGAGATTTCATGCGATGAAGGAAATTCCGGCTTGCAACTCGGCTGTATTCATGATGATGACCCAGGAAAAGAACCGGAATCGATTGTTATGACATCGATGGAATCGTGAGTATCTGAACGACCCCACAAATCCCTACTGACAAAATTTACCAAAGACCGAAAAGCACGGATGCGCTTGTAGTAAAATAATGGAACGACTCTCAGCATATCCATCGTCAGCAGGGTCTTTCGAATACATAATTGGTGTACTTCTCTCATAAAAAATTACAATATCCAATTTCCTGCCTACTGTTTCACTATCAAACCTATCAGTACTCATTAAGCAATGCTCATCAAGCTTCCGACGAACGTGAGGATCTACATTCACAAAGGGTGAGCCCAAAATCAAAGATAAAAAAAGACAGGGCGTACAAGTCTCGGACGAACATCCACGATATCTTCCGGCACCAAGAAAATGAGGGCGTTCATCTTCCTAGCGATCGAGATCGCCAATTTAGCTGGAAAGGGCAATGTCAAGGTCACATCCAAAGAACAGAAAAAGAACCCACCATTCTGTCGCCTATCCTCGTATTCCCCCGTCTCCGCGACGTTGATGACCAAGTTGGGGTCAACAATGCCAGGACGGATGGCGTCAAGGAGGTCGAGGAAGAACAGCCCGGTTGTGATGGATGGGTCTTTGAACGAGCGAATGGGGCGCACGCCAGTCTTTCCGGTTTGAGCGGTGGTATTGGCCCACTTGAGCATCTCCGTATCAGTCATTGTTTTGCCGGATTTCGAGAGTGCTGATAGGGTCTTGGCGATGTTCATCCTGCAACGATTGTTTACAAGTCAGAAGTCATAGCTTGGCAAGGAATGAGCAGAACGCACCGCATAAGCTGCCAAACAAGCCCAAGAACAAGTGTCTTTCGTCCATCTACAATATCGGCACCTTGAATCCCAACCAGATGCATCCCGTTCTGTTTCCCCAGATCCACCACGTAATTCGTGTTCTCTACGGCCTTGAACCTCGAAAGTGTGCTCTGATTAGGCGTGACACCGATATCTGCACCCTCATCAGCCTCATCGCCACCACCACTTGCATACGACCCCACACCAGCACCTTGCTTGGGCTTTGATACCTTCCGCCAGATGACACTACCCGGCAAGATCTTGTCAAACGCCTGAAGAATGATCAACCCGTCTTTAAGGTTCTCAAACAGATTGAAAACGCCAGGTTCGACGCCGAGGGAATTGAGCCAAAGGGTGAACACCCGTGCCTCCCGCTCGCCTTCTGCGTCAAAGTCTTCCACGGCGCCGTAGTCTTTGGCTTCCTGCTCATCAAGGGGCTCGAGTCCGGGGTGAGTGTTGAAGAGGTTGGCGACAAAGGCGAGGTTCAGACGTGGATTGCCGGCAATGAGGGAAGAGGGGGTGAGGTATTTACGGCAGCCGATGTTTGCTGCGTTTTGGAGGACTTGTTCGGCGCGGGTGCGGAGGTCGCGTGTTTGTAAGGGTGCGATGGAACACTCATCTGGTTTAAGTTGGTGCAGGAGGACAGTGTAGTTCTCGCCGTCCATTACGTCTCGGCTGAAGTTGTTCACTCTGTGGGGAAAGGGGTCTTAGTTTAGATCAATGAAGAGATGACTTGTCTCACCTTCGTTTCCAACCCGCAGCTTTCAAGTGGTAGTTGAACCATCGTAACAGGATCTGGTCTGGGGTAAGCCTCAGCAGGTCATCAATCGTCTCTCCCTCCTCGCATAGCCTATACAGCTCTGGGTGTAGCTTGATATCGACCTGTGAAAGCAAGCCCCTGCGGATTACTTGCCAGATCAACCCGAGGATGAGATGTTCGCGGCCTTCCGCGAGATCGGATGAACCGATGTTGACAACGGAACAACCGATACCCTTGGCTGACGTTATGACAATGTTGTTGTTCTCTGTGATTTGGAAGGCGTTGAGGGGTTTACGGGCGGTAGGTTTGTTGAGAACACGAGTGTCGATGGTATCTGGGACGGAGTCGTTGATGAGTTTACAGAGGATCAGGCCGTCTTTGCATTCGTCAAAGAGCTGCATCGTGTCTGTTGGGATCGGATGGCGATTTCCAATGTCTGGGTCATTTTCGATTACCTACAGAGCATTTAGCGGGATTCTGGGAAAAAGAAAAGGAGAGAGCATACGAGATTTATGTGATTTGTGAACTCTGCCCGCTCATCCTCGTTGATCGTATGGCTCACGTTGGAGTTGGAGCCCTGGACAGTGACCTTGCCTTGCTTGGTGGTCAGAGCGTCCTTCTTCGTCCGTAGCTTGACGTTGAGCTAAGAATCGGAACGTTAGGGTCGACGCTGGTGACATCATTAGAAGCTGCGCACCTCAACCCAGTCGTCGAGTTCGACTTTGCCACTGGCGTCAACGCTGACATGCTTGAGTGTTTCTCGGGCGAGATCGTACGACTGCCCACTCGATTGCAGAGCCTGGAGTACAGACGATTTGTCTACTCTCCCCGGTGTATCGGTGCTCAATGCACTGCGATTATCTAGTTAGATATATTCCCAAAACGACTGACTGCACTCACTTGAAGCGATTGACGAGATCAAACATCTCATCTTTGGAAACCTCTGGGTACTTTTTCTGTAGTTTGAGTGCCTCCATGGTTGTGGTTGTGGGTCAAGGATATTGTTTCGGACTTGGTTTGCTGTGTCGGAAGTCTCCGATTGTCGTCTATTATATACTTCCTCGACGCGCAGCCCACAGCTCTCCGCAGTGTCCCAGCAATTAAACAATCGAGAGCGCCTTCGACTGTTGCGCAGATTGTCAAGCGCCATTGCGCTTTGGGGACCGTGAAAATCAGAAAAAAATTCATCCGAACATGTAAACTTGAAATGAATGAACCCTTATTTTGTTACGACATTTCCAACGCTTTCGTCTGGCAACCACCCACTCTTCTACGTCGCGCGAATGGAAAACCCAACTTCTAGTGATGAGCGACGTGCTCAGGAAGTGCTTGAGCTCACAGACGCCTCGGAAAGCACATCCGCGAAAAACGATGAAGGTGAAGATGGGGACACCGACGAAGATATGGAAGGAACTGGAGAGGATGACGACGAAATGGACGAAGACGCGTCCTCGAGCCTTTCGGCGGGCGACGACCTCATAGTACGTTCCATTTTGTCCGATCTTTTTTCTCAAATAACCATGATATTGGCAGGGCGACTTGGAGGGCGTGTTAGACGGTGATTTCGAATTTGCAGGGAGCTACGCGTGTGGTCAGACATTGCCACAGGCCCCCAACCCTTGCCTCACTATCGCCGGCATGGGTTTAGTCGGACTACCGCTGAAAGAACGCGACGCCCGTAACATTATTGCGTGCTCTTCGCGAGCACCTTATGGTCACGGAGAGAGGACAGTCGTCAATGCGGATGTCCGGGATACCTGGGAGATCGAACCCGCGAAGATCAAATTTGACAATCCAGCATGGACACAATACGTTCGGGATCTGTCTGTTGATGTGGTGTGCAAGGCTCTTGGTGTATCCCAAAAGGCACCCCGTTGTGAATTGTACAAGCTGCTTCTATATGAAGTCGGGTCACAGTACGTCGTTGCCTGCCATCCCATTAGAAGCTGATATATGGTTTCGTTAGTTTTCTCCCCCACACAGAGTACGTTTTTCTCTTGGAATACCACGCCTGCTAACGCGTGTCTGCCTCAGTACTGAAAAGTCAAACGGCATGTTCGCGACGATGATTATCATCCTACCATCTGCATACACAGGAGGCCAAGTGCACGTCTCACATTCCAATCAAAAACAAACCTTCGATTTCTCATCCACATCCCTTTCCTCCACAGCCGTCTTGGCATGGTACACGGATGTCAAACACGAAGTAAAACCCGTCACCTCCGGCTACCGTCTAGCCCTCTCCTACAACATCATTCACACTGACATAGGCATCCCTCGTCCCACTCTCCCCGATACACACAAGTTTGTCACCGATCTGTGTCGTATTTTGAGGAAGTGGCGCGAAGACTTTTACGAGAACACTCCGGACGATAACATGGCTGCCTACCTCCTGGCGCATCATTACAGCTCCAAAAACCTCGCCTCTGGGATGTCTGCTCTGAAAGGCAGTGATACACATAAAGTCGCACATCTTAAACCCATCGCAGAGGAGCAAGGATTTTTAGTGTGCTTAGCCAATCTGGAGTACATGGTGTCCGGAGTGGCAGATGCTGACTACGACAGGCAAATGTGGAAACGCCAGAGGTTTGACAGTAATGAGGATGAGGACGAGGATGAATTTGAACCATGCATGGAAGAAGTTCTCGAGTCGAGTATGACGCTCAAGAACCTTTTCGACCTTCAAGGCAACTCGTTATGGGGGTCACATGAGAGCCATATCAATGATGATTCACTTGTTCCACGGGAACCTTTTGAGGATGCGGAACCTGATGATAAGGCTTATGAGGGATACACCGGTAATGTTCGCTATTTTCGTGTTGATGGCGTGAATCACTGGGACTCAATGCATTTTTAACTCCAAGGCTGCTGGAACCCTCGACTATTGTGCGCCTTGTTCCTCTCTTATCCCCCTACCAGTTTCTCACAACCAATCTTTGGCCTTTAGGGTACCGCAGAACGGTTTTGATCCTCGTCCACGAAAGCGATGCAGGCCATGCACTGTTTAACACAGGCGGGATACACTACGCACTAGAAGCACTCCGTGGATCAGAAGCCGAGCCCACTCCACCAACTGAAAATAACAAACGCCTAGCGGCCCTTGTGGTCAAGTACGTTTCCAGCAGGGACAAAGGGACTTTGACTTCCATGTTCAATCTCGCATTGAGGTGGAAGAATTTAGAATTATGGTTTTCTGTTATCTATCGCTCTGGGGCGAACGCCTTACAGTCTACGTTTGTCCAGAAGCAGTTGGTCAAGGCTTGGAAGACGTTTGGTTTCATTAATGTTGTGCAGAATGGGTATGTGTCCTGCGCATGTACGGACTTTTACTTACGAGTTGAATATATAGATACCGACACCTGTTGATGCGAACTACTAGACTCGGCACCCGCCTTGACTTCACTCAAGCACTTCCTGCATACGCTGCTGTTCATGAAAGAGAGGCCGTATTGCAGTGGTGCCAGAAAGAAACGGATCACGCAATGACCACGTATCGCTTGGCCGACGTCGAGGACATCCCCACTCTTCTCTCTATAAGCCAGACAAGGGGGATAGGATATCTGAAGGATGTGTATGTGCCTTAACTTCTAGACCGTAGAGCTATGACTGATACGTCCTTCAGCGTCCTATCCAAAGTAACGAAGGGTTCAGGGTTCTTCAAGTTCTCGCTTGCTCTAGTTACCGCAATCGACAGTAACAAGCAGTCCATCTTCGGACAACTATCATCCCTTGAAGATATCAATGCCTGTTTGGATAGTTGCTTGGAGGCCGCAGCCGAGCAGTGGGGGGGCACTACACCCACCAAACCGGTCTACAACTCTCATACAAGAACCAACACCTTTCCATCGCACACAGGCATTCCCCTCATCATCGACTTTGTGAAAGTGTGCATCGCCACCGGCCGTATGCAGTCCTGTAGAATCCTCTTTCATCGAGTCCTCAAAAGCGAGGGTGAGATCAAGCACAAGTTCCAAACCCTCTTCATCCCAATGATCAAACCACTCCGTGAACTCCTGAACAAGGAAGGCGTGGACGTCAGCTCTGGCCCCTTCCACGACCTCTTCCATCTCCTGATTGGGTCGTACCTCCAAGACGTATTGGGTGCAAAACCACGCCTGATCGCAAGGACAAAACTACGTAAAATCGGGTGTGGCTGTGCTGATTGTGAAAACGTTGATACGTTTCTGTTCTCAACCCAGTCGGCAGAGTTGACCCTTCGTCTAGTGAAAGCACGAAGGCTTCATGTGGAAAGCAGGCTTAACACCGCCTCCGACCTCCTTACATACCAAGTCATTCATGGAAGCCCTTATAGGCTTCACATAACGAAGACGGCTGAGACTGTCGAGGCGGGGAGGTGGTCAGCGCGGCAGACGAATGCGCGTTCGTTTTTGAAGAAGGTTGGGGAGGATGATGTGTTACAGAAGGTGATGGGGACGCGGTGGGATGACGTGAGGAAGGCCATACAGGGAACTGAACCTTTCAAACTCGCACAAGTTGCTCCTGTGCGGAATCCTCCTCACCCTCAGGCGGCGCCTCGGTCGAGGGGTGCTGAGCAGATGACTGGTCAACAACCGGTTGTTTTGGGGCCTGTGATTGACCTCACAGATGACAACCCATGACGAAGCGAAGCTGGTCGCCTCATGCAACGTCATACCTAATCGCGTATGCTTACCTCGCCTGTTTTCTTCATTCGTAATGTCCCAGGATAGAGCCCCCATGGCAGGAAACGCGATGGAGTGGAGAAACTTAGATAACCCGAATCACGACCTGTCAAAGGAACAAAGAGAGAAATTCCGAAAATGAAATATTGTACAACACATTGACGATGACGACGACAGGCTTTCAAAAAAAAAAATTAATCCTCGTTGACACGAGGTTGTGTTAGGTGGCCTAATTTTCAGTTATCGCTTCACAGATTTATTCAAACAACGAATACAACATGGGAAAGAAATAGGTGAAGAACATATGTTCGGAATTCAACAAAGGGAATGCAAAGAAACTGTTCCAACAATTGGTACGCGATAAAAAGTTTAAGATTTGATGTGCTGTAACACTGGTGATTGAATGCGAAAAATGCAATGCTCCAACATAGTAAAAGGAAGAGATACGCAGAGGCGAGTTGACAGTGTGTGGGGCCTGCCAAAGTGTCAGAATAAATCACAATAACAACATGGAATTTTCAAACTCTTGGGTAAACCCCGCGAAGCAGACAGCGAGCAGGACCATGCAATTTAAGGACTAGCGAAAATAAAGTGCTGAGGTTTAGACGATGCGCGAATCAGGGGGGTGCTTACTTGACTAGAACCGTCGTATGCTGAGCACACAATCCAAAAGCAACAGAAGCAACCAATTGCCGCTTCACCTGCGCGACAATGTCGGCGGTGCCACGCCCGGTGAGACGATGCCCGAGACCTTCAAGAAGGCCCCCAACGATCATCCAGGTGTGCAATCACGCATCTGCCTGCCCACGCCCCCGTGAAGGAGCGACTTTCCACACCCGGATACACCAGTACCCAGGATACTTTAAGGCATATGTGGCGCAGCGATTGGTTGTTCTGCAATTGAAAGGGTGCCCGCCAATGGTAGTGTGCTGGGGCCGTGCTGGAATACTCAAAGGGTGGCTGACAAGACCATAATAATAATAACAAATGCGAGGTGAGAATTGTGAAAGGCGGTGTCAATGAAAAAAAACGCACAAATTGGATGGTTGCTGCCAGCAGAACAAAAGAAACCGTAAGAAGGAACGGCAGATGGTTGAACGCGCCACGCTGGGAACAAAAGGGTGCCAGTATCGCCTCGATAAATGAATGTAACTGGGGGGAACTTATAATAGGATAAAGAGCGAGAAACAAAAGATTGGCAACGTACCGATTTATGAACACGCCGTACTTCAGCGAGTCCAAAGCCGCCGCGAGACAAGCCAAAGCCGCTTATGCACCATGTTGGAACGAAGCCAACCTTCATCCAGTTGCAGTCCTGGCAGATGGTGTGTCACTCCGGCCCCACAGGACTTAATCCAGTGTGGTTCCATGCCAGCACCTCAATACCTGGGTCGATTACACACCCAGGCAAGAGATGCGGCGACTTTCAACGCTTAGCCTCATGGGCTCCACGCATTAGGAGATGTGACCGCGGCAATAGTTGACTCGGAGACGGAAACGGATTGCTCGCCTAGGCTGAAACGCGCGAGGGCGTGAGCGATGGTAATGCTTGACACTATATGCTGCTAGGCGATGTTGGTAAAATGGTGAGGAGGCAACTCGGAGTTGGGCGATGGTGGCTGACTGGATGAAATAAGTCGTCAAGGTACTTGGCAATATGGTCGAGATCGCTTAGAGGCTGGCGGCTTTCCGTAGCGTTGAGTATGTGTGGCTGACATTGAACGATAGGAGGCGAGGAGGCTGGCGACATAGCGTAGCGTTGGTAGGCCGAGCGCAGTGTGTGGAGGGAGGCGAGGCATGATGGCAAGACCTAAGAGGTAGAAAAGAAGAAGAGGAAGTGTCTATGCGGTGATTCAAGCACGGCGGGCACAGTAATAATTGAGAGTGTTGTGGTGGTTTGAGTAAGAGCCATGGGTTACATCAAGCAAGGAGCTGAACAGCAATTTATACCCGTGCGTATTTGGTGCGTATTTGGTTGAGCGCGTACCATGTTTGGGCGCCAAACACACACAACGAGTCGTGTTTGTATAAAGGGGCTACTCATCTCTTCAATTGTCCACAGCATCGCCCACACTTTGTTCGCCACCAACATCTGGCTTGATTATGTCTATTGCTTCTTGCAAAATTGTCTTTGATCTCCACAAGAACGTTCTTCAGCTCGAGTTACTTTCATCGGCATGAAGCTTACGCCACTCACGCTCAACGCTCTGGAAAGTCGCCAGCCCAAGCAATCCAGACGACACCGCCAAGCACAACAGAGATTTATTCCACCCATGTAAGCCACCATCGCCCAACTCCGAGACGCCTCCCGCCGTTTTACCAACATCGCCTTCAACAGCATACCACCTTCAAGCATCACCATCGCTCACGCCCTCGCGCGTTTCAGCCTAAGCGAGCAATCCACTCCCGTCTCCGAGTCAGCCATTTCCCCGGTCACATCTCCTAATGCGTGGAGCCCATGAGGCTAAGCGTTGAAAGTCGCCGCATCTCTTGCCTGGGTGTGTAATCGACCCAGGTATTGAGTTGCTGGCGTGGAACCACACTGGATTAAGTCCTGTGGGGCCGGAGTGACACACCATCTGCCAGGACTGCAACTGGATGAAGGTTGGCTTCGTTCCAACATGGTGCATAAGCGGCTTTGGCTTGTCTCGCGGCGGCTTTGGACTCGCTGAAGTACGGCGTGTTCATAAATCGGTACGTTGCCAATCTTTTGTTTCTCGCTCTTTATCCTATTATTTCCCCCCAGTTACATTCATTTATCGAGGCGATACTGGCACCCTTTTGTTCCCAGCGTGGCGCGTTCAACCATCTGCCATTCTTTTCTTTCGTTTCTGCCAGCAACAATCTAATTTGTGCGTTTTTTTTTTGACATCGCCTTTCACGATCCTCACTCCCTTTTTGTCAGCCACACTTTGATTGTTCGATCACGGCCCCAACACACTACCATTGGCGGGTGCCCTTTCCATTGTAGAACAACCACTCGCTGCGCCACATATGCCTTAAAGCATCCTGGGTACTGGTGTATCCGGGTGTGGAAAGTCGCCCCCTGACGGGGGCGTGGGCAGGCAGATGCGTGATTGCACACCTGGATGATCGTTGGGGGCCTTCTTGAAGGTCTCGGGCATCGTCTCACCGGGCGTGGCACCGCCGACATTGTCGCGCAGGTGAAGCGGTGACTGGTTGTTTCTGCTTTTGGATTGGGTGCTCAGCATGCGACGCTTCTATTCTAGTAAGCACGCCCCCGATCTACGCATTTTCTAAACCTCAGCACTTTATTTTTATCAGACCCATAGCCCGTTGACCATCTTCAGTTCACGCAAGAGTTTGACAATTCTATGGTGCTACCATGATTCATTCTGACGGGATCTTTCTCAGGCTCTAAACCACCCAGCGTATATCCACGTTTCACTATTTTGGAACAGCTATGTGCGTATTCATCGGGCCAATCATTGTCATACACTAAATTCAAACCTTTAGTTGCGTAGTACTTATTCTCAGGCTTGTTTTCTTTCATGTCATTTCTATTCCTTTCGCACCCACTTCATTTTCATTTTCGTATTTTATTTTATTTTCCGTCACCACCATAATTAGTATACACAGACCTCTCTCCGTAGCGCCCCCCGTTGAGCTATCGGTGTGGAACCCATAATGATTACCAAAATTTGAATAAAACATTATGAGAATCACCCTTTCCTCATTTGAGCGCGTCTCGACTCTTTATAGGGAGTACTTTGGGCGATGAAGGTGCACAATAATAATTAGTAGCCTCCATTTTAGCTCATAGACGAACCATGTAGCTAAGACTCACAATTGTACTTACATTGCACTGTGTCTTTAGAAAGCTGCATTCGTCGTTTATTAAAATGCTGCAGAAGGATGCCTTCTTGAACCATGTAAATAATTGTAACTGGCGGTATGAGTAGGAAATACGTCATAGAAATTTGAATTGACCGGGACAGTATGCGCTACTGCTCTGAAATTAGTGCCATAGCTTGTGGCCTCGTTCTTGAATTTACTGGACTCCCAATGACGTCCCAAAGATCCAGGCGGGTGGCGTGAAATCGCGCTCGCGGAGTCGTACCTAAAATGTTAGTCAATTCGCATTCTGGTGGCGTGAATGCCTAAAGGATCGGAAAGTATAAGAATTTCCGTTCTGAGAGTGGCGCACCAAGAACGAAAGACTGACAGATTGTGTTCAAGCTGGCGTATCCTGTAGCCGGCTGATAGGTGTCATTATCGACGTCCGCAATTGAGGACCCACTTGAAGATTCAAACATCAAGGAGCCATTCCTAACTGTTGGACCGTTTTTCCGTTGACATGGTGGAGAATTTCAATTCGATTGACGAAAGCAAGGTAAGATGCCGTGATGTCCGAGGGCCGATAGATATCTATTCAAGCGGTAAACAGGTAATGGAGGTTGAGTAAACGCTGTGAGTTCAGGTTGTGCGCGTATAAAGTGATTCAGAAGCTCTCGGAGGAAATTAGCACAAGTACGAAATTTGATCGGGTATTGGATTCCTCACTCGCGAGCAGGTGGAAGGATCGGCGCGTTTGAATAGTGTTATGAGGTATACAGTGTGTAAACTGGCGAAGTGAGTACGCCTTTCTGTTTGGCCTAGGAATTGCCGTTGTCAATGGACGGGAATTAATCGACTGACACGCAACGCACCATGTTGATAGTAAATGGGGCTTGAAAGGTTGGGTATCTCTGCTTTCAAGACCTATACTTACCCTCGCTAGATGCATTGTTCACCACGCGCTCCAGTGATTGATGCGATAACGGGGTATGGGAAACTATAAAAAGTAATAGATGAGAGAGTCGTGTGAGACGTGAGGCATGTTGAGAATGATAAAAGTCGACTGCTGTGATTATTGGTCGCGAGATCAACAGCAAATTAGTTTGAGAGAACGTGCATTTGAAAAATTGTAGGGCCTCCAGATGTGCGAGTATTCATTATATCGGATCCCGAGGACCTTGTCCAGGGAGCAGGCGACAAAAACACGAGCTATAGGAACGAGGTCTAGAGTGCTCGAGCTAATACAGAACGAAGGTCCTAAGGGCGCTTGACATTCGAATCCCGTTGTCGGGCTAGTGGTTGGGGTGTCCAGGAGGTCCGGTTATTACATCAAACTGCAGGACAGGATCGTGGGAACTTCGCGCAGAAACCACTGTTGCCGATTCAAGGCTCAGACTGAGCATTTCGCAGCCAAGAATGGTATGCCCAGAGTGCCGCTCACCCCTCGTCGTCGCAAGTAACGGGTGATAAGTAGTCAGGAACGCACAAAGTTGCACGGCTTCGATGACCTTTCTCTCGAGATTTCGCTCTTCCTCATCAAAGTCGCATTTCCAGATTGACAATGAAGTCGTTCCAGCCCACCATCATGGAAAGAAGCCAGCCAACAGATCGTCGCTCCTTCTAGTGACCTTATTTCCGCACTTCCTCGTTTATCGTGCCTTGCGAAATGCCTCCGTCATGGCCCAGGAGCGCGCAGACTTGCCAGCCCCCCAGCCAGGCAGCCCAATGCGTCAGTTTGCCTTCGAGTTCTTCGCGTCGGTCGCTCCAGCCCCGAAACCCCAAAGATTCGTTTAGGTGGAGAGGTCATAGAGAAGATAGTGTGGAGTCGGAGCGTCGACTCGACTCAGCCTGGGCGCTTTCATCAAGGATTCAAAAGCCCCGTACGGGAGCATTGTGTTCCCTGATTGCCATAGTCGGTGTTCGAAGGTTGCATTGTCGGACGCGAACGCATCTTCGACTTCCTCTGAGTTCTTATGGTCTGCGCAAGCGCAGAGCAGGAAGTCAGGCACGTAGTTGCGAGTTTATGCGTAGAAATTCTACCCAGAATTCAGGATGATGCAAGTATAGCAGTTCGACCCAAGCGACCGTCGGAGGAGTCGACGAGGATCGTTTTACAGGAAGTGATACTCCTCGGGCCCGGATGCTCCCTCGAACTTTCTATTTTCATAGAAGAGAATGATCTCTGATGAACGTCAACTCACCTGATTCCGGGAGTACTTCAGCCGTAGGTGTGGGGAGAAGATTGAGTGTTTTAGATATTGGTACCGGTGGGGTTGAGATTTGTTGCCATCGCGGCTGCTTTACAGAGTCTTTGAACACCATTTTCCATTTATGTTGTTGAGGGTGAGCAAACTCGATTGACTCATTGATGATGGTTATTGCGGGAGGGCTACCGGGGCGGAGACGAAGCGGAGACTCGACGTCGACTCGGTCATTATTGTAAGTTGAAGTTGTTGTTTACACCTTTACAACCCGTGAATTAGGCGTTGTATAAGGTGTGTGGCTTCTGTTCTTTTCATATCTACTTCCCGGAGATTACTCTATGTTTTTAGTTCCCTTGCAACATGAGGACAACGCGTGCTAGCTAACCCTTATTCTGTTCGTCGCTGAACATTCAATGCACGCGACATTTATTTCACGCGCCAGCTAGAAAACTACATCAGGACCCAGGTCGTTTTGAACACACTCAATTTGATGCAAGTTGTGACTTGTCCCGGCCCTTGCACGCAAAGCCTCCGCCCGGTTGACCCTTCTTCTACCGACCCTCTTTACCGATGTAGAACCGCCGACCCAGCGGAAAGCGCAGCGTGGTGGAAAATTGGATTACCCAAGTTCAGTGGTTGAATATCTATCACTGCTGGGAACAGTGAAACTGAGAGAGCGTGTGTTTATGTGTGCACAGATCAACCTATGTACATTTCTACAGTATCGTAACACGGTGCATACGCGTCTTGACGTGTCGATTCTCAAGGTAAGTATCTCGCGGCCCGACGTCCACGAGCACGGCAGACCTGAACAGGGCGACGCTGCGTCCGTCTCCCCAACTATAAGTGGTAACCCGTAAGTACTTGTAGATATTCACCGTCTGCCTCGTTTTTCTCGGGCTGAGCAAGCTATATAAGTACCAACGCGCGCCTGAATTTCGAGAAAGACATCGGCCTCCGTCAGGCTCCCCAACTAAAACCAGTAACCCGTAAGTACTAGCTGCCTCGTTTTTCTCGGGCTGAGCGTGATTTGGAAAGCTGAAGGCTGACTTTCGAGAAAGAAAAAAAAAAGATAATAAATGTTGGAGAGATCCGCTTCAAGGGTTGTTTTGATCATGATTGCTCCGTTGTTTGTAATCGTCCTCGAGGCGTTCAACATAAACATCTGACTGAGGATCGTCGTTGACCAACGTTCAACACCAATTTTGTTTGCTGTGTTTGTTCTTGAATGCGAATCAAAGCGATGCTCAGATCGTCTGAGCTCATGGAAAAACTTGAATATGCATGTGGTGCGTAAGTACTAGCGCAGTGGAGGTAAGTCGATGTGGACGTACGTGCCTGGATATGCGATCGCCAGAAGTTAAAAACACGAGGCGTATACTTTTACTTATACCTGATTCTGAATGGAAGTAAACTTGTAATAGGTATGTATGGTGCGGGCGGTGTTGAAGGCCATTCATATCATATACGTGCATCAAATCAATGACAACCTTTCCTTGTACTTACTTACTTCAACGCGTGCAGGGAAGTCATAAATGGAATGCATAGATGGGGCAAGCCATAATTGAATGAATGAATGAATGGTGTTCGCCGAAAGGTTCGTGTGCACAGGTCAGCGCTGGTGCTATTATTGAATGTTCTAATCGCGGACCAGTGGGTTTTGTTAAGAATTTTTGAGCATGTACGACGTTGGATCCGTCGTCGGGATGTTCTTGGCTCCTGAGCGCCTCGGATAGATACATAGATAGACTGATTGTAACTTGGTACCTGCGTGGTGTTGCAACACTGATTCGAAGGAGAGGGGCAACGAGGAGAGATGATGTCGTCGACGATATGATCGATCCCTACATACGTGCCTGATAGCCGTCTGACATTTGAGATTCTGAAGAAAGACTTCAGAGAACTCCTTAATCTGTTATTTTGGGTCCAATGCTGCACAGTGCCAAGAGAGTCGCTCAATAGAGTCTCGGAGGCCCGGATAGATCACTGTAGATTATGCTGGTGGTGGTATTGGAAATGGTGTATATCAGTCGATCGAATCGCGTTCATCTTGTAGTGCATACGTATGCATGAGCAAACATTGCAGAATTGCTCCTTAGGAGAGATATCGAGAAAGCGTTTAGTGCGGTGTTCGTCATTCGGAATGTACAAATGTACGTTGAGGGGCATCGTCGAGGCCGAGGGTTCTGAGCTAGAATCTCTTACAATCTGCCGTACCACTTCGTCAGATTAAGGTAGATTGACGTCCAAGCGTCTAGCACGTACAGTTTATGAGAGCATGCGGTGAGCCGAGATGTACTGAATTGTGGGAGAACGGTTTTTGTGGGTTTATTTCCAATCAATTGTGGGGTAGGCTCCTAGGAGTGACTGCCACGAGCAACATCGCGACGTGCATACCGGCAAGATATGTAGAGGGGCCCGCTTTCCTAGGAGCATGTTTATTTCTGAGTTGAAGCTTACCTGAGCTAACGTGTCTAGGGCTGCTGACGATGCCGTTATACCGCGATCGAGCTGTAAATTTGGAAGGAAATTTTTGACAAAGCCAAGTAATACGGAGACTCTCGCACAGGCTAAATCGGCCAGGAGAAGTAGTTTTAAAGTGACAGCCGGAAGATGATGACAGCTGCCTGGTCGCGTCCCCCCTCGGAGCGACTCCTCACTCACAGGAATAGATGGACGGGGTAAGATCTTGAACTGCGATGACGTCTGCCCCAAAAAAAGGGACGCGCAGAGTTCCGTTGGGTTAGGTAATGATGCAATCAGAGCCAAACAACCCGTTGCTTCCAGAAGGCGGGGTCAGGGTTCTGGAATGTCGGCGGCTAAATGCGGCTAGACGGGCTTGGCTGCTTTTTTTTTTTTTTTTTGCCAGGGTGGTTGAAAGTATTTTCAGTGGGAGAGCTGAAGACAGAGCGAGAATACCTGGAGAAGAGCACTGTAGAGGATGGGGTTTGGGTAGAGCGACTACGCAATTAAAGAGCGCGTCGGATGAAGTATATGCGCAGGGCGGGAAAGGCACGAGAGAGGAATTTCGGAGAAGCAAACAGTTGTTAAACTTAAACTTTGTTTGGTTGTGTGTCCGGTGGGCGATTTCTCAAAATGAATATATCCGACATCCCTTTGAACCTCCCATCGCCTCTACTTCTTCCTCCCACCCTCTTTGCCGCGACATCCTCCTCGTCATGAACGTCCCCGACAATGTCGACCGCAACAGCATTATCACCCTTGACGACATCCTCGACGACGTTCCACGCGACCACCGTTTACAGAACTGGATTTCAGAACAGTGTCGCTTTACAGTAACAGAGCACTCGCCGTCGTTGTCCCACACCCAACACCACCAGTCAGACTCGCTGTCAAGCATAGAGTCAACTATTCCCGCCATACGTGCCGACTCTCCTTTGTTGGGCTTTCCTTCCGCGTCCGAATGCGATGCCTCACATGATCCTCTGCACTTTCCGTCTCCCACATACGCGCGTGATCTTCCACAATTAGAGCCAGTAGTCGAAGTGGTCCAACATTCTCCACACGAAACTGACGAAAGGCGGATCGAAAACGTCGTAAAGACGCTTTCTCTAGACAAGGTATGAGTTTGCCGCACAAAGACGCGCATATACTGACCTTTCTCATGACAGCCTTTGCCTGCACCTCCATCACGCGTCGGCCTGCCTCCGTCTTTTACGCGATTGCCCTACCAGCCCAAACCATTGGGACATTCTCCCAGTTCTTCGCAATCCTCGTCGATTCATTCACGTCATTCTCAGGTCCATCTGCCACAGGCACACACGCGCACCCCTTCAAATATGTCTCAATCCTCTATCTCGTCCACCAGATTGGCGACACAGCATGTGGCACGCCGTCCTTCTCTCGCACACCAACCCTCCCTTCCTCTACTTGGAGAGACAGCTGTCCTTTCGACACTCCCCTTTCCAAACTCTATCGTTTCGCGGTCGCGTTCGCATTCAGCTGCGTCCCTATCTTCTCAACACGGCCCATCTGCCATTCAGTTCACGCAATCGTCTCCCCTGCCCGCATCAGCCGCTCCAACACGCAGACAGTCATCCCAATCTAGGTTTACTTCCATCTCTTCCACCATGTCATTCTCCTCTGCCCACCCCTCAGAGTCCAGTATTCGCAATGCTGTGTATTTCGACTCTCAAGAGGTCAGGTATCGTTTGGATTCACTGCTCGCCACCGCCACATCCGCTCCCACACTTGGGCACACTGATGATGACGCACAAGAAATCGAGATTGGGCGGATGAACACACATTCGTCCACTCTTGCGCGCTCGAACGGTGTGCCTCCCAACACGCCTACGACAGCGTATTACCGAACGCCGTATGCCTCATCATCTCAGATCTATCTAGGAACGTCGTCCAGTAGCCAATCGTTGGAAACATCGCCTCTAGCTGATGCGGCTCCGATTCGACCTTCGGCGGCTCCGCCGCTGATCGTCGACTCTTCTTCTGATGAGTGCGCGGCCCACGGTGACATCTCAACGCCAGGCACTTCTCCAGCCATGTCATCTCTTGACAAGGATTACCGTCCCTATGGATACGAAGGCGCATATTACGATGAGCTCGGTATGCAAGAGCATGATCTTGCGCCTCCTACATCGTCCAGGTGGTCGTTGACCTCTTCGACTCTCGACCTTTCTAGTCCAGAGGGCGCGGGGAGCAACAGAAAGAGCATCCTCGGAGCGAAGGGCAAGAGGGGACGTCTTGCGTCATTTATCTCCAGGCTTTCAGGCGTTCCTCCTTCGGGCTCTATAACTGGCACGTGGGAGCCGATGCCTCCCACACCTTCGAAGGAATACACGTCGATTACGCCGACTAACGGTTTTCATTTTGACGATGGCGTACCTCCAACACCCACAGACGATGATAACGATGACGGTCCCATGATCTGGGCGAGTGACGCCCGATCAAGGAAGGAGCGTTTGAGCATCAATACAACCCTTCTCGACCGTGACTTCAACTCTGATGGTAGGCTCCGCAGAATTAGCTTTTCCCATCCTTCCTCTCCGCAGGTTTCACCCATATCTGCGAGGGACACTGTCAATGGTCGTCACCGTCTCAAGAGTATGTCTAGTTTGGGATCATTGGCAGCCGTTGCGAAGAGTCAGAGATCAGGGTTTAAAGGGCTCGCCGCTCGCATGGGATTGGCGCCCCCGATGCCTTCACCGCTCGAAGCTGGTGGGGCTGGTTGGGGTAAAACAAACAAGAAGAGGAAACTGGTGATCAGCGGTCTGAACGAGACGGATGCGGCAGGCTATGAGGCGGTTAGGTCCTGGTGTGAGGTGGGTAATGACAGGTCATCCTCATCAAACGCGATACTAAAAAAAAAATTAGGGCTTTGGTGAAGTGCGACACATGAAGCGCAAGGCGAATGGTTGCCTTCATGTAGATTTTAGAAAAGCAAGTGTGGCAGAGACGGTGAGTCCCTCTCTTCTAACCACCCACGCCTACAATGCTTTCTGGATGAAGTGCTTATTCTGGTGCGTCTAGGTGTGTCGCCTGCAGGCTCAGGTGAATATCAAAGGCGCAGGAAGTGTTTCTCTTTCTTGGTACACCAAGAAGGGGATGCACTAGGCTCCGGTCTCTCTCGCAACCTCAAAATTCATTTAAAACTGTCAATACCAACCTCATCAACATTGCATTGCCATATATTATCATCAGCATCATCAACCACTTGTTATCTTATTCTTGACTTGTGCATATCCGTGCCACCTCGCTGTCCTCACGAACTCTTCTCGCTTTTCATTTTCCTCTCCCATTCTACCTCGCATACATTCTTAGACTTTTCTCCTTCCACTCCCTCCTTGGCTCGATCCTGTCCTTGTCCTGCATCCGCTCTCTCCGGAAACATTCACTCACGCTCGTATTGCCACCCAGCGCTCCGCAACACCCAACACCAACTACACAAGTCTGTCATGTAAATACACTCTCTTTGGACACAACCCACGCTCCTTATTGCATGCATACCGGAACTATCTCACCCCTGACGCTCTTTGGACTCCTTTCACGCGTAGCGACAAGCGCACCCACCATCCTTTATTTTTCCTTTTGTCATACGGCCCTTCACACTGGCCCACCACACTCCCTCGCGGTCTCATCTCTGTTTTTCCCCCTTGGTTGGTTTGTTTGCGTGCCCTGTACCACCACCTCATGCGTGTACTCTCCTGGTGTATCTATATTCCGTGTACCATTCCCCTATTCGTCTCCACCGCTCGGCAATCTCTACAGCGTCAATCAATCAGTGTTTCCTCATCGCATATCACCTGGATTCTCTCTCTCCTCTTCATCTCTACCAACCACATCATTGTTCATGATGTAGGATAGGACACCCCAAAAATATTTATCGTGGGACTAGCTAGCTACCTTAGATTTGTAGCTGAAGAAGAAACAAAATAAAAACATTTCGTATAATCCTTGCACTATGCTACGAGCTCGTCGATGAAATCTCGACCGAGACTACGCGATCGATGGGACAATTTGATTTACCAGGATCTAATCTCATCTGAGTTCCTTAGATATGGTTCATGACATATCGTTTCTGTGGATCTATACCTGGTACCAGCCTACTAATCGTATATAGATAGATAAAATGATCGGATGATTTACATATGACAAATCTCCAAGTGATCACTGCTATGTAGGAGTCGACTGTACTGTACCGTCAAAGTCGCAGTGTCTGGTGACTCCGGTCGACTGGTTCATTGCACTATGAATGCGTGGCGATTACCTTCTTTGAGTATAAATATGTTGAAGGAAATTTAGAGATCTAGAGTCATGGAATTTCGGATGAAGTCAGGGTTGAGTCAGGGAGGAGAAAGTCACCCCCGAGTTGATGTTCTAATCGCGTGCGTGTGCACGCGGCACGCCCTTGCGCAGTATTATGAGTACATACTGGGACTTGAGAACTTGCTGTATGGAACGCGGTCGAGTTCGGATTCGGAGCATGAGTCCCGACGACTCGAGCATTTAAAAAAAATCCTAATCACCTACGCTTGGACGCGTTTGTTGTAATAAGAATAAATACATACTAGGATTTGAGAAGTTGAATGGATTCCGAGCACGGAAGGTCGATAGCTAGGTAGTCGCCTACGCGTGGACGCTTCCGGTGCCACAAGAAGTGTAAGGAAGGTAATTCAGAAGTTGACTGGAAATGCGCTCAACTTGGACGACAACTAATCGCCTACTACGCATGGACGTGTCCGACGCAACCGAACCACCATTCCGGCAAGACGGAAGCTCGGTTATGGTAAAACGGGTTATGAGAGGACAGATAACTCGGTATGGCAAAATGTCACCTTATGTTAGTATATCTGCCAAGTGGCAATGGAAACGATCAACGTCAACGTCGCGGGCGTCACGGTATAAGTTGGGAGTGCGAGCCTCACGCAAATGATGGGCAATTGATGCGCCATTGACCGGCGCCGGCATATACTTATGGTGTTTACTATCTAGCGCTTTGAGATCGAGTGTTCCTACCTTGGTATACTATATTTGCCAAGTGGCAACGGAAACGATCAACATTGCGGGCGTCACGGTATAAGTTGGGGAGTGCGAGCCTCACGCAGTGATGGAACGGTTGATGCGCCATCGATGCGCCGGCGTGTATGAACCTTACGGTGTTTACTATCTAGCGCTTTGAGACCGAGTGTCCCGAGAAGCGTTGGGTTCAATCGCCCTCAATTGCGAAATCAAGTCCTTGCATCAATCCTCATTGTCAAATACGCAGCAGTGATTGAAAGATGCGCTACTAGTAGCGTATATGGCGTTTGATTGTACTATGAGACCGAGTATCCGCGAGTGGGTTTGCTCGTTGAGAAAAGTTCTTTTGATCCTCTTTACCTCCAAGGCATCAGATGAACAGGATGCTATTGAGAGGGCTGGGCATGGTGGGTAGGAAATAGGAAATCATCGCGGATGGAGTGAAATTCCGTTGATTTTTTTTTTCGGTGCTTCTCGTTCCATTCATGATCGTTTATGAGATGGCTAAATTTAAAAATAATTTGTCGGTCACGTCCATTTGTTAAAAAATCTGCTAGAGTGTGAAAGGCAACTTCAATTCATGACGGTAATCGAAAGAAAGATCTTCAATGCAGAGTGTCCGGGATGCGCCTCCGTCGGAGGACTTACTTACTACAAAATAATCGAGACTGCGGGGCATTCAACTTGGCGTTGTGTAAGGTGTGCCCTGAGGTCATGAGAAGATGACAGGTCAGTAAGATTTCGGGCTATTTAGAGGAATCATTACGAACCTTGCGAGAGAGTGGAATGTTGAAGGCTAACTTGTTGGGAAGCCATAGCTTCGCAAAGACACCGGCCACCCTAATTCGGAGGAGCGGCTAGTAATAAAGGCGCAAGTTAATGTTGGAGACTGAGATAATGCGTGCTACGACGCGAAGAGACTTGAGAAAAAATTCGCTGGAAAGGAAATTCCGAGTCAACCCAAGTTCGATTTAAGATAGGCTAGAAGGTACTCAAGTTCATTACATATGTAAATTTATCTTGACAATTCATTTTGTTTGGAGTATGAATCTTGAGAATTTTCAGCTCAATGACCTTCAACTTGAGCTTCGGACGATCTGAGGTAGATCTTCTAGCAATAAGATTTGCATATCTTCGTCATGTTTCCCAAACACCATGATGAACGGTCCGACGTAAGTGCATTCAGCTCTAATTAACTGTCTGCAAACAAAGAAAGCGATACCGCTCTGTGAAGATTATGCCTCCAATAGACCGTGCGAGGCCGTTCTTTAAGCTGTGCCGTTCCCCGCGTTCCGCCCGTTGTTAGTTGTCGATGGGTGAATGGTTTTACATGTTCAGGGACAAGTGTGCTTCGGAGCACTCGGCCTCCGTGCGCTGTGTGTTTATTGGCAGCGATAATCTACATGAACGTCAGAGTCGATAGTCATATCAGATAGGTACCTGAACATGGCAGATGCACACACGGCGCGCAGCGCTTAGCTTGCGCGGTCTGGACGATTGACTTTGGAGAAGGTGGAAAGGGAATTGTGATGTCGGAAAGAAACACATGAGTCACCGATCAAGATCGAAACTCCAGAGGAAAGTTGAGGGAAGCTTGGAACACGTTTAGGCCTTCGTTCATGACATCACACGGCAGGGGGATTGTTTTGGACTTGTTAAACATCGGCATTGCGTTGAACGCTTTAATTGGGTCAGGTCCGTTCGCCCGTAGAACAAAAGAGTGAACTTAATGGGCCGTATTTCCCATGTTCAGGACTAGCTCAACTGGGAGCGAGAGTGTCGTCAGCAGCAAGAAGACTTGAGCCTTTGGTTCTAAACTTCTCATTCGAGATGAGAACCACTAATGCCTTTTAGATTCAGCTGCAGGGAGAGTTATTCGAAAGCGAGATTCACTTACAATGTTTCCCAGAACGAGTTCCAGGCTTGATAGATGGTGCAATTGGGTAAAATCGTCAGGGTCGTCATTAGGCGAACTCGCGTCAGCTTTAACTTTCAATAAGAGCAAACAACCGTGTTGGTCGGACTTGCAAGTTCGCATCTTACACTATCTTACAGGTTCCAGTGAGCAGCGCAGGCTGAGCCTTCAAGGGATATTTCAACGTTCACACGAGACGCAAACGGTGGGGGTGTAACTTTGAAGGGGGTTGGAGGTAAGCGCTTGTCAAAATTTGGTGCTGTTCTCAGATTGATTCTCAACTGCAGAAATGAAGGACGTTTGAAGGACGTCGACGTGATGATTCAATCGCCTGGCACGCACGTCTTCTAGGGTTACTTACCGTTGCATTTCTCCACGTACGACGGAAGGCCGTAAATAATATGCTTATTCATCTTCTCAAGGTTCTTCAACCATCGATGTGCAAGCCTCAGACTGTTGTGGCGATTGCCATTAGATTGCGCTTATGTATGGTGCGTCTGCCCTCCGTTATCTAAGTAGAGTCATGCCCTTCGCCCTCAGCCTCAAACCCTTTGCCCTCTGACATCAACAGTTGTCAGTCGGCCTTTTGTACCCGAGTCGGCCGTACTGGGACAATATCCTAGTAATTCCTTTTCGTGACGGGGAAGTAAAACTCTGAAGTTCGTTCCATGGATAAAAATTGGTGACTAGTTTGTGATTTTCAAGTGTAGAGGAGGGCGAGTTTTACAAGAAACACTTGAAAACTGAATTGAGTTACCGCGAAGCTACAAGGTCCGGGTCTCCGAGGTATAGATCTGACGTAGTTTCCATTTTCTGCCAAATCATCTTTTCCGGCTCACCGTCATGTAGATTTCATGGCGAGGGGTCAGAAACCCGTTCGAATGTCTTCATCTTTTGTTATCAACTAAGACCGTGTTTCCTTCTTGTTGTCCGCTTGGTCCGCCTTTCACCGCCAACGGTCTCGCAGTACTGTGAAGGGCATTCCGATGACCCTCGCCCCACGTATGTAATTCTCACTTTTTGTGTCTACTAATCAAACGCATATATTCGGGTTCTGGAGACGTGATAACCACTTCTGAAGCTCGTGTTTCCTGACGAGCCGGCGGAATGGCACTAACTATATGGTACAAGCTGACTGTCACCAACACAGGATCCGGAGTTCAGGTTGCAATCAACGAAACAGCAGAAAAGTTCGACACAAGATGTATTCCAATTCCCGTGGTTAGATATAGTCGTACAAGTGAGTGGGGTATATATACATATCGAGAGGGCTACATAGATAAAATTCAGGTGAGTAGATCCATATTCATCGCACATCAAAGTCTTACAATCCGCTCCATCCTCCAGTTACAATATTCAGTCAAACAGAGGGCCGTTGGTCTTCGCCAAAAGTTCGTTGAGACACCTGACCACATTACCAGCTCCTTCCTTCACTTTCTCCTTATCCTCCTCCCTGACCTTTGTCAGAAGTTTCGTATTGAATCGGTCCGGATGCCACCTCTTGATGTGATCCTTGACACGATCTTTGACTGTCTTCGATTTGTCTTTCTCGGGGTAATAAGGGGACTCGATGTATGCTCTGATCGCGGGGAGCGTTATCTCTTCAGGCTCGGAGGGTTTCTTGATCATGGGCCACGGGAAATCGTTCCATACAGCGTCACTTGAAGGCAAACTGGCCCAGAGCTTCTCATGGTTTTCAAACAGCCAAATAACTTCATCTCTGGTCAACTGTCTTCCGCCCGCCTTTGCTTGTCTCTCCGCCTCCAACCTCTCCTGTTCCTTCCGGAATTGCTCCTGTTGCTTCCGCGCTTGTTCCGCTTGTCGACGTTGCCAGTCTGCCTCGGACATGGGCGTAGGTGTGGGCTGGGGCGGGGTGCCAAAGGAAAACGTGCCTCCAGAACCAACAGAACCGGCTCTTGGTTTGTTATTGCTAGGAACAGGTGTTGCACGGTTCGGGACAGTGTTACTCGAGGCAGATGTATTCGAGGCAGTCGTCGCCTTGGTGGACGAGGACCAGTTTGAGGACGAGGCGCTCCAAGCCGAAGAACTACCATTGCTAGTCCGATCTCCAGCAGGTGTATTCACTGAACCGTTTCGCTGAGGTGGAGATCGCGAGGTTGATGGAGAGGGAGAAGGAGCAGGCCAGATACCTTCTGCACCAATACTGTCCTGTCTCTTGCGCTCTTCAGAACGGCGTTTGATTTCTTCCTCGCGTCTACGGAATTCCTCTTGCTGCTCATTTCTGACTCGATCCTCTTCCGCCTGACGTTCCCTGACTATCCGATTGGCTTCTTCCCGTCTCTGAGCTTCTCTCCTCCGAGCGTCCTCCAGCTGAGCTTGGGCTTGTTCCCGTTGGAATTTTGCTTGTCGCTCGTCTTCCAACTGGCGGAGTCGTTCTTTCCGCTCTGCTTCACGTGCCTTCGCAGCCTCTTCAGCTTGAACTCGCTCCTTCTCCTCGTTCTCCAACCGGACGCGTTCCTTCTCCTCCTCCTCAAGCCGGATACGCTCTTTTTCTTCGTTCTCCCGCTCCTCCTGTGCACGCATCTCCTCCTCGCGACGACTGTACTCTTCTTCGCGTCGAGAAAGTTCATTCTCGCGTTGCCGAAGTGCGTGCTCTCGCTGCCTCATTTCCGCTTCCCTCTTTTTCGCCAATGTGTTCATCTGATTGACCTTGGCCGCTTTCGCCTGAGCCTCCTCTTGCAACCTCTTGGCTATAGCCTCCTTCTCCAGCGCTTCTTTCTCCAGCCTCTCAGCCTCCGCCATCTTATCGCGAATTTGTTCCTCCAGTCGCTCCGCCTCCTCCTGCCTCTTTCTGCTCTCGGCCTCTAACAGCTTCAACGCCGCCTCCGCCTTCCTCTTCTCTTCCGTTTGCTTCTTCTCCTCTTTCTTCTTATCCTTGAGTCGTTTGGCCTCCTCCTGCTCCGCCTTCCTCTTCTCGTCATCGATCTTCTTCTTCTCGTCCTCCATCTTCTTCTTCTCTTCCTCGACCTTCCTCTTCTCCTCCTCCACTTGTTTTCTTTCTTCTTCAAGTTTCTGTTTCTCTTCTTCCACCCGTTTCTGCTCCTCTGCTCTCTTCCTTGTCTCTTCCTCTTCCTGCCTCTGCTTCTCCTCCTCGTCATCGTCTGTCTCATCCGTCTCGTCTTCCTCATCGGTCGTCTCGCGTTTCAGTTTTCCCGCCTCCAGTTCCAGCTGCTTTCTTCTTTCCCTCTCTTCTAGCACCCTCTGTTTTTCCGCTTCCAGCCGTCTCAGCATCTCCTCTTCTTCCTCCTCTTGTGTTTTCCGGTCTTTCCGTCGAGAGGCAGAGGGCACTCTCATAGGAGCATGACTAAGAAAATTGTCTTTAGGAGGCCCTGGCTCATCTCCATAGTCCTCCTCCAGCTCATCATCATCATAAGGGCGATGGCGGCGGCTATGTGAGGCAGGTTCGTCGTGGTATCGAGCTGAATGAGGAGTTGAACGATAAGAGTCTCGGCGTCGAGGGAGGATGGGATCGGCAGAGTGTGGTGCGATAACTGGGCCGGGTATTGGAGGTAGCTGAGGTGGGCGGAAGTTTGGGTCGTAACCACGTCGACCTTCGGGTATGCCTGCCCAATCTTTCCAGCTGGAAACCTCTTCACTAAGGGGAGGTGGCGCGTGATGCCGAGGAACGGTTATGGGCTTGGTGGTTGAGGGACCACCATGATGACTGCGAGCAGAGTAATCTACAAAGGCAAAGGTCAGACTTGAGGTAGGATGTTTTTTGTTTAAATTTACGAACCGTCATAGCGTCTATCTCTTTCAGTTTCATCCCACGGCGGCCTCGAAGAATACGAGCCCTGGCGAGCACGCATCGAACGGTGATCTGATTCATCCGGAGTCCGATGCCGGTCCAATCTCTCGCGGTCATCGAAAGAATCGTTGTGCAAATATTCTCTTGATCCCGTTCTGGTGGCTGACGATGGCGGGGTAGGATATGAAGGGCGTGACGACGATAAAGAAGAGTATTGTCGCTCACGTTCTCTGTCCCTGCGTGCATCCTGATAGTCCTCATTAGAGAACGAATGCTTGGGCGCGATGCCTCTCTCCTCAAAGCCAGCGGAATCTGGAGGAGAAGAACGATGTTGATGAGGATTATGATCACGGTATGGAGGAGAGGGCGAGTAGTCCCTGTCTTCTCCATGTGGAAAGGTATGTGCAATTGGCCGTGCTCCAGCAGAGGGATGGGGCAAGTCCCTATCGTATTTTGCTGATCGTGGACCAGCTGATAGTGGACCAGCTGATAGTGGAGAGGGTTGATCACGGTCGGCAAGGTATTGTGCTTTGGGTCGCTCATAACGGTGATCATCATTGAAGGATGCCTTAGAGACGATGGGTCTAGCCGTGGATGATGGAGCAGGATACGGAATTGGCGAAGTTCTCCTGGTGGCCATACCTGCACGGTCGTCACGTTCACCAGGAACAGGATACGAGCGACTATCACTGCGATGGAGGCCAGATTCCTTCCTTTCCGGCGGCGAAATCCAAGGCTTATCTGATTCTTTCATTGGTCCCTTCCCTCTGTCGTTACCGCCCTCGTGGATTGCGTCATCGTCAGGTTTTTCTGGAATTGGCTCGGTGGCTGGAGGCCTGATTCCAGTAGCTGAGCCAATAGATCGCATGCTGGCCGTGCTACCTCGACGACCCAGATTGTAAGGTTTAGATGCCGCAGCATCCTCCTCTGGAGAGATAGAGGGTTTCCATATCGCAGGAATGGAATTTGGAGGTGAATGAGCGGTATGGCGCTCAGATACAGAACGTTGCGAACGTTCGCGATCTGGCGTCCTGGTTGCTGACAAGGGCGATGATGGATCCCATTTATCAACGGTGTTGGGTCTCTCCAAAGTGGGTCTTCGAGGTCTTTTGAGTAGGTCCTCGGATTCCTCAGTGGCTTCTGGAGTCGCCCAAGTATCTGGTAAAGATGGTCTTTCGTGGAGAGCTCCATGACCTGCCGCTTTTCGAAGACTGTGAAAGTGGTCCTCACGATCACGAGAGGGAGCACTGTGTGCGTCAGAGCCACGGCGGGCAGCAACAGGCTGAGGGGGCACAGGGACAATAGGCCGTGCTACTCTTTCCCTATCCCGCTCTGCTTTAGCTGCTTTCTCCTGTTGCGCCGGCGGCTGAGGTAATGATGGTGGAGGATCATGGTTTGACATGGTCCTCGCACCAGGAAGCCGCGGACGTGGTAACTCCTCAACCGGGCTCTCAGCTATCATACCCGATCCAGGCTGCGTACTTCCACCCCGTTTAATCCCGTCCATGATCGTCTGTTGCTCCTGCTTCAACGCTTCTGTCCAATGCGGGTTCATCGGAATACCCGATGCCCAGCGCCGCTCCTGGCGTTCGCGGTCAAGTTCAATCTGGAATTGCTCTGCAGCAAGTTGCCGAATGTTGTTCATGGCGGTTTTGTATTCCGCGGTCAAACGCTCGCGGTCTTCTGCGCTGACGGGAGCCTCACGGAGCTGGTTGTCGCGGCTATCCTTGGCCTCCTTGACCATGGACGCCAGGTTTTCCTCGATTTTGTTCCTCAGCCTGCTCTTCCATTCCTCATCTGGTTCAACATCGGCGTCATCAGGCATTGCGGGAGTCACTGGAGTAGATGGGACCTGAGCAGAAGAAGGCGGCATCGAAGTTCTTAAGCGATGGAGTGCTGATTGAGGGCAGTGGTAGTGTGCGGTTGGGACAATGGTATGTTTTCCCTCGGAATGTCAATGGGGAGATGAAGAGAAGTTAGGTCAGCAGACAGAGATTGAGGCTTTGGAGAACGTAGTAGTGAGGTCGCATGCAAGCCCCTCTCTTCTCCGTAATCAGAATTCGGTCTGTGCACGCACCGGGAAAGCCCTGAAAAACCGCCTCATGTTCAGTACACGCGTTTTACATCTCTCAAGTAAAAAAAATATGGAAACTCACGAAGTTCGGGCTGGCCAGATTATTTGCCTGCTGTCGACGTCGGGGTCGTCGACGCTGTTCAAGATGGGCCTGACGGTCGCAAGCAACGCGTATCGGGTGTTGTGCGTTGTTGAACGAGGCCGCCCCAGATTCTGATATCTCGGATCTTTCAAGCCGGTCCCTTTATTTGGTCTGGAGCGTGCCTGTCAGGCAATCCAAATACATAAAATGTAGTCGTGCACCTGCAATACACATTTCAGGCTGTCTACATGCTCTCTAGAGGGTGTCAAATCTCGTATGATATTCCAGCTTCTCTCCAACGATTCATGACGCTTGTCGTGAGGACGTCTAACCAGCTTTTGGGCAACTTGCAGGCAGCTGCCACACCACATGACCAAGAGAAGCAATCAGATCATCATCTTGATATGTGCGTGCAGAGGTTTTGTCGGACGAGCACTGAAATTAAAATTTAGCTCATCGCCGTTTTGCGCTTTGACTTTGGAGGAGAGCCACGTTATTATCGACGAGAGTGCCACCGACACCGATTTTGTCCGGCCGTGTAAGTTTGGATTATGGAGTGGAGATCGTTTAGATGTTACGTTTCTTTGCTTTGAGGGACGATGAGGATTTTTCGAAGAAGCATTGAGGAATTCCATCACGCAGTAAGGCCTCGGCTATCTAGGGAAATCAAAATGTGAAGTACTTGTGGCGCCACCTACATATATTTCTTGGTCGATTTTGCTCATTTTTTGAGAGCAGAAAGACGTCGGCCGAAGTTGTGCCATCCAGGGATACTCAAAGCCACAGGGTTATCGATGGAAAAAGTTGGATTCTGGTGTTTGTAAAAGAAAGAAGTTGGTGAGCAGCTCAGAGCCTGTCCCTTTAGAGAGGTACTTTCGAAGGTAGTGAGGGTGCAAGTAAAAATCGGCCTGTGGTAACACAGAAAGCCTGAGTTCGAGGAAGGAAAACTATTGACCGGATGCCCACCAAACGTACCAGCAACCTTATAGCCGGTATGCCGTCAAACGGTCGCCTCGTGGATAGGACTAGAACAGCGGCGCTTTTGCTTCAAAACTTGCCTCTTGTAAGCGCCTTTGAATCCTGCGCTTCACTGAAAACTGCGGAAAAGATATGAAAACAAGTAGATGAGTTGGTCAACCGGCGGTCGAGAAGTACACGTGGATTAACTGTAACTGGCTATAGCCCTGTTCGGCATTGGGCGTCATGAAATCCTCTCCATGTTTCAAGGGTTGTATGACAACCATTCAACGGTTTGAGGGCGTGTAAGGGACAAGCTTTCGATCGAGTATAAAGATCCGAACGCCGGTTGAATCAGGTTAAGGACTAGCCTTTGCTTGAGGGTGGTGGTCGATGTACCACAGTCGAAACTACCTCTGGGGCTTTGTTAGTCGGTTATGGTTGCCTAAAGGCCAACGCTCGCACACACCTAGGTTTGTGTTGTCAAGTCAGGGATCTGGGGAGGGTGATAGCTTTGAGGAAGGTGAGGTAGGTGTCCGGAGGCATTTTGTCAGCGTCCACTGTGACCGGCCGGTGGTTCACTCGGGAGGGGCCCCAATGCGGCCAAAGATGCTAGGGCTTGAAAGCACAGTAGAATGAATTCCTGCGGAGTATATTGAAAAGTGACCGATAGTCCATTGTGAACGGCCAATGACTCAAGAGGGGGCCCCCATGCGGCCAAAGATCCTAGGGCTCGAAAGCACAGTAGAATGAATTCCGGCTGAGTACAGTGTGAAGTGACCGATGTGAGTCCGGGTTCCAAGGTGTGGATGAGGTGAATGTCATTCCAAAGCAAGGTCAAATTGAATAGGTACGTCCAAACGCCTGGTATACGGCATGGCAATGCATTCCGCAGCCTTGAAGCTGAAGTTGTTGAAGACTAGCCAGCGCTTGAAAGCGGTGCCTCGTTCAAGGTGTTGATTGAATCTCGTTCCAAAGCAAGGTCGGATTGGATAGGTACGTCCAAACGCTTGGTATACGGCATGTCAATGCATCCCGCAGCTTTGAAGGTGAAGTTGTTGAAGACTGGCCAGTGCTTGGAGGTAGTGCCTCTTTCAAACTGGGCAGGATTGGTACTATGGGAGGGCCATCGTTCTACGAATATGGTTTCAGTGGGTTATGATCGCCTAGAAACAAAATTTCGTACCTAAGGCAACGACATTAGGTCAGGGTGATCGCCAACTGACTTGCAAGGGCAAAGCGTTGCAGTTATCGGTTTCTCCAGAGCCCATCGTGAACAGCCGGTAATTTACGGAATGCATTCCCCCCAGTCCTCGATGATAGAAAAGACGCCCTTGAAAGCTCCCGCAGAATAGATTGCTATGAAAAGACGCAACATGGATCCAAGTTTAAAAGTTTGGAGACGCACTCATTGCGTCATGATACAACACGGAAAAAGGCGGCTTCGAGAGAGTTCGGATAGTGTGTAAGGGATCAATATCGGACCGAGGATGCATAACCGAACATCCGCGTACATGGCCTGGGTGAGGATGATGCAGACCAGATGATGCTGCTCGATAAGCCACTTTCGAAATGACGCTCAATAACCTTGAACAACATAGCGACAGGTCGGTTTTCGGGAGAGTTTATGTTTAGCAACTGAATTGAAGAAGCAAGTGTCGCCGTTATTAGGTTCGTTGTCAGCAGCGTTCGCGAAGCGGCTACTGACGGATTTCCATGCACAAAGCTTCGCCGTCGTCAGCAGGTCTCATGATCATGAACAATCAACTCGGACGCAAAGCTCTGTCACTCTTCGAGCTACGTTTGTCCACCAACCCCGTCGCTGCTCCTTCATAGAAGCGATGGCGTCTTTGGTAGGTGAACACCGACTGGAAGGCTTGATTGAGAGGAGGCAATACACTGTGTCGGGTTGACTCACCATATTGTACCTGTGGTTTAATATTACGAACCAAGGAAGGCGATATCGAGGGTTTGGATCGCACTGTGAAGGTGAAACGGGAGGCTTGATGTTTCGTTGCGGTCGGTCTCGAAGAGTGGTAATGTAGCCTGCACCTTCAAGGCATCTTGCGTTGATTTATAGATTAGAACAAAGACACAAAACAAAGATCGGCAGGGACTTACAAAAGCACGTGGCTCGCAAGACCAGAGCGGGTTCCAATTGGGTTCCAACATTGAGGATAAAGCCTGCCAAGGTGATCAGTCGTGCTATTGTATTCAGAAGGCGGCCTTCCTTCTGGAGAGGAGGGAGAGTTCGATACCAGGAGGCCTGGAGGTAAACCCAGCACCAAATTAAAAGCCGTCAATGGATTCTATCGGTTGATTTGAGGGAACGCCGAAAACATAATAAAGGTCGTGTTTGGGGATCGAATTGCACCTCGACTGAGCCCAGCCAGAAGATAATTGGTATCGAGAGTACTGGACTTGTGTGCGCAGCGCCGTAAGATTCAAGAAAGAGAGCTCGTTTACACACGTACAGTGGCTACACAGAAAAAACGGTATGACTTGACCGCATCTTATCAATACAACGGAGTTTCGGGCAAAGACTAGGGGCTTACCTAGCACCGATCCGTTGAGCGTTACCCGGAGTCTTTGAGTGCGAGTACGCGTGGATGTGCGACTGATGAGTAATTGAAATGAAATGATACCATACCTCCTTACTTTCTACGATTGTTGTGTTGAATGGTTCCCCACGATTTGGCTGGGATAACTCGGTTTCCGAATAGAGCCTAAGAGCGAATGATTCATGAACGTTTACCGCTCATGGATGATCACGCGTAGTGAGCCTGAGGCTTGCCTGAGGTCGTGGTTGAGAAAAAAGACAGGAGTGATACGACTTTGTTGAACATTTATTAGCGCTTTATGTATGGATTCTACCCCATTGTCCCCTTCTCAACCAAAGGTATCTACGATACGGAAAACTCGCCCCAAAGGCCCGCGAGCGCGACTACAAAAGGACGTTGGGCAAAGGGTGCGCAGTCGCCTATGTATGCTTTTGTGAATTTTTTTTTGTCAAGCCTCGTGTTTTCATTGATCAAGTGACATGCTGATAAGGAAGCAGGCGATTTGCAGCATGCCCGCTACCCTGCACCTCTCTACGGCCCCTGCCCGCGCTGGCTGTGTGAGTCAAATTAGAACCCTCAGCTATACAGCCAGATTTGTTAAATACTCAACGATACCTACTTAGTCGCGGCCCCATTACGGTGAAGACACGGAAAAAGTGGCAATCTCATTTAGATTCCTACGGATTACGATCAAGCTTGTTCGGCACGCCGCTTAGGAACACGAGGCATCCTTTTTTATTCTCATCCCCATCCCTACCTAACCTGACTTCGTTCCAGATTTTTTCTTTACCGCCATCCTCGACAGAGTTCATCCTTCGTTTACCCTCCATGGCCACTCATAACCCAATTTCGGCTTCCCAACGCGCCCATAGGGTCAGGCAGCTATGGCAGACGTTCGAAGCCCAACTCGCTGCTCCCAGGACGACCATGAACCAACGCTGCTCAGATGTCGCTTCTGAAGCAAACAAGAAATGGCGACAAACACTGCAGAAAGCGCGACCATCCGAGAAGGAGCACAATCTGCAGGTAACTAAAGCCCAGAAACAGATTCGAGAAAAGTACTTCGTCGACGCAAGAGAGGAATGGCAAAAACTGTTGGCGAATGCCAAGCTCCAAGACGAGGACTGGAACGACATGACGGATGCGGAAACACAACGGGTCATCATTGCCCTAGGCGGCGAAGAGGACGACGCTAACGTGGAACTGAACAAAAATGTGGCTGTTCCGCCTCCACAGCAGTCCTTGGCACCACCACCTCCACAGCTTTCCGCCCCATCCATCTCCGCCTCCTCGAGCACTACCTCCAGCTACGCCTTTGTAAATCCCAGTGACTTTTGTTCAGATGATGAACAGCCGGAAGAACGCGGCTTCTCGTTGTATACCATGGTATGACCCACCCGTCCTCACCGTAACACGTGCTGACAACTTCCTTTCTTCCTCCCAACCCAGGCCACTTCGCATGACCTAACATCCGAAGACGAGGACGCACCCATCCCTGTTCCCATTCGCGGCATTAATGGTGGCTGGAGCAAGCCCCAAGAGCCAGCTAAAACGGCATGGAGGCAGGCCTCCCAAGGCAGTTCTCCAGAACTACCACCAACCTCGAACGGCTTCGACTTCAACCCCATCAGCCATGCGTCGAGCTCATCGTCCCAACAGTCTCGTTTGGCACCGCCCAAACGTCCGCCGGACCTTGGGGGCGGAGCTATCTCCGCCAGTAGCAGCACCAGCAGCTTTCTCCATCCTCAATATCCCAATGGCGTCACCTCTGCCTCTTCCACTATTCCCAAGAACACCTATCCCACACAAACCAAAGCACGGCTTCCTGGTCCCATGTACGTCGGCCCACACCTCTCCGACCCCTCCGACTCCGACTCCTTGCCGTCCTCTGATGCTGAGGAGGAGTTTGAGCGCTTCAAAATGGGGATGCGGGTAACCAAAATTCTCGAGTTTCACGAGGCGGCCGCGCAGGCTGACATAGCTTTGGCGGTGGAGATCTACAAGGCCAGGAAGTTGAGGAACGGGGACAAAACCGAGGATGCGCAACGAGTTGCGGATCATCAAAAGTGGATGATGAGACTCCAAGAGGAGAAGGAGGAGGAGCGAAAGCGTATTGTCAAAACTGAAAGAGAGCGGATGAGGGAGGAGTTGAGGAAGAAGGGTAACGGGCGTGCTGCGAGGAATGGTGTTGCTCCTTCGACTTCGAAGTTATCTTGGTTGGATTCCTACAACGAGCAAAATGTCGAGTTCGGGTCCAACGTCGATTTTGCGCAAATCTTGGCGAATGCTGGTATTCAACAGCAGCAGCAATTCACTGAACCGGATCCACTGTCGTATGCCAACGACACCCTCGCCTCTCATCAGCATCACCTTCTCCAACAACAACAACTGTGGCAACAACAGCAGCAGCTCCTTCTGCAGCAGCAACAACAAGCCTCTTCGTCATCCATGCCCTACCCACCCAAACCACTACCTCAGACCTCGACGCAGAAAGGTGTTCCTGCCTCAATTTATGCCTCCTCCCAGTTCGAGCAACAGCAATTCGGCAGGCAGTCTCACCCCCCTGGAGCGTTTGGTTGGTTCGATCCAGGAGACGATGGGGATGAAAACAGGGAGGAGGAGGACGAAGAGGTGGAAGAGGACGAGGACGAGCCTGAAATACCGGAGGCGTTGAGGCAGGCGTTCTTGAAACAACAGGCCCAGGCTGCTGCTGACCTTCAGGCTTCGTTGAACATGCCAATGCCGGGGTCTCTGAACGTCAGCCCTCCACCTCCTGCTACAACTGCTCCTGCTCCCAAAGCTGCTGCGACCCCAAGTGGCTGGGGTGTAAAGAACGCTGCTAAGGCTGTTGTCAATGGTCTAGGCAACAGTAAGGCGTCGTCGACGCCTGCTCCTGCTGCTGCACCTACACCAAGTGGATGGGCGACGAAAATGGCTGCTGGGACCCCTCTGTCCAGTGGCTGGACCAAGAAGGCGCCTCAGCTGCCGCAGCTACCCGAGGAACTTGTTAATCCCTCATCACAGTCGCCTCCCAAAGTCGACGAGCCCATCACCCCCATCACGCCTAAAGCTCGTGGTCCTCAACCTTCAGCTACTGCTGCAAAAGGCAAGAAAGCGTCTCCTACCGCTCCTGCCAACCCATCGCCAGCCCAAGCGGCCTCATCGTCTTCTAAGCCCTCTCCACCACCTGCCAAACCTGCTGCTGCTCCGGCCAAAGTTGAGAAACCTGCGCCGGCACATCCACCACCTGCCCCTGCCCCAGCTGGGAAAAAGACGAACAAAAAACAGCGCCAGCAGCAGAAGAAAGGCGGTGCTTCTGCTCCTCCCAAAGCTCCAACCCCACCACCTCCTACCACTGAACCTGAACCCGAACCTCCTGTTGAAGCGGACGCGCAGGAGGAAGAGGAACATGAAACGCCTATCATTCCTGAAGCCGCTCAACCTGCATGGGTATCCTCTCAATCCACTATCAGAGGGCTTCCCGTTAAATCGCGTATGGAGGCCTCGTCTATCTTTGGAGAGGATCTGGCGTCGACTCCTCGTCCTGGGTCCATGTTCGGTTTTAAACGTCAGCAGGAGAAGGGCGAGGCGCTCCCCAAGCCCAGCTTGTTGAGGCGTCAAATGCAGATGGCTGATGCGAGGCAGATGGGAACCCCATCGAAACTGACGACGGAACTTCCTAAGGCAGGTGGTCCTTCTCAGTTTGGGTTTGATGACCGGGAGTACTGGGCTCCCAATGCTCCATCTGCTGCTCAGCCGATGTCGACGAACGCTGCTGCAAGTCAACAGGTCTGGAATCCTCCGTCCAACTCGCGTTCCCCCCCAATCGAAAAGACCACTTCGATGCCCTTTAATCGCCTTGCCTCTTCCCAACGTCTTCGCCGCAGCTCTGACCCTGTGTCCCCAAGCCCTCGGGGATTCGAGCTCCCTGATATCACCAACAAAATAAATACCACCTCCACCAATACCCCGAAGATGAGTAAGGCGAAGAAGAAGGCAAACGCGAAGCGAGTTACGATTGAGGAGGTATCTGACGAGGAGGGTGACGGAGGGCCGATCGAAAAGCTGCCGGTGAATTCCAGGCTCATACTGGAGCCCAAGCCCAGCGTTCCTTCGGGGATGTTCAACAACATCTTCGAGTATGGGGTGGAGGACGACGAGCGTGAGGACGAGATGACTTCGAGCTCGTTTGCACCCACGCCTTCCACGGCTGCTACATCCCCTGACGATTTCGCTCCCATCAGCGAAGGATGGGTTGCGGCGGCTACGAAGCGGCTGCAGCAGGAGAAGCTGGCCGCTGCTGCTGAGGCCAAAGCGAGGCATGTGAGGTGGAACCCTCAAGCCAGACCCAACCTCTTTGGTGAGGACAACCCGTCAGATACCTTTGAGGCTGGGCCTGCGATTGGGGGCATGTCTATTCCCAGTTCCTTCACTCGCAGAACTGTCAACGCTAGCAGAATGGGAGGGCAAAACCAGCAGCAGATTGACGTCAATGGGAGCGGCATGACGATTTGGGAGATGGGTCAGCAGCGGGCCAAAGCCCAGGCTGCGGCTGCGGCTGATGACAAGAAGGGGGGTATGGGTCGAGATTGGATGAAGGTTATGACTGGCACTGCAGGTGCTGCTGGTGGCGGAAACGTCGCAGTGGGTGTTGGTGGAGATGCCTCCGGGCGTTATGCGAATGTGGCAATAGAGAACATCAAGCGAGGCAAGCCGGCCGCTGGCGGTAATTTATTCTAGTCTTGACTCTTTTTTTTTCTTGGATACTTTTTCTTCTCTTTTTTTTATCTTGCTTTCCGCTCTCAATCGCATCGTTTTGAAGTACGATAGAAATTCGATCCTAATGACTTGTTTTCTGATTAGACGTAACAATATGATCAATATGATGCTTACTTTCTCGACGTTGGCTGGTGCACATGTTGAACGTTGAGGAATCTGAACGTGGTGCGCGCTACTTGGGAGGGAGGGAAATGAAAGAGGGGGGAAGGGAATGGGCAAAAAAGTTTGCTGGAGGGCTCAAATTTATGTGTGTCCTTGTGTTCGCCTACTCAAATGAATTGGTACCGAGGGTGAAGAGTACGCTTTGGGTCAGCATATCACTGAAAAATCTAGCACTTACGTCAAACATGAGGTCGATTAACCTCGAACCGGTCTTAGAAATTTTTGACAGCCTTTCGGAGTGAAGAAGTGAGTGCGCTCCAGAGGGTAACCACAATTAAAATGGCCTGGATATGCGGTATTTTGGAGCGCAGTGCGAAAAGCTTCGCAAAAAACTGGATGCTGTGGGCACAGGTCTCTATAATAACAAGTTTTCTCTATCCTTCAGACTGGACGGCATTATCAAGTAGGTTTGCATGCTTACGCTCTGCCAGTTCTCCTCCGAAGTTCAAATTGGAGTCCATAACATACCCATAGCCAGATACCTGCATGGTCTTGAACAAGGGGGTCACAGAATCGAGACAAGCTTGCCTACATATTATTTTGTGGGGTGGTACGAATTAAGTACAGGTGGGTACCGAAGCAAAGACGGTAAACTTGAAATGCCAGCACACTTGGTTATGATCTTCCGCACACGAATCAGCCTGGCATGTTGGGCACGAAGGGGTACCCATGGACAGAGCGCGAAGAGTGAACTATGAAACGCGAGGTTGGGAACGTTGTTGTAGCGCTAGTGGTGGATGAAAGACGGGGGAAGCGGGAATCGCACCTCCGCAGGCTTCCCCTCCTATTCATAAGCTCACAACGTGGGGCATGCACTAGCATTACGGCCTGGAGTGAATTAGCGTTTAGTCGATCGCGGAAAGAGATCAGATCACCTGAAATTTTGAGCACGACCCAGGTCCGGGGGCTTGGTGCTAATTTCAAAGAAAACTTACTAGGGGGATGGGAACTCGAAGGATTGTTACGGGAATGATTCCATGTACATACTTACAGGAGCTTTACTTGCTGTGTACGCATGGCTTGGGAGGTTTGGGGCACATAACTAGTCTGGATACGCAACGCAGGACAGCCATGAGGATAGAGCGTTCCCGGTTCGGGACTATTGTATGGACTCCAGTTGACCTGTATATAGATGTACCTAGTTATCGATAAGATGGAAATGAATGAGGGCGATTCAACTGAAATTCACCTTGTTTGCACGTCCAATCCCGAAATCCTTTCATGTGCAAGCTTAATATGATGATTGGGGAAGCAAGGCGATAAAAATTTGGAAAATGGAGATGAGAAGTAAAAAAAATGAAGGCTGCCCGCACCAAAAAGGAAACAGAACCCAGCTGTTGGGCGTGAGGTTCGTCCGAAGGTCTGCATCGTGCCGTGTCTCATGGCTGGGGTACCTTAAACGTGACATCCAACATTGTGACATTGGCGTAACAAATACCAAGATACACCTGGAGAGGCTAACATTGGACGTTGAATATCAAATAACGTCTCGCGCACCGTTGCACTCAAAGAGGTTCACTGGGGCTTGAAGTTAATTCCACAAGGAATTTCCAAGCGATATGGGATTGATGCTAGTTTCACAGCGCAGGTAGTTACTTCCACAGAGAAATTCTAGATAGAGATGCTCAGTGAAATGAAGAGGAACAAAAGGAAGTTTGAATGGCGCACGAGAATGACGGCCGTGTCCCCGAGCCACCGTAGAATCTGCTGAGATCTTCGATGACACACAACGAGCATCACGTCTCAGGCCTTATAAGTTGTACATCACTTCAAAACATTCACTTGGTCCCCGATTCCTAACATCGGAACGAGTCACCAGTAAAACCGGACAAGCCAGCGAATTCTGAATGGCCAGCCACGAACCACGCAAAGCAGGGCAATGCACCGAACCAGAATCGCACCACAGCCATCAATGCCGGTGATATATTTCCAAGTAATCGGTCGTGGTACCAAATCTGACAGTCTTCCTCTAGAGTAGATCACCGTTTCGCCACAGAAACAGCATGGCGATCTTGAATTGCATAGTTCTTCTCTAGACGGAGTTTCATAGCATGACATGAATCGACAAATCGAGACGCCTGGCGAAATGGAAGCAATCAGGCGAACTCAGCAGAGAATGTATCAAGAAGTTAGACCAATGATCTGTGGGGCTTTGCTTTTCGAGAGGGGGGCGAGGGAAACCGTGGAAGCTTGAATAAGGCGTAGTGATGGGAACTTGGCTGGGTTGATGGGCGTAAAGGAACGGGGCTCAGGTGAGGCCACAGACGACAAACACAATGATTTGGACCACCCAAAGCACAACTACTTCAAGCCGGTCCGAGGGAATCACAACGTGGTTGACAGAAGCCCATTCCGAATCGCCAGAATACCAACGTTTGACCAGAGCCGTCTCGACGAAAGACACCTGCAACAGTAGTTACGGTGCAGTCTCGGACAAGTCACGTCACCGTGAGTAATAGGGGGAGTCAGAGTGGCCGGTTCAACGGCGGTTCAGCAACGATTCAAGATCAGGTTTAAAGACGATTCAATTTTTTTTTTTGCCTGAATCGTCGCTGAACCGGGTCTAACTCTGTCCCCCCCGGTTCAGCTGAGGCTCAAAACTCTATTTCACGCCGGTTCTGACCACCAAATTTATGTTCCATGAAGTTTTAGATACATATATATTATTCCTTCTTTAAAAGCTTGACAACGGACTCCATTACATGAGGTTTTGTGCATCAACAGCTATCAGAAAGTTAAGACAGCATTTTTGTGAGGACAAATGTAAAAGTAGCCTAAGTAGGTGGTCAGTACAATGATACCGAGGCAGGAAATTTACAGGGAAATATTTCAAGAGTATCTGAAACGTATTTTCAAGGAGAAATAAATAAAAGTCTAATTGATAAGGGGAGTTATGTGCGAAGGAGGCAGAACCAACGTAGAACCGAAACTTGAACCGACGGTGAAGCGCCTCCCGAGGCGCTTCGCCGTCGGTTCAGGTTCAGTGACGATTCAGTGTGTTCCCACGGTTCAGACAAGAATTCAACATCTTTGAATCGATTCTGAACCGTTTGCTGAATCGTCGCTGAACCGGCCACTCTGACTCCCCCTACATCAGGAAAAGGTGATTTCTCCCATAGTTACCGCATCAAAATCATAGCCAAATATAGTTCCCATCGCCGGTGTTGTGTTCCGTATCCTTGGCGGGTAGATCTAGAGCGCGTGATCGAGTCCATCGTGAAAGGGGCGAGGTACATGGTGATAGATAGATTTGCGGATCAGCTCTCAAGCTCGGTGCATCCTATGAAGAATTGTCAGAACACTATGAGTGCTACCATGACTATCAAGTCAGCATCGAGTGGGATGTGAAATAATGCTGGTACTTGCATCTTATCTCACCCCTACACTCTCACTCATGCTTGCAAACACATGACTGTCCCTCTCCTCATTCAATAACTGAAAGCACCAATTTTCATGTTCAACATGCAGAATATCTACCCACGCGTACAACACGCAAGTGGACTTTGATGAAATCATGCAGTGAAGTGCCGTCGGAGCTAAACTCCGAATCGGATGGTGACCCGATGTCACATGTTGGTTGAAATACTTGTTTTGGCAATAATCTAGTGTCTCCTTTTTCTTCCGACGACCACCTTTGTTCTCTCCTTAACACTGCGCCTCCCCTGCCTTATCCCTTCATCGCTCTTTGCCTGACTTGCCCTCTACGAACTGCTCGAGTAACATGTTGGTTAGGAGGTATGTCCCCGCTCACATTCCATTCTCTAAAATGACGATTGATTCCACCGTCCTCTGGCATACCTCTGCATTAGTATGTCAACCTTTTCTCGATGCGACAAGTTGCTTATCTTCCAAATAGGTTACCTAATCAGACGTCGTCCTCAGCTATTTCATCGACGCCTTCTATCATCAGTCGCGTCGCCCGCCATTGCTATTGTTTTTCTCTCACCCACACCTTCCGTCATCAGCCGCCAAACATGCGTTGCCCGCCCTCACTATTGTTTCTAGCCATTTGTTACTAGCCACCACCAAACACGCGTCGCCCGCCATCCAAACGTGGGATCTGGAACTGCGAGGCATGCATTCAAAGGAGCAGGTCAAGGTCAAAGTGGCTGGGGAGGAGGATGTGGTGGACAACGAATGAGGTAGTACACACATGTATCGCAGCTAGAATTTGAATATAAATCATTTGCCGCATTCTTGACCAATTCAGGAGGACTAATATCTCCTCTACCTCCTCTATCCTGTATATATTTGCTACAATGTACTATGAAACTACCTGGTTACATGGCTATGGCTTAATCTATAGAACTATTGTGTGCTATGGATTTTAAACGGTCAGCTATGGAGAACAATATATGGGGGGGCTCTCGATGGTGCTACCAGCGCTATCACGTCAACATACCACAATATCGCAAGTAACTTTTTTCCTGATGTATTATGTAATATTCCCCGTCTTGCCTCCAACGGAGCTCCAACCCCCATCTTTGAATGAAGCATTGTTTGATATGGTGGTTCTCGATCGCGAAGGCCCCTGTAAACCGACGTGAAAAAAAGTCTTTCTCCCCGCCAAATGCGATGAATAATATACTGGTTGACTCCCGTGGGCCGTAACATCGGTATGAAGTACTACTACTATGAACTTTGGCAGTGATCATATGCACACTACGAGGAACCTTGCACACAACTGGTCGCCGATTCCTTACTATCGCCTGACCCAAATATGTACGCAAGCAGGGGGCCTCGATTCAAGAGTGCGAAGTTTTGCTGAGAAACGGCTGGCTCAGAAAAAGCTGCCACATTAGACTGCATGATGGCTTTGGTATGATTGCTGAAAGTTGGCCCAGTGGATGTTACAACTTAGCAACATCATATTATCCGACGTGAGGCTTTGTTCAAGTTTTATGTGCATCCAACAATACATCCATCAATAATATTGAGGTGAGTTAAATACTTTGGAATGGTCACCGATCTTCGCTATTACACTGCCATCTACTACCTGTATCAAAACAGGCGGCTAAATAAACGCTGAACGAGGTTGGGCGCCTTCGATTTCACTTCGGCTGTCTTCCCCCCGTGTTTTTCCTCCATTTCAAATTCACTTGGGCCGTTCGCAGTGTCTAGAAAACATATCAGCATCAATCAAGTGGATACACCAACCCTAAAAGTAACGCGCCTTCCTCAACGACGTCAGGCACTGCAACAGGAATATCCTGATCGTCGTCCTCGGATTCCTCGCCGTCTATAGTGCCTCCAGCATTCGTAAATGTCCCAGAATGAAACTCAGAAATTTTGAGGTTTGTAAACATGTGTGCGTGGACGCTCCCCGATTTACCAGACTGCCGCGTTCCTCCAGCATTATCGAGTCGGACTCCGGGGCCCTTGGCAGTAATATAACTTGCATTTTCGAGAAAGGCTGCTTCCGTGATTTCCTCAGCAACCACTTCAGAGGATACCAATTGAGGAGCCTGATGTCCCGGCGACGCCGCCCTGTTACGTCCGCCTCGGTTGATGTTGCCCCCAACGTTGCTGAAATGACCACCAGTGAAGGTAAGTCCCTGGGCGCCTGACATCATTGACGCTTTGACGACGCGACCTTTTGTAGAAGCGGCGACGGGAGGTGAAGCGTTCGGAAGTGATGCAACAGTCGCATCCGATTTCGCTGGGTCTACACCAAAATCAGAGACAATTTGAGGATGAGAGGCAGCGCCAGACAGGGAGAAGCAATCATCATACCAAGAGCAGCAAGGGAAGTACGGTTATGCCTTTCCCTCTGCTCTTCCCTGTAATCTTGGAGAGTAACGACTCTAGAGCCTGGTGCCATTCGTGCGATGATAATGCTCTCTCTTCCCTTGTCGAGTATTTAATAGGCCACGATGGCGCAGTAGATTGCCCACGTTGGAGCCTCATGAGCCTGGAAGATCAGGCATGGGGGAGCCTTGAGGACCTGGAAGCTCGACCATACGCCCAACTTGCCATGATGGAACAAGAGGGTGGGTTGGGCGTGCTTGAAAGTCGTACTACATACGTTGGGCATGAGTGGCGTAGGCTTGGTTTGGAGAACGTGTTCGTGGAGATCAAAGACGGTTTTTGTAAGATGGTGGGCGATGCTGTGGCGTTTGTTTGTTAGCGCCCAAACATAAGAAGCGCCCAACGGTATGCTATGATTTCCAAGAAAGCTGAGAACGTCCTATTCCAAGCTCGACCATGCAAGGTGAAGCCATCATTGATATCTAAGAATCACATCCTAACGCCCAGCTCGCCATGATGGAACACGAGAGTGGATTGGGCGTGCTTGACAGTCATAGGGTATTTTTCTTGAACCCTTCTGCCCTGATCCCGGGCAGATCATCTGTCAAGTATCAGATGTCCGTGAGTAATTTTTTTGATAACTCGTCAAGGTTGCCTTGAGGCTTTTGCCTCCCACGTTCTGGTCACAGGGACTAAACATGGTTTTGCCAGCGCTAAATTCGAGGGACGAAATGAGATGACAAACAAGAGCGATTAATTACATCGTACCTTCAAGGCCTTGCATCACTACCTCTAGCATACCTTTCCCTGCCTTTAAATGCCGAACAATCCAGCCGTTCTGCTGGTCAAAGGAGTCAGGGAATCTTCCTGCCTCTCTTTACCCTTTCCCTTCGCATCTGGGATGCACGGGGTAAGCAGATCCCTTCATGTCAGGCTGCGGTCGACTCGAACTAGAACCCCTGCGAATTCGTTTCCACTCACTCTCCTCACCTTGTTGGGTCTGCTATCCCCGCCGAGTTGATGAGGTCGTCGTGGTTGTATAGACCCATAGCCATCTTGCCGGGCAGTAGAAGGCTCAGCGACAGCAGCAGGTGGGCAGGTCGGAAATCTCTCTCGTGGACGGAGTGGAACTGGGGTTGGGTCGAGAGGTAAGTTGCAACGGAGTGAGAATAAGAACCAATTGAGGAAAAAAAGACTCAGTACCTTGCGAATCGTCCTCTGTGTCAAAAGATCCTCCAGCCTGATTCAATCTCAAAGCCTTGGGAACAACAGGCGGTGCTGGTATCTTGGAAACTACAGGTTTTTCCGTATTGGGGAGGGGGTATAACATGGATGGTGTGAACGTCAGTAAAGTGTGGAGTATAAACCGACAAGAGCCAGACCTTGTAAATATTCCTCAGTGTCAGACGAATTCGGAACTGGGGGAGACGGATTTGGAGAATGTGGGCGTTTGAGAGTATCAGCTAAACTTGTGGGACTCGACTTTGATTCTTTCTTAATAATAATGGTATTGCGCGGTTCCGTGTTGGGTATTGGCTTGAAAAAAACAGGGGGACTCGCGTACTTGACGCAGAACGAGTGCGTGTAGTATGTGTCGATGGGACGGGAGATCAAGAAAAATGGTGGGCAAGCGTAAAGGAGCAAAAGGAATTCTGTTTAGTAACTGAAGTAAGAGATGTCGACTTGATGACTGGTGGGGCTGATGATATGCGATGTAATCTGAGCGAAGGAACCGGGGTAGATTGATTTTGCTTCCTGATTCTCCTTATCTCCCTCGACGTCAATGCGACCGATGGGAGGTGGAGGACGGGTTGGTCGACGACACGGTGTCGTCGCGGCCTCAGGATCTTTAAGATTTTCATCATCTTCACCCGCGAACTGCGCCAGATCAGGTCCGAAATACATCATCTTCTGTTTCTTCCTCATTATACTTTCGTGGTCGCGTTTCTTCTTTTCCGCTGCTGAGATGCCCTATTCATTTCGATGTTTACGGTGATTGTCGTCGTTTGTAAACGACCATTCACTGAAGTCGCGCCATTTCTTGTAGTCGACTTTATATCGTTCCGCAGCACGTTCTTTCAGGTCTTTCAACTCGTTATATCTCACTTGAAACCCAGCGTGCTCTGCCTTGATGTTCGCATACGATGGTTTGGATCTGATACACCACATAGTATAGTCAGCGGTCTTTCAATAAAAAAAGAGATGATCACATACTGTTTCTCCGCAATCATCTTTTCCAGCTGGACTTGGATTTGACGCTTCTCCTCCTCTGCAAGGAGAAGCTTCTCTTACAAGCTCTCGCCCTCATTCCGCCCAGCCAGCAGCTCACGGTGTCGTTGTTGGACCACTCGAGCCGCTCGATTTTCCGCTCAATAACGGCAATTTCCTTCCTATGCATTTCTTCGAGGTCTCGTCCCGCTCTCGGGGATGATCGATGAGGACTGGAATACGTTGCATTTTCTCCAAGCCAGAGGATACGATCCAAAGATTACATAAGGTAGCCGAGGTGCCCTGTGTTTCATCCACCCCTTCCTTTTTGAGCTTGATACCCTTTCCTTTTTGAGCTCGACATGGTCCAATGGGTCCCATTTGGCACATCGACAAAATACTTATAGCACGCCTGGCCTCCAATGTCTTTATCCAAGAACTTTCACTCTTCCTTGCCTTTGCTTCTCCACGACCGACGCCTTTTTCCGAAACATGGATTCAGACACTACTGGAACGACAGCGCCGCCGACAAAACACCCAGATTTCTGGTTCCACGACGGATCCATTATTTTCTCTGTCCAAAACACCTTGTTCCGTGTCCACCAGACAGTCCTATCTAACCACTCGGAATTCTTTGCTGGACTTTTTACGGTCCCTCAGCCATCGGGAGAGGCCGTCATCGATGGGTGTCACGTCGTACCGCTCTACGACAAGGTCGATGATGTCATAGATCTGTTGAAGGCAGTATACGACCCATCGTAGGCTCCTACCTCTTCCTATCAACTCTCCGCTGACCCTCCCCAAGCCACTTTGACAACCTCCCACCAGAAGCAGAGCTAGACTCCCTCCTGGACTTTATATCAGGCATCCTCCGTCTCAGCACCAAATACGTCTTCCAGTCCCTCCGGCGCCGCTGCATCTCCCTCCTCTCATCCAAATTGCCCACCTCATTCGCGGCTTACAAAATGAAAGCCGCTCTCAGGACTTACGAACCAATCAAATCCGACGCCATCATGCGTGTCATCCACCTCGCTTATGAAAACCACGTCCTCCAAATTTTACCCTACGCGTACTACTGCGTCGCGCGTATGGGCGGCCGTAGGATACTCACGCGCAAAGAAGGCGATATAGACTGGGAAACGAAGTCTAAGTGCCTCGTTGGCAGGGATTGCCTCCGATTGGCAGTGATGAAGATGTCCCATTCATTCCTATTCAATTTTCGTCGTTCCCCGCAGTGTCGGTCTCCGCTGTGCGCGTATGCAAGAGGCCCTTATGCGGAGTGGCATGTGTTGGAAGCTGAAGACCCTCTGGACCCGCTTGGGCAGTATACAAGCTGGCATGAGCTTCATGTCTGTCGGGAGTGTGTGGCGTATTGCCAGTTGCGGCATTCGGTTGGTAGGCAGAAGGTGTGGAATAAGTTGCCTAGTTTCTTTGGGATGTCGACCTGGAATGAATTGAAGTCGGTACAGGATGCGTAGATGTGTGTTTTGCTGGATTGGGACCGCTGCTTCTTGAATACTGGATCTAACCTGAAACCATTTAGTGTATCTATACCCTCATGTAGACCATGAGATTTTACTTTTGGATTATGGAAATCTTCTTCACGTCCGGGAGTAGAGTGAAAAAGCAAGTTGATCTTTCGTTCCGGCAATTGACCCCTGTCCCATTCTGACATGAAGGACTGCGTATTCTCCGAAGCTCGATCTTTCAATTTCTCTTGCATTTCTCCACCTGGGAGGCTCAGAAGGAGGAAGAGTAACAAGAAGACGACACGCCCTTGCCATCCTCACCGTCATCCTCCTGTTCGGCCGAGACTCGGAAAGCATAAGCTGTGAAAGAAGGATAATTAGGCACTGGTGAGGGGGGCGGGCAAAAGACGATAACCGCCCAAGATGACAAACACGACCCGTTGTGTGTGTTTGGCTGGTTCGCGCCCAACCAAATACGCACGGTATAAATTACTGTTTAGCTCCTTATTTGATTTAACCCATGGCCCTCACTCAAACCACCACAACACTCCCAATTGTTACTGTGCCCGCCGTCTTCGAATCACCGCCCAACACACTTCCTTTTCTTTTCTATCTCTTAGGTACCTCTTGCCACTGCTCGGCCTATCAATGTCACGCTATCCCGCCAGCCTCCTCGCCTCCTACCGCTCAATGTCAGCCACATTCTTCCAACACTACTCACTCCGAACTCCGACGCCTCCTCGCCAGTTAACCAGTATCGCCTAGCCAGCAGCATACCAATGTCAAGCATCACCATCGCTCACGCCCTCGCGCGTTTCAGCCTAGGCGAGCAATCCATTCCCGTCTCCGAGTCAGCTATTGCCGCAGTCACATCTCCTAATGCGTGGAGCCCATGAGGCTAAGCGTTGAAAGTCGCCGCATCTCTTGCCTGGGTGTGTAATCGACCCAGGTATTGAGATGCTGGCGTGGAACCACACTGGATTAAGTCCTGTGGGGCCGGAGTGACACACCATCTGCCAGGACTGTCAAGTGGATGAAGGTTGGCTTCGTTCCAACATGGTGCATAAGCGGCTTTGGCTTGTCTCGCGGCGGGTTTGGACTCGCTGAAGCATGGTGTGTTCATAACTAGGTACGTTGCTAATCTTTTATCTCTCGCTTGTTATCTTGTTAATTTTTTACTCCCAGTTACATTGGCTCGGATTTATCGAGGCAATGCCCTTTTTTTCCGAGCGTGGTTTTTACAGTTGGAGCGCATTTTTTCATCGTAAGATCTTCTTATTCCACCATCCGACGTCAAGTTTTTACGCATTCGTTTTCGCCAGAAACCATCTAATTTGTGCGTTTTATTGACATCGCCTTTCCCAATCCTCACCCGTCTTTTTGTCAGCCACCCTTTGATTATTCGTGCATGGCCCCAACACACTACCATTGGTGGGCGCCCTTTCAATTGCCGAACAGCCAATCGCTGCGCGACATATTCCTTAAAGCATCCTGGGTACTGGTGTATCTGGGTGTGGAAAGTCGCTCCTTCACTGGAGCTTGGGCAGGCAGATGTGTGATTGCACACCTGGATGATTGTGGGGGGCCTTCTTGAAGGCCTCAGGCGTCGTCTCACCGGGCGTGGCACCGCCGACATTGTCGCGCAGGTGAAGCGGTTATTGGTTGTTTCTGCTTTTGGATTGTGTGCTCTACATTCGGACGCTTCTAGTCGAGTAAGCACGCTCACGATTTACGCGTCTTTTACATCTCAACACTTTATTTCCATTAGACGCCAAAATATGTAGTGCTGCTCTCTGGTTGCTTTCACGCGCAAGAGTTGGACAATTTTATGGCGCTATCGCGATTCATTTTGTCGACCCACCTTCGTTTATACCCCCGTTTATTACCTTCGACCCGCACATATGTATCTCGTACATTTTGTGGACTGTTGACCCAGATCTCAGAAGAAGAAGCTACCACGGAAATCCTCCAGATGTAACTAGGTGTCACTAGGCTCAGGCTCTTTATACTCCAACCACGTCGTCTCGGGCAATTGAGCAACATTTGGTTGACCAATATCTTTCAAAGGAAGATCAGCTAACGGGTATTAGATGTAAGCTCAAATGACAGGCTCCTTTCAATACGCGACTTACGGAGGAACTATGGAGGGATAAGTTAGTCAAGATCAACAGGAGACGGACGAACTGACTAGACCAACTTCCTTCAACGCTGTACTCCCCTCATCCTCTCCGGTGGTTTTGAGGAAGAACACAATTTTGTCGGGCGAGTAGTAAGCTAATATTGTATCGTCGTCCGACGGAGAGGTATCCGTCTTAAGCTCGGTAATATTGCGGAAAATTAATATCCCAGAGCCTTCTGAATTACATGGCGTGTCTTCAATCATAAAGGAATTGAGAGCGGTAGATCTAACACTCACTGATCCTCGACTTCTTGTTGGTGGCAAAATATACTTCCTTCGCGATACACGGGAATTGTATATAGAGTCGGTCCGACTCGTCCTGTCGGAGGACGTCCGCCGGGGATGTTGCAGCGCTGAAGTTCGCCCATTCACCTTGGCCTCGTCCGAGACGGATGGGAGGAAGTTTGTATTTCTGTAGAAGCATAAAAAGGCGATCCAAGGGAAAGAAGATTCCTACCTTGGTGTCAACCCTTGCAATAAACTGACAGGGTAACAAAAAAATGTCAGCTTTCCATAACAATCGCCAACGAGGATCCTTACTCTCGCAACCAGCTTACGGCGCAAAGGCCCCTGTGTCACATGAAAATCAACCCGTACAGTTTTCGAGGACGCTGCTCCCTGGTAGTATACAACTGTGTATTGAACTACACCGATGTTTGCAAACGAATCGTAGAAGAGGACGCCTTTGGGGTCTAAAATATTGAAATAAATGCGAGGGAGAAGGCGATTCGGTTGCACCTACCCTCCCCAAATTGAAAGTCTCCCACGAACCGCTTCATAATTTCTGGGGCTTCGACGTGTAGATCAACAGAGTTTGCGGCCTCGCGGAATTGGGCGTAGGCCGTGGTAAAGTGGGGCAACGCCTTGGCTGCCTCTGACAATTGCTGGGGGAAAGGGTCCCGTCGCGGAAGTAAGTGATCCTCCGAGTCGCTCGTGTCCATCGTACGGTTGCGAGTTTCTGTTGAGGCTTGGAGGGCAACTGGTAACGCACACCTGTGAGTCAGTGACTTTAAACTTAGGCGTCTTGTTATCTGGCTTCGTGTTCTCACGCGGCGACTCATCACATGAATGATGAACCAATTATTGGGTCTCAGGAAGCGAATCTGAAAAACGTGCAAAGTACGGATCTGTATTAAATTTCCATGTATGGCTTAACCTTAGTCTAAGATGAATATAAGGCATTTTGTTAATGTTGATACATTGTAGAGGGAATGGAGAACAGTAAATCACAGACATTGAATTTTTTTAAAAAGAAATTCCACATTTCCTATATTCTGTCTGTTGAGGTTAGTATCAGTTTCCCAAGCATATTCCGAAGAGAGTGGAGTTTCGCAGGCTTTTGCTGCGCCATGAACGTGTTTTTTTCTCTCTTTTTTTCTTTCTTTCTTCCAAACAGCCCTCACCCAAACGTTGGTTTCCAAGCATATCAGAAACATGTGTGGATATGAGCCACGCAATAATGGCGTGCTTCTTTGCAATTGTCACAGATCTTCGAATGTTTTCCAACTTTGAACGTTTTGAACTCTACCTTTGTCTTATGACGCACCTTAAGTGAAGCCCGTCCTCACTATCCCATCTTCTGGAACCACGGCTGAGTAAACTTGACAGAAAAATCCGTCGTGAGGCAGAGTTCTTGATCTGCATAGAACTTCTCAAACCGCTACCTTTATCTTATGACGCACCTTAAGTGAAGCCTGTCCGCGTCACTCATTACCCAGTGGCCAAACCTGAGTTCAGTTTCAGAAGTCAAAACTAGTGATAAGGAACACTTGCGACCCCGAAACTAACGTTTGTCCCATATTTAATCTTGAGATCGGCCGCAGTTCTCCACTCATTTTTGTGGGATCAGTGATTAGGGCTTTGCTGAGCCAGGCTCTCTTAGAACCACGGCTGAATAAACTTGACGGAAAAATCCGTCGCGAGGCAGAGTTCTTGATTTGCATAGAACTTATCGAGTGAGAGGAAGATTTGATTTTGCGATATTGCAATCGTGCAAAAGAATAGGCAAAAAGTTGGCAAAAAGTTGAGCGTGCCCAAAGCGTGCCAGCTGCGTAGTATCTCCCCAATCACTGGCACTTGCATGTCAACTTTACTACTTCACTCTTATCTTTGGCACTTACCTTCATCCCGCTCTGTCCGCGACGAATTAACCTTCAAACTTTTCTGGAGGTTTGTAGGTTCTTATGCTTTGTCAAATGACTGGTCACCAGATGTCGTAACTTCTGTAGAGCGCCCAAAATTCAAATAGAGTTGCAGTTTGCACCTGTTTACACGTATCTCTCATGTTCTTTCCACCCACTTTCGCTCCATCTTTATGTTCCAAAATTGGGTGCCCGGGGTTCGATAAAAGGCCACTAATCTCAGCCAACCAAACCAAAGCCCCTCATTCGACGCTTTATACTGCTCTACCAACTCGCAACACATCATGACAGACCAATTCCCCAGTCTCATCAAGTCGGCTGCCGAGACCTTCACCAACGAAACCACGGCCTTTGCACAAATTAGGATCGAGAAAGGCGTATTCAAAGCGCGTTTGCAAGCTGTTGAAATTATGCAACAATTCGTGGGTGATGTTACGTTCGGGCAGGGTGAGGTACCGTACTTTGACTGCAACGTTCATATGCTGATTTTCTCTAGATCCCAAGGGTATCTTGTTTTACAAGCACGTTTTTGACTTTGAGGTCAGCCAGGTCGACTTCACCTACCAGAAGTACTCTGGCCCTGGAAGCCTCGTAGCCATCAAGATCGACTTCAAAGACAAAGGGTCCACCAGGGCCTTCGCCACTGTACGTCACCTCTGCGTATGCATGTAAAGTTAACTAACTAATATTCTGTCGCTAGTTCATTTCAAGAGTAGACACCAGCGTATGATTTTGTAGTCGATCGTTTTTATGATTTATCGTTGACCCAACTTCAGAAATATTCCATTCCCCTCAATGCTAGTGCTGGGGGGGTAGGAAGATGGACCCGATTCAAGGCCGCGACAGCCCAAGTAGACGCCATCAGGCAACACGATGCTACGCGTCTCTACCTCCAACTCCCGCCTATCGGGAGAGAGGTATACTTCGAGACCAACAAAAGATCAAGTCTCAGTGAGTATCAAACTCGCTGCTACTTCTGATCATTCTGATAATTGGACTCCATTCGGTAGAGTCGTCGGGTATCCTCATTTTCCGCGATATTACGAAGCTCACAGACAGGCCTCTCGCCCCGGAGGGTGATGATAGGCAGCTGTTGGCCGATTACGCTCCCGATAGGATTGTGTTCAGTCTCAAGCAAAAAGTTCCTACGGAAAGGCCCAAGGAGTTTGCTCTGGTCGGTCCACCCTCTATTCTAATAGCCCCGATACTGACCATGAGTAAACCGTCTCCCTTAGTTCCTCCGTAAGTTTGCATATATTGAACCATATTATTTGCTTCAAATGCTTGATATTATCAGCCGTCGACCCGTTGAGAGATGTTGGTACTGTCGGCGTTACGCAGCCGGCCACCTACTGGCGACCATTCGAACCCGACCACGGCTTTGCAGCCTTTTCTCTGGCATCGCCCGAGGAACCCGAGGAGGCTGAACAGGCATAAATCAGAATTAGATCAGTGAAGTGATGAATGGTCGGTTTGCTTACGCTGTAAATCTCGCAATTGTCGTATCCCCTGAATCGTGCTGTGTATATGCTCAGTTTTGAAGAAACATTTGTAGCTAGGAATGTGATACTGTTTTTGTTTCTCTAGCTTCTCACACCCTTGGCATGACGATTGGACGTCACGTGAAACCTCTAAGGTCCATTCTTTGTCAATTGAGAATTGGCCTCCGAGGTCATAAGCACTCCTGGCACTCCCTGCTAAATCCTAAATGAGAAGGGCATCGGGTGGCAGATCTTAGTGCTAATACCAGTGGAAGTGTCTGCCAGTGGAAGTGCCTGTCAGTGCAAGTGCCTAGCACTTGCACTTATGATAGCTTATGCCAGTGATCACTCGCACTATTTCCGCGCACCTGAATGTTACGATATGTTTTATCCCATATTTTAGATGTTTCTTACTGTCCATATGTCAAATGTACCAATTCTATTCAATGTATGTAGGAGTGGCAAAATATCCCACTTGATCTGAAAAGGCCTCGACTCCGTATTCGTAGGGCTCAGTCGGGCAGGGTTCAAAAACGTCCTGGGGCTGCTCCTTTGATGACGGATAGCGTCAAACTGGAGGGAACAACGTGAATCCAAGTGAGGGACTAGAGGGATGTGTCGAGTGGCACCACGTGTGGATTTTGGTTGTTGTGGGTGTGGTGGTGGTGCGGCGGGAGGCTGGACCATAAGGGGAGCTGCCGTTTGGTTGAAATCAATATTGATCCCCATGCGCCGGGGTGGGAGCACGTCATTGACACTGATTGCAAGAAGAGGATTGTTGTCCGAGCTGTCTGTGCACTGCAGCAACCCGAAGTGAGCACCTTTGTTAATCGTAGTGCACTGATCTTGCTTGCAGATGTTGGAGTTTCCAGGTTAGGCGAGACCAGGATGAGGGGGGTCTGCGATAAGATGTCCATCATGTGGCGGGAGAGGAAGGGGACGTGCGTGTTGTTGGCCTGGACCACATATGCCTGATGGGATCGGAATGTCACCGAATGGGGTACAAAACCTGAAAATCACGTTGGGACGGAATATAAAGGGGCGCATGGAGGTTGCTGTATCAATTGGGGCTTGAGCGAACAGAGAACCTGTGCCCGTGGTCCAGTGGAAGCAAATGGTGAGCCAAAATGCGTAAAAATGAATGGTGAATTCGTGCCTGTTGATGGGAACGATGACAGAGTAGAAACGAAACCCAGTAAGTACAGATGGAGAACGCAAGCCAGAGGTGTAAGCAAGGGGTGGGTAAGGCAGGAGGCGGGGGCGATGCGATTGAATTGTTTCCTTCCGTTTGTGTGTCGTGCTGGCAGAGGGCGTAGAGCTGTGCGACTCAGTCCAATTCCCAGTGCTGGTTGCGCTGGCTTGCACGCCACCAGTTGCTAGCCTCTTCACGATACCCTTCGTTTCTCAACATGGACAGCGCGCGGCGTTGGCGCCAGAGCTGGGGTCGGGGAAGGGTGGGTACACTTGCTGCATCCTTGCGTAAGACGGGCTGGTGATGTGGGTGACACAATCTCGGATGCTTGAGGCTGTTAACTTGTACATTTGTCAGGGCGAGGATTGTGATGAATGCTACGAAGAGATAAGTAAAAATAAAAACAAATGAATATCGCAACAGTACCTTTGTAAGCTCAACAAAGTCCCTCGCAGCGTCGTACCCCCACACAAACGTATCAGCGCCCCCGTAGGTTCTCAGCATTGTCATCCTCTGAAGAATGAGGCATGGGATGACGTTGTCAGATGCGTGGAAGGGCTAATGAGGCATCAGGCAGAATTTGAAGGCACTGGGTAGAACATTGCGGGGGTGGATGGCTCTGTATGATATGAGACGAAGCTTGGGGTGGCTGATGCAGCATGGACTTGGTGACCCCTGGACCTTGCAATATTGCCAAGGGGCCCGGCGGCTAGGCAAAGCACAACCGTGCTATCGTGAGGTTGGCAAGGGGTGGAGTGGTACCTGCAGTATGTGAGCTTCGTTGAGCATGAAGAGGGACAACGTTGAACGTTGACTTGTTCAACATTGGGTCACATGTCCATAAAATCGCATGAGGGAGTGTCCGGGCTGGTCCGCTTGGGGGAATAAAAAACATATAAATTGTGTAGCGCACTCAATTCTGGGTAGAATATTCCATCTTTCAACAAAAATGTACAGTGACCTTTCTGAAACATTTTGAGATAGGTAGTTCTTTAAAATGGAGGAAAAAAATAAAAGTCTGACTGTACCCAAGGGGTGAAGACGATTTCGTTTATAAACTAAGGATACCATTGACAAGTTATCGTCTGACTACCCTGCAAAGTACCGATCTCAATTTATGCAACGAATAATTTGATTCTTCTGACTAATTTACTAAATCTTCAAGTGTTTAGGTGGAGAAACGAGTGCCGTAGATTGGTATCTACATCAAATCTACATTACAAAACATGGACTTTCAAAACCTGTCTCAACGTCTGTGCATCCATGCCTGGTGCAACGCTAACGTCAAGACCAAGGGGGCATGATTGAAATTTATGGCGGAGAGCGCGTCCAGTGGGATCGGCTACATTCCCAGACCCACACGACCCAACACAAAAGAAGAGGAGACAAACGGACTCGGTATTGAACATGGTACCTTGTCACCCAGTCTTTGACTTTCGGTCTTGGCATCACCACTAAAAGATCATCAGCCGAGTCAACCAATACTGACAGTAAGGCATACGGTAATGGAGAGAACCACATGATACATCATGCCACCTACTCCACTCCGTAAGCGCACGAAAAGGCTTCTCCTGGTACATAGGGCGTCAAGATCCTATCCAACCAAGCACATAATGTCAGTCCGTTTACGTTGAACACCAAGAACAAACTCACGATGCTCCCCTCCCTACTGAACACCAACCCCACGTACCTCTCCAACTCCACCTTCTTCTGTGCAGCCTGAACGAGAGGCTCAACTGCCTCGCCAGCGGACCGTATAATCTCAACGACCTTCTGAAGGTCTGCCACAGACCTGGACAGTCATCTGAATCAGAATCTCGCACCGCCTTTGTCTCTCTCTCCAATCCATGTGTTTCCTGCTCCAACCGTCTAAACGCATTCCCCACCTTGATAAGCTGCTCAGTTGGCCAGCTCAAGAAACATACAAAGCCTCAAGAAGTCTCGTTCAGTCATACTGCATCATCTGGTGAGTTCAATGAAGAGAGGCGATTAGGGAACCAACCTCGATGAACGCCCTAAACCTGGGGGTCACATCCGACATTCATGCTCGATCTTCCATTTCGCATATTTCGCATGGGTGTAAGTGGGGATGTACCCCATGCATGCTTCCCTAAACTCCCCGAAGAGTTAGAGATAAGGAGCGGAGATGGAGGAGATATTGAGGAGGGGCTGTTCCTTCTTCCGGGCTTCAGAGAGCCGAGAGAGGATGCTGGAGTGGTAGCCGAGAACTTGCTCATAATTCCCAAATGTGTTTTTGATGAATTGGTCGAGACGTGGTGGGGGAATGATTAGGGGGTTCGCGGTGCGCAGGGGTGTGATGTACATACAGCTGGTATGTAGTGGTAAGCACCTAGGAAAGAAACACGAAAAAAAACGCACTCCTTCAACGTTTCCAGGGCTTTGACCGAATTATTCACCCTCGCAGCCCTTTGAAACCTCTTCGACGGGCCTGCGCACAGTCTGAGTCTCACTGTCTCGTCCGCATTCGTTCTTCGTCCCCCCCTCCTTTTTGCCCCCCTCCCTCCGCTCTTCCTTCCGTCCCTAACTTGGCCTTTTCATCAGCTTCGATGATTGTCAGAGATTCCTCATGGAGCCCAAGGCGTTGGGATGGTAGGATGATGATGTAGCGGAAACCATCGGTGTGGGAATATAGCACAGGGCGCCAAGTGGGCGCTAAGTTGGACTTATGTCGGTTGTTAGCATGTGCGCCAAGTGGGCGCTAAGAACTTAGAGAAATATCTCGGTTGTTAGTAATAGGAGTGGCAGCCAGCGCGCTGACGCTTTTCAGTGACGGGCAAAAGGGAGCCCTCGCAGTGCCAAAGGATCTGAGATGGATGTCATCTATTTATAGTAGCGAGGACGCCAAGGAGTGCGTGGGCACTAGGCCTTGGGAGGCCAATTACTCATTGCCAAAGAATGGACCTTAGAAGGGGTCCTGTCACTAATCAGTGTCATGCCTTAGGTGGCTTCTCAGGTTCTACCTGATTTGATCTGGAATGGTGGTGATTTAGCCGAGTTGAATTGCTTTCTTTCTTCAGCATTCAGCATTCGCTAATGAGGAATCCGAAGTGCATTTTGAAACGTTAGGTGGGTGGTGGAACTCACTGGAAAATTTTGGATGTGTGCATAAAACCTTCTAACACGTCAAAAAGAGCATAAAATCTGTAGCGTTTTTAACATTGCCCTGTTCCTGATTCGACAGGAAAGTTTAGTTCAAGGACTCAACCCCGAAGCTTTAGCCTTTGAACCAACAGGGCATAGAGTGACAAGTTAGAAGGCTATTGATATCGGGACTTTCGAGCTGAGCCTGATCAAAAGGTTTGAAATGAAATGACCTGATCCTGAATCGAACAGGAACCATCTGACAGAGCTCTACGACGTCAGCATAAGCAATAGTCTCCAGATGTGCTTGTAGTCATTACACCGCCAGGTCGATGTTGCTCCTACCAAAGGTTTTGTGAAGTCGGGGTAAAGCTCTGACCTGAACATCAATAACGCTGCACTGATCGAGACCATGCACAGTGACGAGACATGCAACATTAATATACCAGATGTGGAGAGTCGTGAGCCGAGGTGATTCGGCTTGAGCTTGCAAAAAGCTATCGTTTTACAAGATGGCCCAGTTCTGTAAAATTCTCCAAATGTGCAAGCCGTTATGGTACAGTCATCCACCAGCCAATGAGATGCCACCATCATTTGAGACACTTTTGCCTACCTAATATCTCACTCAATACGACACCAATATTTACAAAATAAATTGTAACATGTAGTAAAAGCTCATATCTACCACTCTACAAAGTTTGGATGCAGTCAAGGCAATATTGACGGTGTTGTGGAGTTTTCAAAATGGACTGTTTTTCGGAAGTAGCCGAAATACAGTCACACCACTCATTGAGACACTCATAATATTGGTTTTTCTTCATGAAAAGTTGTTCAAACATTCTGAAACTTGGCACAGTTATAAAAGGGTATTTATCTCAGAGTTTCATGTAGTTTTTGGAGTGAAAGGTTGTGCTTAAATTTGTTGAAGCTAATTTTTCAATTTCGGTGTCTCATTAGCCGGTGGATGACTGTATATCAAACCGATAGGCGAAGATTCAAGTTATCAAGGGAGAATCATGCACAGGAACCTTCCAATTGAAAGAGCTTCCTAGCCAATATTATCCCCCGTTGTTAACAAGACCCTGCTGAACTTGGTTGGGTAAGGTTGATGTAAAGCTTCGGACTAAAAAAAGGAAGGATCGTGCGTAATGACCCAGTCCTGAGTCGAACAGGAACCCCCTGATTGGACGCCACCGGTGAATTTGACAGTTTTGAAAGTTTGGCCAGATGTGCGAGCCGTTACACCACTAGGTCGGTACCAAGAGCTTACGAAGGGTGGCTTTGACGGTCGAGCGATGGCTTTGGCCCAAAATTAGTGGTCTTAAATGACTTCAGCATGACCCAGCATGACCCAGTTGTAAACCTCTGGCTAACGCTTGGAATCCTCTAACGGGTATGCCGCACAATTCGCATCCAAATCCTCAGTGTAGGTTGGTCAACGTTAAAGCAAAGAACTTGGAAGCTTTCAAGCGTATCAACTCCAAAATACCAAGTCTTCCAGAGACCTAATCCTGAATCGAACAGGAACCCTCTGGATGTAATGCCCGGTATCGCTAGAAATCCTCCAGATGTTCGCACCATTACGCCACTAGGTCATAGGATATGCCGAGTAGAGGTTGTGTAAATTGTACGAGTAGGGGCAGTATTTTAGCCCTTTGAGTCCGAAGGTCGGTGAAGAGGATCTTGCGAGGAGAGTAAGTACCGAGTCGCCCCCAGCTATGATTTGGAGAGTAAGGTGCCAGATTGAAAATCAGGTTGAAGCCCACCACGCAGTAGCTGCAGCAGTTGTCGTCCGTCCTTGCCGCAGGCAAGAGCGGCCGAAGAGAGAACAATAGCTGACAGGACTCTGGAAAACTTGAAACGGCGAGATATGCCACATGGCAGGCATCAACTTGGCACGTCACATGCGTCACATGTGGCAGACGTGATCCTACTGTGATCCTCCTCTTTCCTCGTTGAACGCGTTCTTCACCACAAGATTTTCTAAGACTCGCACCAGCCCCAATGCCAGAATAAAATTCCACACGATGAAGAGTATAAAATGTTTGATTGCTGTGCTTCGGTAGGCACTACTACATCAGCAAACCTACACTTTACTTGTCAGCTTTTCACGACTTTTTGTGACTGACAGCTTGTCGCCAAGTCAACAAGTCGACACAAGCTCACAAGCTGACGAGGTGCCTGACCATGAGGGGACTTAGCGAAAAAAGTGGTTCGCGAACTTGCTTATGTAACAGTTGGTAACCACGTCCGTTCTGTAATTTCCCTCTCATCTTAACCACACCATCATCCACAGTGACCACCCACCTCTGCTGCGTCACCACCGCCACCACCAACCATTACCTCCCGGAACCATCGTTTGACCTCCCACAACCACGATAGCTCACACCGACGACACCAGCCCCGACAAAACGACGTGGTGACGCCACGTCACCAGCCTCAACCACGAGCACCAGTCAGCCCAATGCCGCCACGCCACGCCAGCAGCGACAGCAACCAGGCAAGCACCAGCCGACTCAATGCCACGTCGCGGTGACGACGTGGCTTGTCAACGGTACGTTACATCTTTGGCTCTTCGGTCTCTCCTAGATTTCTCGTCCACCCATCTCTCCAATTCACTCTTTTTAGGCTGGAGCCTGGTTTTGTTAAATTAGATAACAAAGTCATACAGAAGCCATCGCATTCACCATTTCGTTCTTTTTAGCCCGCTGCTATGTGCCCAAGAACTTTCCAAGCCGAACCTTCCTGACGTGCCACGAAGTCCACAGCAGCAACGACGACGACGACAAATGATCGTGGAGGAGCGAGTGCTGCCAAAAGGTCAGCAACCCCCGATATCCCCCCCCTTCGATTGACAAGTCCCCAGCCAGTCGCCGTTGCCCACACCACACACCAACCATCGCCACGTCACTCCGCCGTGCACGCCGTTTCGACGCCATATGTACCAGTATGCACTTGCAGGGGCAGGAAGGAACTTTGAGAAGGGGGTATACAGAGCTTGTGGAAGGGACCCAATGGGGGAGGGATGCGTCCCTCCTGGCGTCGCTGGTGTGGATGGCAAAGGATTCTTTAATAGTGTACTGTCGTATTCTCACTGTATTGTGCTAGTACCATACAATGATCAGTTATACCTAATTTTTTGCTACGAAATACCAAAAATAAGATGACCACTTTTCTGGGCTTGTCAGCTTGTTAGAGCTCGTCAAGCAATCTCGCAACTCAACTTGCGAGATTTTTGGATCTACTTGTCAACTTGTGACTTGTGGCTCGTTTCGACTCGTTTGGGCTCGTACGAGTCGAAAAAAGCCCAAACAAGTCGTGACAAGCGGAGTGTAGAAATACTGATGTAGCTTTTCTCTGTAACATTTCTCTTACCACTCTTTCCCAGATAGCGGATCTACACGCCCTACTGGAATAGGTACATAGTTGCAACTCGCAAGCGATGACTACCTAGCAAAGTTAACGTTCAGGTGTTCTCTAAACATCGCATCAACATCGCATAGCCATCGTCCAGAGACCTCAAGCTCAAGTACACATCGACACCCTGACACCCACTCAAACCCGCTCATACATGCGTATATACGCCTTGGCATGCAACACCTTCTTTAATGTCCCAGCCGCACGGTCATATCGCTAATATTCGCCCACTGCCTTTCCCATTTGTGGTCCGGCTTGCTTTGTGCCGGTTTGAAAGTCGCACCATTCTCCATAGTGGTAGACTCTGTATGTCTTTGTGAATCCGCTCCGGGCGACTGAGAAGGGAGCGCAGTATACGCAACATAATGGCTTTCAAGCTATAATACATCATTAGCCCCAAGAAAAGGAAGAAAAGACGGAAAGAGACACACCATGTTCCCAATGTACACCACAACAGCATACGACCGACACATACACCTCTCCTACCCCTTCCCCGCTTTCTCCCCATCAACCCCATCCATCCTCCTCTCCCTCAAGCCATAATCCCTCTTCCCGGGCGCCAACAAGGCGTCAAAGCGAGGTACTCGGGGAACGTCACATAATCATCCAACTTCTTGAATCCATGCGTCTTTGGGATTTGCTGGAACTGCTCCAAGTGGACGACGGCCCGGGCACGGGCGAAGGCGTAGCGATGAGGCAACGATTGTACGCTGGTCGCATGATCACCGGTTTAGGCACACAAGGGAGTTTCTTCGTTGTTGGAGGTGCGGGTTGTTGAATCGTGGCGGGCTTGGAAGGCGAAGTGGTCGATGCAGTCAGCTGTTGATGCGACCCCATCTCCTGAGGCGGCGTCGAACTAGGCTAGATCAACGATTCTCATCTACACTCCCAGATCTCTCGTCTTCGTCAGTCGCGTTGAACACATCCTTGCGCTTATTGTGATGCCTCAGCACCGGTGGAATAAGTAACGGCCCCGAGCTGACAGTAACCTGATTCCCAGTATATTGAGGCGATCCGTGGGCTAGGAGCAACGACTACACCTTTGAACGTGGGCTAGTTGCTCCGTGGGCTGTTGCTGGTGGTCAACATCCCAGTACATCAGTAATTTGTCAAAAAAGTTTTCAGGTTTTTCATGGTTTTCTGGGTTTTCTGGCTTTCAGAAAACCCGGAAACCTCAAAACCTCGAAACCGGCATAGGCCAATACATACAGCTAAAATATTTTATCTACATACTAAGTACTAATTATGGCAACCTTAAGTGGGGCATTAAGTGTGCACGGCGGTGACCTTTATACTTAGTCGTGGCCTCAGGGTTAGCTCGCTAGAAGCCTCCAGACTCCTCCAGAACATTCTATCAATGGTTCCGAGTTGTTCCGATTGTCCCGAATATTCTCGCTTGATTCTCGCTGACCCTGAAGTCATTACTTATATAAAGTCCACCAAATGTTTTCAATTCCCCCCACCAGCGTTTGCTGGTCATATGTAATAATATTGTATCCCAAACTAAGTAAATGTAGCCGTCGAAAACATGTTTTGAGGTTTCAATGGTTTTTACAAATTTTCTAGGTTTCCGTACATCATTATTGAGCGCGATTTCCAAGGAAAAGGACTTGGGTTTCCAGATACCATGGTTTCCAGTTTTTTTTGTGTTTTTCAGAGGTTTTCTGGGTTATAAAACCTCTGGAAACCAAAACTACCAATTGCTGATGTAGGCTAGGCTCAGCATGCCGATGAGGAACGGGTGAATGGGTCTGGAGGTGATATTGATGCCGTCGTCCCATCGAGCAGCGCAGTCGTTTAAAATAACAAGCATCCCATTCGGTCCAAGTGACTCATCGCTCTGCAACTCGAGATCCACTTGTCAGCGTTAAGCGCAGCATCAACGTCTTCTTCGCCATCACTGTCATCTTCCTCGCTCTCGCTAGTCACTTCGTCATCGTAATTTGACGTGAAGAAGGGGTAGTTCGCATCGAATGGGTGGCTAATAAACTCAAACTCTGAGTCTGAATGAATCCCCATCTGCTTCTGTATCGGCGAGTGTTCTTCGTGACTCTTTCGACAATTTCAAGGATGATGACGCGTCGGGAGACAGATTTGATCGAAGCTTTCTTCGCCTTCGTTGTTTTGCTTGTTTTGACTTTAGCAGTGGAGGAAAGTTAGGTGGAGGGAGAGGGGATTGACGAAAGGTGAACTCTTCCTCGAGCGGTGAAAACGAATGGCATGTTTGAGACTCCTTCCCTCCGAGGAATAGTGGTCGTATTGATGGCTATGTGGACTTGCGTAGTCCAGGAGTAAGGCTAGACACCAATGTCAGACAAGGAAAGAAGCGTCAGAGATAACGAACGTGTATGATTCCTCTCTCAGTTTCCACACCTTCCTTCGTCCGTGAGTGTTACAGTTGTTCTTCATTGTTGATTTTGGCAAGCCTCAACCTTGCACCTTCAAACATTTGAGATTCTCAATTTCGAGTAAGAGCCTTGAGCGACGACCAGCGAATAGAATTCTACAAATTCTTTAACAGCCTGATCAACCATGCCCCGGAAAAGGGCCAGACAATGGCGATGCTTGTTTTTTCCGGGAGAGACGAGGAGCAGTGATAGAATATCCGTTTGAAAAACGTCGCCACATTGGGGAGACAGCAAAAGACTTGAAATATGGTAAGTGAGACGGAAAAAGACTTGAAATGATATGGTAAGTAGTTGGGCAGTACAATGGCTGCTTGAGCTTGGCCTGAGCGACGTTGAAAACGCATGCACGGTCAAACCTTTGGCATGACGGCGACTTCGAGCACAGCCTCAACACAGCCTCTAGACATGAATTAGCAGTTGTATCTTCCTTACCAGCCCATCACATCTTGCACCTACAGCGATAAACCGCATGCCCTTCTTCGCCCATGCCTCAGGTTTTACCGTCAAAGACAGTCATATGTCCGAAATTGGTGGGGACTATTTCAACATCCATTTCGCGATGCCCGCGGAATCTACAGGTTGGTTCGGAATTTCAATGTTCAATGATCTCATTGAACGAAGTGTCCAGAGCGCATCGCAAAACAATTACTGGGAAAAGGGAAAGAGCGCGATCTCGACAACGGCGATGCGGAAGCAGATGGACCCAGAAAGAGATTTAGAGAAGTTTGCGAGGAAACTTCGGACGGCCTGATGGTTCGTTTCTTTTCATGAATCATTCCCTTCACAAATTCCTTTTCCGTTTCATAGATTATACCCTCAAAGGACATAGACTTGCATAGACAACTAACAAGTGGTTCCAATTATCGCATACACTCGGCGTTCTACGGAGGGCGCGTTGTTGCGGTCAAGGTTTTCGATGGCCCTCGCGCTAAGCAGGTAAATAAAATTATCATTCCACCCAGGGGATTCATTAATCGTAACTCTTGCAGAGTTGGGAGCTCAATCTTACTTCGGCTCAAAACTTTTTGTGACTATCATCACTTGAATGATTTTTCAAATTTTCTAATGACTCACACAAAACCCAGCCATTCCAATGTTCCAAAAATTGTCGGGGTTTCTGGCAAAAACATATCAGGAAGTCCATTTATCGTTTTTTGTGGAAGTGAGTCTCCAGTATTCTCTTCAACACCCTATGTATACTCATGGAGATATCAGTATCTGGCAGAAAAATGAATTCATTGTTAGCTAAAGCATTGCGTAACGATCTAAATAAGAGTGTTCAGCTATCGATGAAAACGGTCAGTTACCTTGTCGGCGATAGTGATGCTGCTTATACACGCAAATGACACCAGGTCAAAGGTCTCGCGGTATGTATAGTTCTGTTTCGACCATGGCTTGTCTAAAATACGTTTTCCTGTATACCAGGCGGGACTGAGTTACATAGAATCTCAAAACCCTCTATCGATAGGCGTAGTCAGCAACCTGAAATGGGAGGTGAGTTTATAAGGTTGGCCTTTCGCACTGAGACTCTTACTTTCGAGGTTCAGGACTTCGACATATTTGCTGGCGGCAGCGATGAGCCAGTTCTTTCAATTCACATACCGGACACCACTGCTCATGGAGCACATCCGGATCCATCTTACCGTCCAGAAGACCGCCGCGATGGGATTGAAATATTGAGCGAGCTCTGTCAGAAAGTCCGTACTCTCTCCTAATGTAGACAGACCTATCCATCGCTGAGACAAACCATCTTTTTTCATTCCAGCTGTTTTCGGAGGTCAATTCCATCCTCTATGGTACCACATTTATTTCCAAATTTTCTACAGTCGCTGAAATTCAATAACAGATGATTGTCCAGAAAGGGAACTCGACACCGACGACTTATTCGAAAATTACTCTAGGCGCCATTCAAATGTCGCCGGGGACGTTTCAGGCTCGACGGAAGCGCACGCGTCTCATAAAACTTCTCGGCGCGAGGTGCGGTGGAAACTTGACAAGAATGCAAACAATCGAAGCCTCGAGTCTATAGTGCGTCGTTTCGAGGACTACCTGGACTGTGTTTGGGCATCCTCAGCAGACTCTCCCCTACGTCGTATCACGGCGTCGCCTCACAGATGGGTTTCCCATCGTTGTCCCGAGTATCTTCGCGAGGAGATAACACTCACAGCAGACGCGTCAAGAAGCGTTGTTGTTGCTTACCAACACCCCAATCAAAGCGAGATTTGCACAATTTGTGGCCAGCTTGTTCAATATCCTAGCAATCCAGTAAGCATCGGCGACGACGTTTGATGAGGGACCTATGATAGAATTTTCACCGCAGGCAGGCATACAAGCAAGGAGGAGAACGAAAGAAGCGAGGTTCAATTGCGTTATGTGCTACCAAACGTTTACTACTAATCACAACCTAAAGGGTAATTCCTTCTCACTCACTTCGTTGCCCATCTGCTCACCAGTTCTATTCCAGACCATGTCAAAATTCATCTTGGCATAAAGGACCACCCTTGCATGCGCTGCCGCCGAGATTTTTCTACTCAGGGCATTTTGCGAAGGCATCTCAAGACCTGCAGAGCTCCCGAACATTTCTGAAGTTCGCTTCTGCACTTCAAGCTCCAAGCTTTATTCCGCTTTATTTTGAATTCGCATGCCAGAACTCATAACTTAGATCAACTTTATCCTCTATCCTCTACCCTCATTAAACATACCCAATGACATGACATTCTTCTGTTGTTTACTATCATATAACAAGTCGCCCGGCACAGAACCCTCATTCTCGTCTCCACTCCCAGAACTCTCATCTTCAGTTGCTCATTGAGCCGTAGCTGGTCGCCAATGTCCCGGTAGAATGGGCAGAGGACGCCGATGAAGAGCAGCTGAGTGTGTCTGGAGTGATATTACAGCTGAGTGTGTCTGGAGTGATATTAATTGAGTCGTCCTATCGATCAGCGCAGTTGTCTGAATTGAAGAAGTAGGCATCCCATCTGGTCCAAGCTCATCGCTCATACTCTACACTCGTAGCAGCCGAGGAAATGATGTCTGTGGTATCGTTCGTCGAAGTATGGCATCATCTGTTGAAGACGCCACGTCATCCATCGCATGAGGAAGGGATGATATAGAACGCTGACTATCCATCCGCGTTCAAACTTTTGTAAAACATCCTTTTCTTCGGCTTCTTCCTCCTTTTCTGCATGCGCTCAATCCGCATCCTGGTCACCTTGGCTTTAGGCGGTGCAGGGGGATCTGTACATCGTGTTGGGGTAGTGGTCGGATAGCGGCAAGGAGGAGGGGAGTATAGGTCGAAGGCGGAAGAGGGCCGCGAAAGCGGGACGAAGAGCGGATGGGGTTCAAGGAGGATGGGGTGCTTGGGGAGGAAGAGAGGGTTAGTCCGGGAATGGATGTCATGCTCGTGCATGAGTTCTCTTTATCGAGAGCCCATGAACCACGTCAATTATTGTTCGAAGGCGTCTTCCAGTTGTCAGGGTTAAGCGCAGCATCATTGTCTTCTGTTATCTTCTCTTCATTCTCGCTGGATATCTCGTATCGTCATTTGACATGACGAAGTGTGGTTATTCGTGGTCTCTCGACGATTTTGAGGATGAGACGTGTCGGGAGATGGATTTGACCGGACCTTTCTGGGGCTTCGTTCTAGCCTGCTGCATTGAGAGGGGTTGGCGAAAGGTGGACTCTTCCTCGAGTGGTAAAAACGAGTGGCATGTATGAAACTCTAAAATCTTTTTTTTTGGAGAATATTTGTGGACTTGCGTGGTCCAAGAGTGATGCTAGACACAGCACACCAATGTCAGAGACAGGGAAAGAAGCAGGGTTGGGGATAACAAACGTAAATGATACCCCTCTCCGAGTCAGTGTCCGCAACCTCCTGCCACGCATGTGCCTTTGAATGGGGGTGTTGAATATGACGCTGAAGCCGGTGTCTGGGGGAAAGAGAGATGACGGCGCTTTGAGCGTTGCTCGACTGGAGAGGAGTCGGCACCGCGGGGTCGCTTTAGCATCAGATTGAGTCCAACGTTCGACGACGTCGCTGCACGTCGACCAAGCCTCAAGGAAGCGAAATTCAAATTGAAATCCATAATGCGATCACGTGGGCGTATTCAGACGTACTCATTGTCCACAACCGCCCACACCAACATTTGGCTTGATCAATTCTACTGCTTCCTGCTTACAAGATTGTCTTTGACGTCCACAAGGACATCCTTCAACTCGACTTACTGTCGTCGCCATCAAGCCTACGCCCTTCACATTCAACGCTACTGAAAGCCGCCAGCCTAGGCGCGGTCAGCTTCAGCAAACTGTCCCATAGCTGGTTGGTGGCTGACCCTATCTCTTGACGCAATAAACCTCATGCACATATCCCGACCCTTCCAGTCTGTCATACCTTTCTCTTTCTGTATACAAATTGAATCTACAAAAGACGCCATCTAACTCTCTAAGCAATCTGGACGACACCGCCAGGTACACTGACGACTTATTTCACTCATGTAAGCCACCATCGCCCAACTGAGAGACGCATCCTCACCGTTTTACCAACATCGCCTAGCAGCACACTAACGTCAAGCACCATCATCGCTCGCATCCTCACACCTGTCAGCCTCCGCGAGCAACCCACTCCCGTCTCTGAGTCAGCCACTGCCGCGGTCACATCTCCTAATGCGCCGTGGAGCCCATGGGGCTAAGCGCTATAAGCCGCCGCATCTCTTGCCTGGGTTGTTAGTCGTTAGCGTATCTTACATCGCGCTGTCTCATCATTTATCTTCAGTGGCATCGATACCTTTGGCGGAAATATCGACGGTCTCCTCTACCACTGGCAAGCATTGTCTTTTGATCAACAAATCGGGCCAGTGCGTTCTTACAGTCATTTTTAGACTCGATAATCCTCATTTTGTACCGCTGTCAGCCTCCTCTTCATCACGTTGTTTCGATTTCGCATTCAACACCTCCGAGCATTTGCTCAGTTAGCTCCCCATCGGCGAGTAACCTCCCAGTTGCAGAACAACCAATCGCCGCGTCACATACACCCTGAAGCATCCTGGGTACTGGTGTATCCGGGTGTGGAAAGTTGCCCCTTCATCGGGGCGTGGGCAGGCAGATGCGTAATTGCACTGGATGATCGTTGGGGGCCTTCTTGAAGGTCTCTGACGTCATCTCATCGGGCGTGGTATCGCGACATTGTCGAGCAGATGAAGCGGTGGTTGGTTGTTCTGCTTGTGGCCTGGGTACTCTGCTTGCAGACGCTTTAACTCTGTAAGCGTGCTCCCCTATTCACAACCATTTTCAGTCAATTACAGCTCGTTATTCTTGTAAGAGGTCAACCCGGATGGCCTTCCTCGCCCATTGCCTCAACATGCACTCGTTGAAGGGTTTGAGATTATTTTTTGCCATCATATGGTTCTATTCTGACTGTTAACTTCTTCAGGTTCCAACACAGCGCTTTATATTTGCCGAATCGTATATCGATGTACTATTCCCGGCCCGTTTGACCATTGTCATAAATACGCATATCAAATGCTGTCCCCTTTCTTGTTTCTCTCTCTTCTTTTCAACCGCCATTTCTTGAACGTGTCTTCTGCAACACGACACTTTATATCTGTCGAACTGTCCCCGGCCGTCTGACAATTCTCACAAATTCGGATATCAAGTTCTGTCCCCTTTTCTTGTTCTCATTTCCAACCGCCATTCCCTGAACGCTTCTTTTAGTGCACTCTTCCCGGCTGGAACCGTTTTGTGTGCGTTGTAGCGGCTCTGATTTTTTTTTTGTGATGGACTCTCGGACAATTTTGTATTTTCTGAGTAGTAGCAATTATAGAAGACACTAGAAGCATATAAATAAGGTGGTGATCTAGACAGCTAGGAAGAGAAAGATGCTTGATTAGTGGACGAAAAATCATAAGGAATATAACCGCACATAAATGGTATGTGAACATAGTCCCTCGCCGTTAATCCTCTGAATAGAAAGGCGAGCTTTCCAACGCCATAGCAGCATACGGCGCTGGCAATTTATGCACACCCTCCAGCATCAGTGGGAGTGGATCAGTCTCCGAAGACGGCCAAAACCTCAAAACCTCCCAAGACGGAATATTAGCAAGACACCGAAACGCCTGCAAATTGTGAATGTTCTCGTGCTTGTATGGGTTCATTACGATTTCATCTGGAATAACCCAGAATCCCATCGTCATGTTCTCCCCGACCCATACGCAGGTGTGCGTAAGCCCGGGAATGATGCCTGACGCGTCGATGATCTCGATCATTTCGTTGAAAGCTTTGTCGCCGTGCTCGCGGTATGTATAGGTTTTGGGATTGTATTTGTAGTTGCAGTAGCCGAGTTCGAGGGCTTTCTTCAGCATCCAGGACTCGTTCATGAGGAATCCGAAGGGCATGGTGGAACTCGTTGGGAATTATATAGTGCAGTGGGTGGGGGTCGGGTGTGAGGTCTCGACTTGATGCGCGTTAGGTTGGCGCACTGGGTGGTTGTAATTATGCAGTAGCGAAGCGCGGGTTATTTTATACAGTTAGGCAGGATGAATTCGAGTTCGTCGTCCTCGGGCCTAGATACCTTGTATACTATCGTCAATGGTTGCAGATAAAGTCCCCATGTATCCAGGATACCTTGTTGTTGTAGTCTCCCGTGCAGAGTGGGAAGTGTTACAGTCAGGCTGGTGATACCCCCTTGTCCTGGTCCTTGTTCTTTTGTACTAGGGCATCAGTGTCGCACTGTGACCAGGGACTGACGATGGTTTTCGGCCCACCCTTGATCCTCTTTACTATATTTACATAACATGACCACCTGCGAGTTAATAGCCAACCTTCGGCATGAAAGATGTATATCGAACCAGGTCATGATCCTGGGTTAGATACCTTCTGGCCGAAATTACACCCTGGGGTCGCTACCATAGTATACCTGACAAAGTTTGAACAAAGTGCCAGTAAAGCTTTGTCTGAGCGCTGAGCTTTGGCCTGGCAATTAATGTTTTTGATCATGCGCAATGAATCGATGAAGGGTTAAAAGTCAATGACTTTGTCAGGAACAGAACATTAGAATTTGTTGACAATACTTTTCAACCGGAGAGCCGTGCTAACATTTACACCACCTGGGCGTACAATTTTTCGGCATATTAATATCAATAGTTTCAGTCCGTTACTCAAATTCGGCTTTGAAACAACAATCCTCCTTTTCGATACCCCAGCCCTGAATAGAACAGGAATGCTCTGGCTGACCTGCGAGGCGTCATTAACATACCCCATAGTATTCAAAGTCTCCAGATGTGTGGCAAGCTGTTACACCACTAGGTCGATACCAATTCCCTAGTCAAGATTGCGTAAAGTCGAGGTTGAGAAAGCTTCGGCCTGGAAAACGATCTGCATTGATATTGTTAGTGACCTAGCCCTGAATCGAACAGTAGCTCAAGTCCTGGCCATCATTCAAGGCCATTCGCGCACGCTATTATGCCACTAGGTCCTTTACAGGCAGTGCTATCTAGATCTTTCATGGAATAAAAGTCCGAGCCATCCGCCAAGTCAGAAGTCCTGCCGCCAGGTGCATCATGAGTCAGAGATCAAAAAAGATTCAGATGGCACACCTTCATCGCGCATAGATATAAATATCACCCTCCTGGTCCAGCGGTCCGGCAGTCCGGCGATACATTCGAACTGGTCGACGCAGTCAACATTTGACGCGACCCCATCTCCTCGGGTGGTGTCGAGCTAGGCGAGATGAATGTGCCAAAGGCATAAAGTAGAGACAAGATAATAAAAAAGTCGAGGCATTGAAAATTGATGGTCTTGACAACCGAGTTGATGACCTAGTCCCGAGTCGAACGGGAACTCTCTATCTGAAGCTGGTAGGATCATTTGAGATTGCGTAGATGTGCGAGCCGTTACACCACTAGGTCGTTATCAGTAGCTGAAGAAGGCAGGTTAAAGTAGAGACCAGGTGAAGTAGAGGCAAGCTGTTGAACGAGGAAAACACAATTCACGTCACGCGATGACCTAGTCCTGAATCGAACAGGCTCTCTGTCTGAACCACGGTCCACAGTTCTGGAACTTGTCCAGGTGTGCGAGCCGTTGCACCGTTAGGCCGTTATCTATGGCTGGCGAAGGTAGGGTCAAGGCATGGTTGGGTATAGCCTTGAGTCACCCGAAAAAAAGCATTTGATTGGTGGTATTTTATTATGACCTAGTCCTGAATCGAACAGGATGTCTCTGGCTGAAGATTGCACCCACAGATTGCCCACTCTCCAGATGTGTATGTGTGAGCCGTTACACCGCTAGGCCGTTGTCCATGGCTGATGAAGGTCAGATCAAGTCGAGATCAGGTGCAGGATTTGTCCATAAAAAGGTTCTGCTTACATGTGCGTCTCGCGCAGTGACCTAGTCCCGAATCGAACAGGATCTCTCTGTGTGAGTCAATGATATTCTTCATGTTCTCCAGATGTGCGTGCCATTACACCACTAGGCTGTATAAGACCCCTTAATCGAGGCTGGATAAGTTGGCATATGGCGTGGAGAGTTATCGAAGGCATTCGAGCGACATGTTCAGACCAAGGAGATCAATGAGGAACACGCGTTTGCAAGAAGATCCAACTGGGAGAGCAATCATCAGGTGGTAGAGGCAGGATCACGACAAGTTACTGCGGTAGTTAATCTGGAGCACAGCGGCCAGAGGGAATACTTGGCAGACACATCGACTGTCGCAGCGATTCACTGCAGTCATAGTCTCAGTCCATCTTTATGAATCCGTTGAAGCCCTACCAGGCGGTTGAGAAGGGAGCGTAGGGAACGCAACGTAATGGCATCCAAGCTATAATGCACCATTAGCCCCAAGAAAAGGAAGAAATTCAGACGCAAAGGAACACACCAACTCGGCATACAACTGATGCACACACCTCCTTCTCCTCCTCCCCATCTTTCTCTCCATCGACCCTGTCTTTCCTCCACATCTCCAATTCATAATCCTCCTTCCCGGGCGCCAAATCGAGGTACTTGGGGAACGTCCCGTAAGCATCCAACTTTTTGAACCCATGAGAACGAGATAAGATGCTTCTTTGTGATTTGCTGGAGCCGCTTCAGGTGGACGTGGAGGCGTAGCGATGAGGTGACGTTTGTACGCTGGTCGCATTTTCACCGATTTGCGCGGACGAGGTGGGTGAGTCTGGATCTGGTGGACGCAGTCAGTTGTTGACGCGACCCCGTCTTCTCAGGTGCAGTCGAGCTAGGTGAGATGAACGTGCCAAACGTCGGATAAAGTAGAGACAAGATAAAAAAGTCAAGCATTAAAAAGCAATTGTGTCCAAGCCTGACACCTTCATTGACCTAGGCCCGAGTCGAACGGAACCCTCTACCTGAAGCCGGTTGGGGCGTTTTAGATTGCGTAGATGTGCGAGCCGTTACACCACTAGGTTGTTATCAGTTGCTGGAGAGGGCCGGTTAAAGTAGAGATCAGGTGAGGTAGAGGCAAGCCGTTGAATGAGGAAAAAACAATGGAGTCACCAAAGACCTCAAAATGACCTAGTCCTGAATCGAACAGGCTCTCTGTCTGAACCACGGTCCACAATTTCGGAAATTGTCCAGGTGTGCGGAGGCCGTCCGTGAATTGGAAAGTACGGGGGGAAAAAGTACGGGGATTTGTACGGGGTGTACGGCGGCTGACCCTGGCACACTATAGCGGAGTTAGAGGGCAATTGTAAACATGTGATTCAATTCAGTTCTGTGCACGTTGCGCCAACATCGCGCTCGGTGCTCACCGCGTGCGCCAAGCTCCAAGGCCTTTGCAAATAAAATTTCTGGTTAGAAGTATTTGCAGGGAACCAAATTATTTGCATGAGTCAGTAGGTACAAGATGAATTACATGAACTACATGGAAAGAGGCTAAGCGGGGTGCTTGGGTAGCCACCTGTACTAAGGAAACTGTTGAGAGTATAAAAATAGAGGCGAGGAGAGCGGCGGCGGGAAGGGGAAAGGAGCAAGCAGGGATTGAGCGGGGATGATGCGAAGAAGAGAGGAATGCAGCTCCTCTAAATTGTTCTGTTCCTGCAGGCAATGGCGACGAGAGGGATAAAAGAGCGTCGCAGAACACCCTGCGCACTGGGTTTCCACCCAGACATCTCCACCTCCTCCCAGCACATCGCCTTTTCCCCCGTCGGCCCCACCACTCCATTACCCCCTGGTCCAACCTCCGACATTCATCGTGCAATCTTCTGATCTACGAGCGTGGCGGTGTGCGCTCTTCAGGGTGGTGGTATGTCCCCAACATGGCGATGAGCGGTGAGCCGGGACAGACGACGTGGTGACGGTGCTGGAGGACGAATCGACGATCAATGCACACTGGCGACAGACCCGTGATCGCGTTGGGTGTGCGGAAAAGAGCGTAAGAATTTACACTCCGCTGTGCGGCGGAATTACCCGATGTACAAACCGCCGTACTTTCCAAACCCCAGACTTTCTGGGTGTGCGAGCCGTTACACCGCTAGGCCGTTAGCCATAGCTGGCGAAGGTAGGGTGAAGGCGGCCCGCGTGGTTGGGTATAGCCTTCGCCCAAAAAGATGTGGCTCAAGAAATCACATTATACATGACCTAGTCCTGAATCGAACAGAGTGTCTCTGGCTGAGGATTACACTCCCAAATTGCATATTCTCCAGATGTGTGAGCCGTTACACCGCTAGGCCGTTGTCTATGGCTGACGAAGATCGGGTAAAGTCGAGATTAGGTGTAGGATTTGTCCGTAAAAGGATTGACACACTGGTGACACATTTACGACCTAGTCCGGAATCGAACAGGATCTCTCTGGCTGAAGTCAGCATATGTACTTCTAATATTCTCCAGATGTGCGCACCGTTACACTACTAGGTCGGATGATACCCCTTAATCGAGGCTGGGTAAGTCATGTAGCGTGGAGAGTTATTGCCGCGACGTGTTCCGAGTCAGGTTAAAGAGATCGAAAAAGAATCCGCCGGCTTCAAGAAGTTCTGACTCGGAGAGTAATCCTCGGGTGGTAAGAGGCATCATCCCGACAAGTTACTGCGGTAGTTGTCCCGAAGCACAGCGGCCGCAGAGAATACTTGGCAGGATGTGTGCTGTGGTGGCTCAGGCTGCGAGAACACGTGTCTAATAAACGCAGTCCCCGCAAACGGGCGTCAACACAACCGGCAACCACTTTCTTCCACAACTCATTTCTCATTCTCTTCCTCACCCTCAATGGCAAAGTCAAAGCCACTAACCGCACAAGAACTATACAGACAGAGAAGACAACGCGAAGAAGAAGAAAAGCTCGCATATCTACCCCCTGGGTTGATCAATCATGGGAATACGTGCTTTATGAACTCTGTGCTTCAAGGCGTGCGTTTCTCGCCTTAATCTTGCTTTCGGATGGCCTGCTTATCAGTTTCATATACTAGTTGATTGCTACACACCTCCTGAACGATCTGGTTCACTTTACGCCCATCCCACCATCGGTTCAACGATTCTCTTCGACCCCTCTAGCCTCACGACGATCCCCGCAGCTCACGAATGGGCATCATCTGAGCGAGGAATGGGATAAGCCCTGGGTGAACAGCATGCCGATCGGAGATATGTTTTTGAGTCTGATGTACAAGTCATGGGAAGCACAGGCGCGCAGACAGAGGGAGGTTCTCAGCCCAAGGTATGTCTTCCTCACGTTTCTCACCCGCAAGATCTGACATCAGCTTCTGTTCGATAGATCGGTGCTCGGAACTCTTGGGCAGAAATACGATCAATACCTAGACTTTGCACAACAAGACGCGCACGAGTTTCTCAGGATAATACTAGACGCGATGCGAATGGAAGAACAAGACATCATCAAAAAGCGTCAACCGCCTCCCAAAAAACGACGTCGAACAACGCTAACCCCCGCCGACTCAAATGCGCCACTCTCTCCGCCACCCCCGCCTTCACCCATACTAAACGAAGAAGACAAACTCATCTCATTCGTCGACATGATTTTCGGGGGTCAACTGACGAGTATACTCGTCTGCCAGAAATGTAAACATATTTCACAGACCTACGAAGATTTCAACGACATCAGTTTGAGCATCAAACCGGAGGATTACGCCCATCGAAAACGAGATAGGTTAAAGAACTTTGCAAAGCGCCTTACGACATTTCCTTCGTCAAGTGGTTCCACCGCGAAACCCCTTTCCACGGTCCAGCGCCCCTCTTCTGTCCCCCCAACTTCAACTTTCCGCGTACAGACGGAGGTGCTGAGCGTAGAGACGCACGATGATGCTACGCGGAGACGCAGTCTGGATTTACCAACGGAGAAAGGAGAAGATGCGGAGACGCCGTCTCCTGTGACGTCGAAAGAGGAGGAGGTTGATAGTGATAACTCGCACGTCCTGGTGAACGCTACTGGTCCGGAGGATAAACATGTTGAGTTTGTGGATGTGGGGCGGGGGAAGAAGGACAAGGAGAAGGAAAAGAAGGAGGAGAAAAAGGAGGAAAAGAAGGAGGAGAAAAAGGAGGAAAAGAAGGAGAAGGAGAAGAAGGGGGACGATGGGTGGGCGAAGTTGGGGAGGAGGATCAGCCTCACGGTTGGTCTGGGGAAACCTCGGGATAGGAAGAGTCGATCGATGGAACGGATGGGGACATTGGAGGATGAGGCGGTTACTAACCCGACGAAGAGCACCCCCAGCTGGCCATCAACGTCTGCCCTCACTTCCTTGACTTCCACTTCCAAGACTGAGCCTTCGCCACCTGAAATTCAGGTCTCACCGCCCTCTGCTAAACCCTCGTCCTCGACAACAACATCCAATACAAACCCCACAACAACTGCCCCCCGCTTTCCCAACGTCCAACGAAGCAAGTCGCCCAAACCACCTAAACCAACCGCAGCAGAGACAGAGTATCTCCGCAAAATTCTCGCGGACGTTGGGGCAAACCCACCAAACCCATTCAACGCCCTATTCAAACCTATCCCGCACCCTCATCTGCACCATCACCACCACCACCATCACGCAGGGCCAAGTATTGGTACGGGCGCTGGTGGTGGCCGATCAGCATCCATCGGAGGAGGAGGAGGAAGATCAATATCGACAGGCGCACCAGGTGGTTCTGCACAGGGTGTATGGCTGGGGATGAGCCAGTTTAGTGGGATCGAGGATTGTTTGAGGATGTTCACGGCTGTGGAGGTGATGGATGGGGAGAATATGGTTGGGTGTCGGAGGTGTTGGAAAATTGCGAATGGGGTGGATGTGAAGGGGAATGGGTTGAGGGATGGGGAGGAGGAGGAGGAGTCGGGTGATGAGGGGGGTGGGAGTGGGCAGGTTGAGAAGGAGGTGGTGCAGCAGCAGCAGGTGGAGGAAAAGAAGGTGGAGGTGCCGGAAGATCCGACGACGGTGCAGCAGAAACGTACTTTCAAACACGCTCTTCCCCCGCTGTCCCCTCCACCTGTACACATACCAACATCCATGTCCACGCCCACGATGATGTTCTACAAACATCTGAACACGAGTGCGGTAGAAAGCCAGCGTTCTATATCATCCCTTCCTATCACGACGGATGACGTTGCGTCTTCGACAGATGATGCCATGACTTCGACGCCTGATACCACAGACGTCGGTTCTTCGGCTGCTACGAGCGTAGAGTATCTCGAGTTGAAGAGCGAGGAGTCACTTGGACCGGGTGGGATGCCGATTCCTTTAATTCAGACGACTGCGCCGCTCGATGGGACGACAGGATTAATATCGCCTCCAGACGCACTCACCCGCTCCTCATCGGCGTCCTCTGCCTATTCTACCGGAACATTGCCCACCAGCAACGGCCCGCTGAGCAACGTCAATGGTATCGTCGTCGCTCCTAGCCCACGGATCGGTTCAATATATCAGAATCAGACTATTGCCAGCTCAGGGTCGTTACCTATCCCACCAATGCAGAGGCATAACAATAGGCGCAAGGACACGTTCAACAATGCCACTGACGAAGATGATAGTTCAGGGAGTGGAGATGAGAGTGAGGGTTCCGTGTCCGGCGACTCGTTCATCTCACCTGGCTCGACGCCACCTGAAGCAATGGGATCACGCCAACAGCTGACTTCGTCCACCAGTTCGAATATATCGCCTTCCCCGCCTACCACAACCCAACCCGCACCCACAACAACGACAACCAAGAAACTCCCTCGGCCGCCTAAACCAGTGATAATGCGACCAGCATACAAACGCTACCTCATCGCAACGCCTCCACCCGTGCTCGTCGTCCACCTGAAGCGGTTCCAGCAAATCGCAAAGACGCATTTGATCTCGTTTTCACATGGGTTTAAGAAGTTGGACGATTACGTGACGTTCCCTGAGTACCTTGACTTGGCGCCTTTTTTGGCGCCGAGGAAGGAGGATTATGGGTTGGGGAAGAGGAGGAAGGATAGAATTGATGGGAAGAGGGGGAAGGGGGAGGAGAGATGTATGTATCGGTTGTATGCTGTCGTGGTGCACATTGGGAATATGGTCTGTCTTTTCTTTGTTTTCTTGGTATCAACATGGGCTAATGGAGTGGTTTGTTATAGCTTGGAGGCCATTACGTTTCGTACACTGCGCTCCCTTCTCAATCGCCGGGAGCGGATTCACCAAGACGGACCGAGTCTAATACTATGGAGAACAGTGCGACTTCGAAATCTGCACAAAGCAAGCCGGGCCACGAACGGGAAAGGCAGTGGGCGTATATTAGTGATACGACGGTGAGGTTGACGACGTTGGAGGAGGTGTTGCATGCCAAGGCGTATATCTGCATGTATGAGCGGGTTTGAGTGAGTGTACGGGCACGGTGTTGACGTGAGGAGACTTGAGGTCTCTGGAATCTGGACGATGTGTTAATATTATTATTAGAGAACACTTGAACGCTTTGCTAGTAGGTAGATTGTACGAAGGTTACTCTCAGCGTTAGAAGTACTTAAATGTTGTCCTGCTTTCAGGCTGAGGAGCCCGACCAATTGGCAATAGCCGACGAAGAGGAAAGTTACAAAGAGACATAGTACGCACCATAGCACAGATTTCAAGAGCGTATTTCTACTCTTCATCGTGTGGAATTCTATCTTAGCATTGGGGCGAATGAGGAAAGAGAAGTGGCGATCACATGCCATCTTGGTGCCGACGGTGCGGCTTGTTTCCGACTCCTCCAGTCATTTGCTTTCTTCCCATCTCCCCTCCTTCCGAGTCCTTCGCTTGCTCTCTCAGAGGCTCTCAGGCTCTGTCAGCTATAGTATTCTCTGCGGCCGCTCTGGCCCGTGACAAGTACGGCCGTTGATTGCTGCGGTATGCTGCCATGTATTGGCCATGTAGCGCCGTTGAATCTGGACTTCTGTAGTCTGGCACCTTACTGCGAGCAAAGGCTTACACTCCAAATCATAGCTGAAGGTCCTGGGGAACGGCGCAGTACTCTCCTTGCAAGATCCCCTTCACCGACCTTAGGACTTGGCTGACCAACGGACGACTCCACCAAAATTTCCCATCATCATAATACCGCCCTTCCTCATATGCTTTACACAACCTGTACTCAGCATGTTGTATGACCTAGTGGCATAATGGTACGCTCATCTGGAGAATATCTAGTGACGCCAGGCGTTACATTTCGCCAAAGGGTTTCTGTTCAATCCAGGACTAGGTCTTCACCCCGCCTCACTGAGTTGATTACGTTTTTGGACTTGAAGATTCCTTACCTTGATGTTGACTGGCCTACGCGGCTGAGGCTTTGTACAGCGACATCTCTATTAGCCAGAGGGTTCCTGTCTAATTCAGGACCAGTGGGTCCTGCTGGAGTCATATAAGATTACTAATTTTTGGGCTAGAGCCATAGCTCGACCTTGGCCACACTTCGTCAGCTCTTGGCACCGACCTAGTGGTGTAACGGCTCGCACATCTGGTGGATATCCCACTGCAACAGTACCCTGTAGCCAGAGGATTCCTGTTCGACTCAGGACTGGGTCATTCCCCATTCAGCATGCCCTATTTTTAGTAGTCTGAAGCTCTACATTAACCTTACCCATCCTTCGCCAGGGTTTTTGGTGACGACGTAACGGCACATCTTGACCATAATGGCCTGGATGCCCCCCAAACAGAAGGTTTTTTCGGGACTGCGTCGATAACTTGAATATTCGTCGACTACTATCGGTTCGACATATATAGTGATAAATAACGGCATACTACGGCTCGTACATCTGGTAAATTTTGGCCGCTGTCGGAGGCACCAGCGAGAGGTTCCCGCTCAATCCGGAACTAGGTTAACTACAGTCACAAATCCTTTCCAGACTACACGTCCTGCCTCACGAGTTTATTCAACCTTTGCCACAGTGGCGCAAACAACAGAGGGGTCCTGTCCATTCAGAACTGGGTCATCGTCAAACTCGGTGATAGCTTTTTTCAACCTTGAACCTGACCTCGGCCGACGACTCTCCAGGTCTGGTACGCCGTTAACTTGATGCCTCGTGAAAGGTTCCCGTCGAATTAGGACCGACGTGAAATCAGTCTTACACACACTCTTTCTGGCATGTTCAAAAAGTCAGATACTTCAGTTCTGGGTATTGGTATGGTGCGCCCTCCGAGTCCCCACGTCCGAATATTATCATTGCCGAATTTCAATCCGTCGCCCTTTTCAAGCAGACTCATGCCTTATATTGTCATTGTCCATGATTTGTGTTATTGCTTTCGGTCAAAGCTTTACCCCGACTTCACAAAACCTTCCTTTGGATGAGTATTGGTAATGACCTGGTGGTGTAATGACTACAAGCACATCTGGAGAATATAGCGTTCGATGGCAATAGGATCTCAGCCAGACGGTTCCTGTTCGATTCAGGACCAGGTCAATGGGCAATTGCTATTCATCGAAAAAATTTTCATCCGGCCCAACTCGAAATTCTTGATATCAATACCCTGCTAATTTGTCACTCTATGCCCCGTTGGTTTAAAGCCTAAGGCATCTGTCCTGTTGACCAACCAAATCCCATGATACCGCCCCTCCTCAAATGATTTACAACTCAGTATAAGTATTGTATGACCTGGTTGCATAATGGTACGCAGATCAAACGCAGATCTGGAGGATCTCTAGTGACACTGGGCATTGCATTTGATCATCCAGAGAGCCCCTGTTCGATTCAGGACCAGGTAGGGAAAGAGTCAATGCAATGCTATTATTAAGACTCTTTTACAAACGGATCCACACTACAAATTCCCTCACCCTTTATCAACATTTACATAATAACAGTGAAACTATGTCTGATCAGCTTGAACAAAAATCAGAACTCCCGCCGTTCGAAGAAAACCTTCAAGCGCAATGTTTTGGATTGTTTACCAAATCTGCTTCTAAAACCATGTCGTAACGGTCTCACCTCCATACCTTCATCTCCTACAACCATCTTCACAAAATGGGATATTGGGAGGACAACTACGGCGACGACGTCGATTTCGTTAATCCCGATGATGCTAACTGGCAGAGAGATCCCCAACCCCCCGAAGGCGCTCCTCCTATCAAAAGGGTAGAAAGCCCTGAATCTGAATGGGATACGGCGAAGTGGGGGAAGTCAAAGTTTAAGGTGGGGGTGAGTAGCTGTCTCAATATTTATACCAAGCCTTCGATCTGAATGTTGGTTCCCAAGAGCATCGTGAACAAAACAGGGGCTAAATCACAATTCCTCGTTAGTTCCCTTATTTCTTTTTTTTTCTCGGGAAAGAGGTAACGCGGGTTGTGAAGTAGCTTACTGACAAAGAACTTCTTCCGCTTTATTATAAAAAAGCATACAACTCCATGGGGTATAAAACCACGAAGAACTATGATAAATTGAAGGTTGAACGAACCGCTTGGGAGAAGTATGGTGGGCCAACGGGTTTGAAGGCTGCGTGCATATTCATTTTTTTCATCCTAAGCTGTCATGATTTAGCAATGAATTTTAGCAAGGCGGACAAGAAGAATGGTGTTAAACTTCTGGTAAATACCCCCCTTCATTTCAGGATCGCGATCGTAACTCAATAAACCCTTGTATCTTAGGCATCTCCATTTACCCCCCAAAAGACGAAATCGTCCACCTCGCAAGCCAAAGGCGCGAAAGCGACGATGTTGGGCTCCAAAGCAAGTCCAAGCAAGGGCTCACACAAAAGTTCCAGCGAGGGCTCGGGCTCTTGTGAAGGTCCTATCAAGGGCCTCAACGAAAGTCCTACCAAAGGAAAATTGCATTCAAAGAGACAAAAATCTTTTGCGTTCATCGATCTCACCTGATTGACGGGCCGCTATGAGGGGTTCTTTGGAATAGTTTTGGCTCCTCTTCTCATATATGTGCCAGTGGGCGATACTTACTTATGGACGGATGGACTCTTTCATTGTGGTGCATTTTGTGATTCGGGTTCGAGTGGCCTCAGCAGTGCACATATTTATTGATAATTTTAGTTCTTCCGTGTAGCATAGGCTCGAATTCGGACTCCCGATAAAAGGTGCGAAGCGAATATGGAATTGCGACGAACTGCCCATTATTCTCCTTCCTGGGTGCCAAAAACGGCGTCAAGTCGAGGTACTCAGGTAATCTTCCAATTTTTTGAGCTCATGAGAGAACCATTGAGTCCGTCTTTGCGATTTGCTGGAACCCCTTCAGGTGGACGATGAGCACGGGCAGAGGCGTAGCGATGAGGTAATGTTTGTACGCTGGTCGCATTATCACCCCTTTAGGCGCACCAAAGAGTTTCTTCTTTGTTGCGGGTGCGGGTTGTGGTAGACGGGGAAGGCTACATATTCGAAATGGTCGACGCAGTCAGCTGTTGACGTCACCCGGTCTCCGTAGGTGGCGTTAGATGAACGAGTCGCCCGACACAGATCCCTCTCATTTTCGCTCCCAGAACTCTCATCGTCATCAGTCGCATTGTTGAACGTGTCCTTGCGCCTATTATGCAACTTCGAGCTGGCAGTAGCCTGATTCAGGTATATTGAGCCGATCCGTGGGCTAGGAGCGACAACTACAAAGTTGCTCAGCGGGCCGTTGCTGGTGGCCAATTTCCCGGTAAAATAGGCAGCAGACGCTGATGAAGAGTGGGTGAGTGCGTCTGGAAGTGATATCGACACTGTCGTCCCATCGAGCGGAGCGGTCGTCTGAATTGCAGAAATAGGCATCCCACCCAGTCCAAGTGACGCCTCGCTTTTCATGTTGTGGTACACGGGCAAGGTGACATATTCGAAGTGGTCGACGCAGTCAGCTGTTGGCGTGATACCGTCTCCTCAGGTGGCGTCGAGCTAGGTGAGATCAGAGAGTCACCCGACACAGAACCCTTGCTCCCATCCCCACTCCCATAACTCTCATCCTCGTCAATCGCATTGTTGAACGTGTCCTTGCACCTATTGTGATGCCTTTGCAGCAGTGGGATAGATAACGACCCCGAGCTGGCAGTAGCCAGGTTTTGGTCTGTCGAGCTGATCCGACACCATTGGACAAGGGTGGTTGCTCAGCGGGCCATTGCTGGTAGCCAATGGCCTGGTAGGATAGGCAGCAGACGCCGATGAGGAGCGGGTGAGTGCGTCTGAAGGTGATGTTGTCGTCCCATCGAGCGGCGCAGTCGTCTGAATTGCAGAAATAGGCATCCCACCCGGTCCAAGTGACGCCTCGCTTTTCATCTCAAAATACTCAACGCTCGTAGCAGCGGAAGAGGTGACGTCTGGGGTATCGTCCGTTGAGGTCGTCGAAGACGCCACGTCATCCGTCGTGTTAGGAAGGGGGAACGTTGACTATCCAGCGCATTCGTGTAGACGCTTGTAGAAAATCACCGTGGGCGTGGACATGGACGTTGGTATGTGTACAGGTGGAGGCCCTGGAGGGGACAGCGGGGGAAGAGCGTGTGTGAGAGCACATTTCTGGTGGTCGAGCGTCGCCGTTGTCTGATCTTCTGGCACCCTCGCCTTTGTTTCATGATCTTCTCCCCCGCTTCCATCACGTAACTCCTCCTCCCCATCCCTCGACCCATTCCCTTTCACATCCAACCCATTCTCGATCTTCCAACACCTCCAATGCTCTCACCCAGCACCTCCAGAGCCGTGAACATTTCCAAACAATCCGCTATCCCACTAAACAGGCTCATCCCCAACCATACACCTATGCAAAACTGCCAGGTCCAACTGTCGATACCGATCTTCCTACTCCGATAGACGATGATCGTCCACCATGTACCATGCATGGCACTGCGTGATGATGGCGGTGCAGATGAGGGTGCGGAATAGGGTTGACGAGGGAATGGAATGGTTTTGGTGGTCCTGACCCAACGTCTTAGCAGAGATATTCTGTCTCTGCTGTGGTTGATCAAGGCAGCGTGGGTGAACTGCTTGGACGTTGCGGAAGCGGGGAACAGTCGTCGTGGTTCGTGGGGTTGGAATTGGGTGTCGTCATTAAGGACGAGGGTGTAGCAAAGCGCAGGGAGACCGGACTCAGGTGGTGAAGCCTCGGTCTTGAAAGTCAGGGAATAGAGGGCAGCTGCTGATAGCTGATGGTGGTCTTCGTCGGATCTGTGGCATGTGGTTACATTTCTGGAAGAAGAGGATGCTGGCCAGTTGACCCTCAAAAAGCATGTCGACGAATGAGATGAGCTTAACTTCTTCATTTATTGGGGGTGAAGGCGGCGGTGCGGGGAAGAGTGGAACACGTGGGTCAGTGGGAGTTAGTCTCGTTCGACGTCGTTTCTTGGGAGGCAGATAACGATTTTTTGTTCTTCCATCTGCATCCCGTCAGTATTGTCGTCAGAGGCTCGTGTGCGTTTCGATGTCCCAAGTCTAGGTGTTGATCATATTTCTGCGCAAGGGTCCCGAACATCGACCTACAGAATGAAACACCAAAAGTAAGGTCAGATCGTCTGGGTAACAGATGTGAAGAAGGCATACTTTGGGCTGTCTGTCTGCATGCCGGCGCCTCCCATAACTTGAACATCAGGCTCAAAAACATATCTCCGTTCGGTATACTGTTCACTTAGGCCGTATCCCACTCCCCTCATATGGTGCCTATTTGAGCTGCGGGGGTCATTGGGAGGCCAAGGGGGTCGAGGAGAACCGTTGGACCGAAGGTGGTATGGGGGTAAAGTGTACCAGATTGTTCACGAGGTGTGTGGCAATCGACTAGTATGCCAATGAGATACCCGAAAGCAAGGCCTTGGAGTACAGAGTTTAATGAAGCACGTATTGCCATGCTTGTTCAGCCTAGGTGGTAGATCTTTATGCGTGCTGTTCCTCTTCCTTGCGATTCCTTCTGTCTGCAGAGTTCTTGTGCGGTTGGTGGCTTTGACTTTGCCATTGAGGGTTGGACCGGTGACCGTTCTGTATATGAGAAGTACCTGTATATCGAAGTTATCATATACAGGCTGGTCACGAGCCTAATTGAGGGTGAAGAAAAGAAAAGAGACTTGTGTTATGGAAGAAAGTCGTTGCTCTGACCGCGCTCACGTGTCCTCTCACAACTCTGAACTCACATCCTAGCTGTGTCTGCCAAGTATTCTCTCGGCCGCTGTGCTTCAGGACAACTTCCCCGGTAACTTATCATGATCCTGCCTTTACTGAGAATTACTCTCCGAATCCTAACATCTTGAAACTTACAGCATACTTACTTTGATCTACTTGGCCTGAAGGTCGCTCAGACGCTTTCCATATCTCCATGCCGCTTGATTTACCGGCCTCCGTTAGGGGGATATTATCCGACCTTTGGACCTAGTGGTGTGATGGCGCACACATCTGGAGAATATCTCAAAGATATGTCGTTTCTTCAGCCAGAGACATCCTGTTCGATTCAGGACTAGGTCATGTGGGGAGAATAGTAGGAAATCTTTTCAGGCAAGGGCTCTGACCACGACTTTACCCGACCTTTGCCAGCTATGCATAACGGCCCAGCGGTGTAACGGCTCGCACACCTGGACAAGTTCCAGAACTGTGGACCGTGGTTTGACCGTGGTTCAGACAGAGAGCCTGTTCGATGCAGGACTGGGTCATACCAATGCAAACTCTGGACATTTTTCCTCATTTCTCATTCAGCCGCTTGCCACTACCTCACTCGGTCTCTACTCTATCCTACCTTCGCCAGCTACTGGAAACGACCTAGTAGTGTAACGGCTCGCGCATCTACAGAATCTAGGGCACACCAGACAGTTTCCGCCAAAGAGTTTCCAGGACTAGGTTATCGGGTCGCGATGTGGGCACCATTAATTTTCAATGTTTCTACCCTGCCTTGTCTCTACTTTACCCAACCTTTGGCAGGTACTGATAACGACCTAGTTGGTGTGACAGTTCGCACATCTAGAGAACGTGGTCTTTGGCCAGAGGATTCCTGTTCGACTCGGGACGAGGTCATGCGTGAAGGGCTTCTTCAATGCCTCTACTTGATCTTGCCTCTACTTTACCCAACTCTCTCCAAGTACTGATAACGACCTAGTGGCGTGATGGTGGAGAACCTGAAGCAATGTTCTCATCCTCGGGCCAGAGGGTTCCTGTTCGACTCGGGACTAGGTCATAACTTCTCAAAAGCTTCTACTCATCTCTTTTTATCGCCACTGCTTCATCTTCCCTCTACTTTATCCAACCTTTGCCGAACCCTGATAATGACCTAGTGCTGTAACGGCTCGCATCTCTCGAGGATCTCAATTCTGTGTATACTGTAGTGAGAAGGTTCCTGCTCGACTCAGGACTAGGTCACGTCATATTGATTTTCTCCATATTTCGAATTCAAGGCTGAAGTTAACCATGCCTTGCTTTAGCCGACCTTCGTCACCCTATCGGTATCGACCTAGTGGTGTAATGGCTTGCACATCTGTAGGATCTACGGCAACACCTCTTTCGATCAGACAATTCAGGACTAGGTCACAAGGCCTCTTATTTACCCAACCTTGCCAGGTGCCGACCGATAACGACCTAATGGCCTGCACATGCGGAAAATGGGCGACAAAAAGAAACACAACACAACGGTTCCTGTTCGACTCAGAACTGGGTCATGGAAAGTTGCGAACCTCGATGTCTACTATACCTCGACTTTAACAGGCATATACTGCCAGAATGTCGGGTCATACACCGTGATGTACATGATTTTTTCTCTTCACCTCTACTCAGCCACCTTGCGGAGTCAATTTTCCCATCCTATGTTTATTGATTGTTATGACATGGGAATCCTCGCAGCAGAGCGTTAATGATAAGAGCACTATTTGTTGAAACCAGTGCCTGCTACTATATAGATAGATAGATGGATAGATAGATGGATAGACAGATAGACGATTCCAGAGAGGTCATGAAGCAGTCCAAATGAGAAACAACCAGTTCCCAACACACAACTGTAGCGTCTAAATACAAATTCAGTGTGCTACGGAGAATATATATGTTTGAATTCAGTTGTACCATGTGCATGAGGCATTCTGAGCCAGCAAGTATTTGATTTGACCTTCGCTGCTCGAGGCCCCTAACTCGCTCACTCACCTCCCTCTACTGCTCTGCGTGCGGGTCCGCCCTATTGGTCGATCAATAGTCCCTAACATCGTCTGCATCACTCCAGTTAGTTCGTTGATCCCATCTATAAGTAGATACTAATCAATATGCACCGAAAGGCAGTTGCGATGTCTAAAATATTGATTGTCATCCTTCTGCTATTCTTTCCCTTGGTTCAGGGTTTATGCAGCTCATCCGCACAGAGCAATGACGCCGCGCAGTGCGCTTTGAGCATTTTAACATCCAACCCTTTGGCTGCGGCTGCGTCAGATGTGGCAGATGTGGTTACATGTGTTCTCGATGGGACCACGACTCAATGCCATATAGAATGCACTATCGGGTGGCTCACAGCCGATTGCGTTGGCGAAGTCTACCAATCCTGCATGGACGCTCAAGCTCACAAGTGTATGAGTGCCTGCAGCGGCGGGATCAATGTCTTCAATCAAGGCTGTTTCAACGCCGCTCTAGATATAGCCAGCAGTATACCAAAAATATCAGGAGTCGTGGCCTTGGCCATCGTTTTCTTCAATTGTGTCGACATTGTGGGCTGCGGGCTTGAATGGGTTCTTAGCGTCATTTTGGAGGGTCTCAATAACCTTGCGGCGGACGGCAGAACGGAATTTTGCCAGGGTCTTCACGACGTGGCGGGCAATCTTCCTATCCTTTCTGCCCTGCTATCATTTTTCCACTGCTAGCTGTTATATTGAATGTAGGCTGTGAGTGTCCTTTTTCTGCGCACCGATTACATATCATTACCGCGGCTCATGTACAAACGTCTGCTCCTTTCAGATGACCCTTCGTGACTTGTCTCAACTCGTTAAAATTTTTGAATCTGTACTGGTACCTACCTTGATGTATCCCATTTGTACGAATAGCGGTAAAATTCTATCTGTGCCCCTCCATCTCACCAGCCAAGAACCGCCATTCGCCTGTGAAACGCGATGCTCACGTCTGTTTGCATTCCCTCGTCGGGGCTGAAGACGAACTTCGATCTTGAATAAGTATAGACTCTATCATCGCCCCATTACGGGGTTTAGGCTACGTCAAAGCCCGTAAGTCACAGTCAGGGTCAGCCGACATCGAGATCTTCAGGAGTTTGAGGCTCCGAGAACATTCAGTTCCTAGAGTAAGTTCAAGACACGCTTACAGCCGTTTTCATAACGATAGGCCAAAAGTTCAAAATTACAGATACAGTCGGACTTCAAATTCTAACTATGTCCACGAAAATCAGCATATATTTCAGGGATGACGAGCACGATAGATCTACAGTTATACTAAATAGAGTCATCATCCAACAACTTACACGTACAATTTTAGACTCCGCCTGTACGTGTATTTGGTCGAGATTAGGCCTATCGTTATGAAAACGGCTGTAAGGCTTATCAGGACGGTGAAACGCAAAACTGTGAACACGTAAAACGGCTCACGACTCGTCAGAGCAACATGAAACCTAAGAGGTTGGATAAGTGATTTCGATTAAACCCGTTCCACCAATGGGACTCACGAATGATTCGCTATGGAACTCTCACACGTCTAAGTTGGGTTGTAAAAATCTAAGTTACGATGTATATGAAAGGGGACAAAAGCAAATAGGACAGGACACACCTTGTGAGGCGGATTGTCGTTGAAAGAGTCGAAGGAACAGGCACTCCATAGCACCTCCACCTTCGTTTCGCCCACCTTCTCCGCCTACCACTTCCTTCCCAACCTGCCGCGTCATCACCTGACTCTTCCTTCTCTCCATCCCTCAACCCATTCTTTCACATCCATCCCATTCGCAATCTTCCAACACCTCCAACACCCAGCCATATTCTGCCCATCCAACACCTCCACCGCCGCAAACATCCTCAAACAATTCTCGATCTTCCAACACCTCCGATACTCTCACCATCCAACACCTCCACGTCCGTGTACATTCTCAAACAATCCTCTATCCCATTCAACGGGCTCATCCCCAACCATACACCTTTGCAAAGCGCCCGGTTCACCTGTCGATATCGATCTTCCTTCTCAGATGGATGAAGATCGGCCGCCATTGACACCTGTACCATTACTTGGCTCTGCGTGGTGGTGGTGGTGGTGGAGATGAGGGTGCGGAATAGGTTTAAACAGGGCATTGTATGGGTGCTGACCCAACGTCCGCGAGGATTTTGTGGAGGTACCTGCGGTTGATTTAGGTGGTTTGGGCGAATTGCTTCGCTGGACGTTAGGGAAGAGGGGGCCAGGTGTGAGTATCGAGTGTTGTTGAGACGGGGGTTTAGCAGTAGGGAGTGAGGCCTGGATTGCAGGTGGTGAAGGTTCGGTTTGGAAGTCAAGGAAGAGAGGTTGTTCGTTAATTATGGCTGAAGGCGGGGGTGCAGGGAACAGTGGCACACGAGGGTCGGCGGGAGTAAGTGTCGTCCGACGTCGTTTTCTGGGAGGCGGTTTAAGAGGCTTGTTGATAATTTCTTGTTCTCCGTCCGCAGCCCGTCTAGGAATATTGCCAGAACCTCGTGGGCGTCTTGCTGTGCAAAGTTAGGTAGTTTCTGCACAAGGGTCACGAGCATCGACCTACCGAATGAAACACAAAAAGTAAGGTCAAATGGCCTGGGTAACAGATGTGAGGAAGACATACTTTGGGCTGTCTGTCTGCGCGCCAGTGCTTGAACATCCAGTTCAAGAACATATCTCCGGTCGGCATGCTGTTCACCCAGGGCTTATCCCACTCCCCGTTCAGATGATGCCTATTTGAGCCGAGGGGATCGTCGTGAGGTTGAGGGGGTCGCGGAGAATCGTTGTACCGAAGGTGGGATGGGGGTAAAAGTGTACCAGGTCGTTCAGAAGGTGTGTGGCAATCGACTAGTATACCAATAAAATACCCGAAAGAGACGTTAAGACGAGAAACGCAGGCCTTGGAGCACAGCGTCGTATTCCCATGATTGATCAGCCCAGAGGGTAGATGTGCGTATTTTCCTCTCCCTTGCGCTGGCTTCTCCGTCTGCAAAGTTCTTGTGAGGTTGGTGGCTTTGACTTTGCCAATGAGGGTGAAAAAGAAAAAGACAGTTGTGTTGTGGAAGAACGTCGTGCTCTGACCGCGTTCACGTGTTCTCGCGACCACATGTCCGCCCTTGTCCGCCAGTATTCTCTACGGCCGCTGTGCTTCAGGACAACCATCCAACTTGTCGCGATGCTACCTTGACCATGTACTAGAGCATTTCTCTCCGAATCCGAACATCTTGAAGACGGCATCATACTTAGTCGCCTTTGATATCGATCTCCGGCTTGGCCTGATCGATGACTCTCCACGCCACTTGACTTACCAGCTTCCGTTGAGGGGTATTATACGATCCAGTGGTGTAATTGCGCGCACATCTGGAGAATATCTGGAAGAGATGTCATTTCTTCAGCCAGAGACATCCTGTCCGATCCAGGACTAGGTCATGATCTTGCAGTGATTCTTTTCCGGGCGAAGGCTATACCCCGACTATGACTTTACCCGACCTCTGTCAGCTATGCATAACGGCCTAGTGGTGTCACGGCTCGCACATCTGGACACTTTCCAGAACTGTGGACTGTGGTTCAGACAGAGAGCCTGTTCGACGCAGGACTGGGTCATACCCAATCATATTCCGAAATTTTTTCCTCATTTCTCATTCAACCGCTTGCCTCTACCTCACTCGGTCTCTACTCTATCCTACATTCGCCAGCTACTGGAAACCTAGTGGTGTAACGGCTCGCGCACTAGGGCAAACCGGACAGTTTCCACCAGAGAGTTTTGAGGACTAGATCATCGGGTCACGATATGGGCACCATTAATTTTCAATGCTTCTATCTCATCTTGCCTCTACCTTACCCAACCTTTGGCAGGTACTGATAACGACCTAGTGGTGTGACGGTTCACACATCTGGAGAACTTTGACCTTTTCAATATGATCTTTAGCCAGAGGATTCCTGTTCGACTCGGGACTAGGTCACTCGCGCTGAAGGAGTGTTTCAATGCCTCTACTTTATCTTGCCTCCACTTTACCCAACTCTCTCCAGGTACTAACAACGACCTAGTGGTGTGATGGTGGAGAGCCCGAAGCGATATTCTTATCCTTGGGCCAGAGAGTTCCTGTTCGACTCGGGACTAGGTCATGACCCGTGATAATGAACTCATCCCTTTTTCTCGCCACTGCTTCATCTTGTGTCTGGTTTACCCGACCTTTGCCAGCTCCTGATAATGACCTAGTGTGGTGTAACGGCTCGCATCTCTTGAGGATCTCAGTTCTGGATATATTGCAGCGAGAAGGCTCCCACATAACTCAGGACGAGTCACTAGGTCACGTCATATTGATTTTCCCTTATATCTCACTCTAGCCGACCTTCATCACCATATCGGTATCGACCTAGTGGTGTAATGGCTCGTACATCTTAGAATCTAGGGCAACACCTAATGCTTTCGATCAGACAGCTCCTGTTCAATTCAGGACTAGGTCATCAAAGTCACCGACAATTTATGAATGTGCTTTTATTTTCATTCCCTCCACTTTACCTTGCCCTATTATACCCAACCTTGCCAGCTACTACCAATAACGACCTAGTGGTGTAATGGCATGCACATCTGGAAACAGTATCGGCCAAAAGTAAGATCTCAATCTAGAGGGTTCCTGTTCGACTCAGGACTGGGTCATGTAGATTTGGTTGCTGAGCTCAATGTCTATTAGTTGGAGCCATACCTCGGAGTCGACGTTAGCCAACTTAGCCAACGTGTTGGTACCGGGTACTGATAGAGCGGTGTGTAATGGTCTGGGCTTCTGGAGGTTCTGAATTTATCCTGACTTAGTGGGTTCCTGTTCGAATCGAGGGTAGGTCATCTCCATTACACCTCAACATGATATTTTTTTCTTCACCTCTACTCCACCTTGCGTCAATCTTCCTGATTCGGAAAATTCTCATGGAGTTGTTTCTTTCATTCCTTTCAGTCTTAAGCTTTACCAAGCTCTTAGTGATCCATCTTTCGCAGGGAATTGTATGACCTGATGGTGTAACGACTTGCACATTTGGAAAGATGATTTGTGTGATCCAGATTGGATCCAGAGAATTCCTATTCGATTCAGGACCGGGTCATACTAGTTGGTTTCAACCTTTTGACCAATATTTTCCAGACCAGAGCTTTGAAGAAAGGTACCTCAACTTGCAAGCCCGAGCCCTGATCGTAAACTAAGTACCCCTCCAACTTACAATTTTAAACCTAGGTGGTGTGGACATTGGCACGCCTGGCCAATTGCATCCCATATTTCCGTCTACGCACTGGATACTCCTTTTGAATCAAGAATATGACCTGTTTGAGATGTTGGGCACTTCACAATTGGAGGTCGTTGCCTTACTCGTCTTCCTCCTTCGCGAAGATCGGGGACTTGACCCACCCCTTGCTAGGGTATTGTGCGGCCTGACGGTATTCGAGAGCATCTCGTGCCAGGTGCAGATGAAAAAAACATCAGCCAGAAGACTCCTGTTCGATTCAGGGTATCGCTATATTTTTCGGTTTAAAGCTTGGTCATCTCGCAAGGAAGATACCTGTCGAACTGGGGCTAGCACATTTCATATTTGGGGTAAATTTAGGACCGGGGTGATTATTATGAGCGTATCTTATTTTTGGATTATAGTGTACAAGGGGAAAGGAGGGGGATGTTGAGGGGGATGAAGATGGCTATAGGGAGGGTTGTGTAGCACATGGGAAGGGCTGGACGGCGCGAATGTCGCCACATGATGGCTTGAGCATACTCGTTCAAAAACATTGACTGAGCAATCGCTGTGCACCAGGTCGTCCAGCCGACAAAAGGCGAACATTATTTGAAGAAGAAATTAAGAATTGCACGACCAGGAGCAATGACGGAGCGTCAACGCTACTTCCCCTCTTCCTCTTTCTCCCCATCAACCCTATCCTTCCTTCAACTCACAGTCTTCCTTCCTGGGCACCAAAAAAGGCGTCAAAACGAGGTACTCGTGAAATGCCACATGATCGTTCAACTTCTTGAACCCACGATCAAGTGCGTCTTTGTGATCTGCTGTAAGCGCTTCAAGAGGACGCCAAGCAAGGGTGGAGGCGGGGCGATGACGTTTGTCCACTGGTCGCGTAATCACCAGTTCAGGAGGACGAGGAAGTTTCTTCGTTGTTGGTTGGTGGGTCAGCATGGATATTGTGGCAGGCGAGGAAGGCGATATATTCGCGGTCAGCTGTTGACGTGACCCCATCTCATCGGGTGGCGTCGAGCTAGGTGAGAAGAACGCCCGACAAACCCTCACTCTGTTGCGTTATTAACCGTGTCCCGGCGGCTATTATGATGCCTGTGCATTGGTGGGACATGTAACGACCCCGAGCTGACAAAAGCCGGAGTCTCATATATCGAGCCAATGCGTAGGCTAGGAGCGACGGCTACGCCATGGAAACGGGGTGGTTGCTCAGCGGGCCGTTGCTGGTGGCTGATGTCCCGGTAGATTACGCAGAGAATGCGGATGAGGAGTGGGTGAGAACGTCTGGAGGTGAGTCCACGGTCCAGTCGAGCCGCGAGGGTTTTGCAGCGGGGTGTAGCGGAGGGCAATGAGACCTGAGTTTCAGGGGGTAAAGGCTCAGTCTCGGACGTCAAGGAAGACAGGGCCGCTGTCCTGTCGAGCTCTTCGTCGTGCTAGCGACCACCTCATCCTCCAACGTCCCCATACGCTCCATCGATCGACTCTTCCTATCCCGGGGTTTCCCCAATCCAATCGTAAGGTTGGTCCTCCTCCCCTACTTCGCCCACCCATCTTCGCCCTTCTTCTCCTTCTCCCTTTCCACCTCTCCTCCTTCTTCTCCCCGTCCTTCTTCCCTCGCTGCACATCTACAAACGGAACCGTAGTGTTCACCAGGACATGCGAGTTATCGGTATCCCCCTCCTCCTCTTTCGACGTCACTGTATCTGCATCTTCTCCTCGCTCCGTCGGTAGACCCAGACTGCGTCTCCGCGTAGCATGATTGTGCATCTCTACGCTCGACACACGTCCCTCCGTTCGCGAGAAGTCGAAGGCGGGGGGGACAGAGGACGGGCGCTGAACGGTGGAAAGGGGCTTCGTGATGGATTGCAGAACTTTATCGATGCACGTAGTCCTCCCGTTTGATGCTTAAACTGACGTCGTTGAAGGCTTCGTAGGTCGTGAATTGTCGGCAGACGAGGATAACCCCCAAATCATGTCGACGAACGAGATCAGCGTGTCTTCTTCGTTTATTATGGGTGAAGGCGGGGGTGGAGGGAGAGATGCACGCGTGGGTCAGCGGGAGTTAGTGTCGTTCGGCGGCGTTTCTTGTGGGGCGGTTGAGGTCTTTGATGACGTCTTGTTCTTCCATCCACATCACATCCAGTATTATCCTCAGGAACTCCCGTGCGTCTTGCTATGTAAAGGGTTCTGAGCACCAACCTACTAGTATATAAGAGCGACAAGTAAGATGCCCAAAAGCAACGTTCAGACGAGAAACGGACACCTTATAGCAACGCACACTTTATATCACATAAGTATGAGTCATGAAGCACGTATTCCCATGATTGATCAGCCCAGGTAGATATGCATGCTCCCCCTCTTCCTCGCGTTGTCTTCTATGTCTGTACAGTTGGTGACTTTGACTTTGTCATTGAGGGTGAGACTGAAGAAAGTGTCTGTTGACGCCCGTTTGCAAAGACCACCACGACTCGCATCTGGGTCTGCCAAATATTCTCTGCAGCCGCTGTGCTTCAAGAGGACAACTGCCGCACGTAACTTTTGCCTCTACTGCCCGAAGATTACTCTCTGAATCAACCTTCTTCAAGACGGCTTATTGTCTTTCGATTGCATTGACCCAAACGTCGCTCAGACACATTCACTAGCGCTCCACGCTACAAGACTTAGCCGGCCCCATTGAGGGGTATTATACGACCTAGTAGTGTAATGGCGCGCACATCTGGAGCATATGCAAGGGTAATACCTCAGCCAGAGAGATCCTGTTCGATTCAGGACCAGGTCATTATTCAAAGAATGCCGCGACGGAAAACCTTTTACTTACTGTACAGACAATTTTCCTCTGCCTGATCTTGACTTCACCTGACCTTCCTCAGCTATAGACAACGGCCTAGCGGCATAACAGTTCGCACACCCAGAACTGTGGACCGTGGTTCAGACAGCAAGCCTGTTCGATTCAGGACTAGGCCAGTGGTGTGTCGTCGCCTTTTCATTCAACCGCTTTTTATCTTGTCTCTACTTTATGCGGCTTTCGCCAGCTACTCGTAACGACCTAATGGTGTATAAGCTCGCACATCTTCAGAATAGGGCACGCCAAACAGTTTCAACTAGAGAGTTCCCGTTCGATTCGGGACTAGGTCAGGAGTCCCTCAGCAGTGGTCAGCGCCCTGCATTCATTTTTATTGCCTCTACGTTATCTTACCTCTACTTTACCTGCCATTTGCCAGGTATTCATAAGGACCTAGTGATGTGACGGTTCGCACATCTGGAGACGTCTGAGGCCGATGTTTGCCTCTGGATTCCTGTTCGACTTGGACTAGTACGGAGCCGTTGGTCAATCCTCTACTTTATCTTGCCTCTACTTTACCCAACCCTCGCCAGATACCGATAACGACCTAGTGGTGTGATGGTAGAGAACCTGGAGTGGATATTCTCATCCTATGACCAGGGAGTTCCTGTTCGACTCGGGACTAGGTCATAAATCCGTGACACTGTCCCACATATCTGTTACTTTTTATTGCATCCACTGCGAAGTATATCTTGTTGCTCCTGATAACAACCTAGTGGTTTCAAAGCTTGCGCAGGTCTCAATTTTAGACGAGCGAATATCTCCAGCCTGAGGGTTCCTGTTCAACTCGACTCGAGACCGAGTCACGTCATATTGATAAGATTTCTCTGATATCTCAAATTCCAGGCCCAACTTATCTGTACTTTGACTTTAGCTGACCTTCGTCACCCTATTGATATCGACCTAGTGGTGTAATGGTGTGCACATCTGAATGTTCTGGGGGATTGTGCCTCGACGATCAGCTTCTGCCATCGGAGAGTTCCTGTTCGATTCAGGACTGGGTCATTGTTTGGGTCGGGGTATGTGTCATTTTTCAAACCAAAGCTACGTGGCCTCGGCTTCATTGGTTACCCTGCTCACTTGAATTTCAACGTGCCGTGGTGGTGTAGGCTAAAGCTGCAGTTGACGTTGTCATGTCTCTGTCAATGCCCTGGAGGTTCCTGTTCAAATCGGGAGCAGGGCACTAAATATATATTGTTCTTCACCTTTTTTTGGAGTGTTTGAAGAGGAGTCCTAGTTGGATACTCTAAAACGGAGCAGTGTGTCTTTCTCTCTTCGGAAAATTGAAAATTGTCATCGACTTATCTGGATTCTGTTTCAGTCTTCTTAGCCTCAAGCTTTACCTTGAATTGATCCAGCTTTCGCTAGGCAATTGTATGACCTGATGGTGTAATGGCTCGCACATTCGGTGGAATTTTGTATGCATCAGGATATTACATCCAGAAAATTCCTGTTCGACTCAGGATCGTATCATGTGATTTTTCGAGAAATACTTTTCAGACCAGAGCCTTGAAGGAAGGTACTTCCTACTCGCAAGTTGATCATATAAATACCCCGTCAACTTCAATTTTAAACCCAGGTGGTGTAAACATTGACATCCCTATGCATTGGATGCTCCTATTGAATTGAGAATTTTGTGAGACGCAAGTTTTCTCTTTTTGCCGGTATCGTGACTCCCGGCACAGAAAACTCCTGTTCTCGAGACTTGGATCTTTTTGGGCAGAACATTGTCATAGGTTGTTGGCGGGTGCTCGAACAAGTTCAAAAAATCTCTCATCGTCTTTTACATGTAAAAAGGTGACATCATTATTCCATCCCAATTGCGTTACCTAACCCCGCCCAGGGTATGTATTATATGACCTAGTGGTGTAATGGCTCGCACATCTGGAAAGCCCAGAAGACATTACAGAGGGTTCCTGTTCGATTCGGGATGAGGTTATCGATCCATAATGCAGCAAGTCTTCATATTTTATTACTGGTAAAGACAACAGTGGTGTAACGGCCCGATATCGCACGTCTACGATCTAGAGAATCGTGGTTGCGAAGCATATACACCTTGTATATACCTCTGTTAACATTCAACCTAGGGCCTGGGTGGGTTGTGTCGCGTTGTACCAGGCAGGCCAAAATCTTTACTTCGACTTTTCACTCAACCTTTGCCAGTGCGTTGTATCGTTCACGACTAGGTCATACCATAGCCAAGGTTGTGCAATAGTTTTTTCAGGCCAAAAATCGGTAACCCCCGCCGACAACTCTCTATATAACCCTTCCCCGGTGGTGTAAGTGACATTAGCATGTCTGGTGCAAGTACCGGATTTCCCTCTGTCCAGCATCTGCCCCATTTCCCCCAGCCCCACCAGCCGCCTAACCACACACCCCGCATTCAGCCTAAACCCAGCATCCCCACCCACACCTACGAACATGAATAGTCTCGGTAAAGTGGGGCGTGACGCTGCCGATGTCGTCCGGTGGGTGTTGGGCGAATTCAGATGTGCGGGATCGAGGCATTTAGAAACGAAATAAAACTGGGAGAGAGGAGGTGCCTTCTTCGGTCTTGATGTATCTGAAGCTGGCAGAAACTTCTTCGGCCTTTGTGGAACCAAGAGAAGGGGAAGATAAAAACCTGAGATAAAGACCCGGCGTGAGGTGTGGCATAGCTTGTAAAGGGAGCGTCATCGACCTATGATGATTCGGAGACGCGCGCGTAACGGGTAGAATGTATTTCTGAGCCTGCTTGTTGGCATGTTGATGAGTGGGAGCTTCGCAAGCGGACAAACCAACTCCCCCTCCCTACAAATCCTCCTTCGGGATCGCAACAAGTGCCAAAGGAGGAGGACTGACACCCTGGCCCACCACATCTTCCACAGACACACGGCTATGAACAGATCCAACAACCGAAATAGGCCGGGGCGATGCAATCGTCGTGAGTCTTCTCCCGGCCTTTGAACGTCTTCCCGGGTTCCAAAGCTGAAGCCAAAGGTGGGGACGAAACGAAGGCATTTGAATCGCGTGAGACGAAGGGGAAGTCCATCTGTGTGTATGGGTTGGTGTAGACAGGAAGGCGGTCATCCAGCCGACTTTGATGAGTACTTCGATAATGCTGATGACTGTTATCCTGTGGACTTTCTTGAGTTTGTGCGTCTGTGTTGGTTGGTCTTTTGAGCCTGGTGTGAGGAAGTGGAATTGGTAGTATTGGGGTGGTGGGGGAGAGGGGAAGGAGTCCGACGTGTCGCCCTTCCTAAATACCATCCGGTATTAGTTATAACCCAACGAAATGAAGAGAGGAAAAGGGAGAGAAACACACCTCGTCCGCGTCCTCCGCCTTCTCCATGACCCATGTTCTGTAAGGTACACACCTGAAGCCGGGGGTACAGGGGAGAGTGGCACCCGAGAGTCGGCGGGAGTCAGTATCGTTGTTTCTTGGGATTTTGAAGATGTCTTGTTCTTCCATCCCCATCGCGATCCTGAAAAACTCGTGTGCGTCCTGTGGAAGCTGTGCGAAGTCTATGTATTGATCGTATTTCTGCCCAAGGGTCCCAAGCGCTGGCCTATCAAACGAAACAGAAAAAATGTGAGGTCAAATCTCTTGGGTAAGAGGGGAAACATGAGGAGGACATACTTTGATCCCTCTGTCTGCATGCCCGCGCCTCCCAACTCGTACCCCAAACTCGAAACATATCTCTGATCGGCATAATCTCGACCCAGGGCTTCACCCACTCTTCGCTCAGATGGTGCCCATTTGTGAGCTGCCGTGAGGCTAAGGGGATCGAGGAGACCGACGGTGGGATGGCGTAAAGTGTGCCATGTCGTTCAGGAGGTGTGTGGCGATCACTAGTATGCCAGAGCGTTAAGTAAGACACCCAAAAGCAAGGGTAAGGTGAAGGAACGCACGCCTCTGAGCACAGAGTCATGAAGCGTAGATATGTGTACTTTTCCTCTTCCTCCCGTTGTCTTCTCTGTCTGCGGTTGGTGTCTTTAGCTTTGCCATTGAGGACGAAGAAGACATGTGTTATAGTGCCGGTTCTGTTGACGCTCGCGTCTGTTCTCGCACCCACCATAAGTAATTCACACCGATATCCTAGCTGTGTCTGCCAAGTATTCCCTGCAACCGCTGTGCTCTGGGACGGCTACCGCATTGACTTGTCGTGATACTGCCTTTGCTACCCATGGATTACTCGCCGACTCCGATCTTCTTGAAGACGGCGTATCTTCTTCGCCTAACGTCGCTCGGACGCCTTCAATAATTCTCCACGACACATGAGTTACCCAGCCTCCATTAAGGGGTATCATACGACCTACTGGTGTAATGGCGCGCACATCTGGAGAATATTAAAGGGCCATCCCTTCAGCCAGAGAGATCCTGTTCGATTCAGGACTAGGTCATAAAATGGAGCATTGCTTTTTCAAAACCTTTTGAAGCCAGTTCCTATACCTGATCTCGACTTTACCTTACCTTCCTCAGATATAGACAACGGCCTAGCGGTGTAACAGCTCTCACATCTGGAGAATCTGCGAATCGAGGGTGTTATATTCAGCTAGAGAGAGCCTGTTCGATTCAGGACTAGGTCATGAGACGGCGCAAAATCCTTTGAGTCGGGTGAAGGCTATACCCGACCACGACATTACCCGACCTTCGCCAGCTATGGATAACGGCCTAGTGGTGTAATGGCTTGCACACCTGGACAATTTCCAGAACTGTGGACTGTGGTCCAGACAGCCTGTTCGATTCAGGACTAGGTCATAGCCTATTCACATGCTTGTCATTTTTCATTCGACTGTTTGGCTCTAATTCACCCGGTTTCTACTTCAACCAGCCTTCGCTGCCTACCGATAAGGACCTAGTGGTGTAATGACTTGCACGTCTACAGAATCTAGGGCACACCGGACAGTTTCAGCTAGAGAGTTCCCGTTCGATTCGGGACTAGGTCATCGATTCTTTCGACGCTTGTACTTTATCTTGTCTCGACTTTTGCCCCACCCTTGCCAGGTACCGAAAAGGACCTAGTGGTGGACGGTTCGCACATCTGTCAGTGCGTGTCTGCCAGGTTGCGTTTGGGTTCGTTGCTTCCCTGATGTTGGTCTATGCACCAGAGGTTCCCACCGATTTTGCGAGAGATCGGATGAGTAGTACTTCACGATTGGGAGTCACCGGGGCCATTCTCGAGGAAAATCAAGCATCTTCAATGCACCACAGTTTCCGACTCCGAGCCAATGACTACTTCCTCCTTCATTGATATCAATGCATTAGAAATCAAGACTTTTCAGATGACAAGCTAAAGCCTGACCTCTCCTTTATGAAACCCTTGCTAGGGTAGTATACGACCTGATGGTAGAACGGCTCGCACGTCTCGAGAGCAGCTCGAACTGGGTGCCGATGCGAAACATCAGCCAGAAGCTTCCTGTTCAATCCAGGATCGGGTCATCGCAGCGGATAGAATTTTGTCCAACATTTTCCAGCCCAAAGCTAGCAGTCTTTATGCTGTTGAGGGTGCCTCTCCGCGTCAGGACTGGCCGAAAACTTAAATCTCTTCAGGCCAAACGTCGTCGCAGGTTGTTGCTCAGACAAGTCCAAAAAAATTCTCATCGACTTCTACACACTCCATCTCGAGCTACTTGCTCAAATTCCTGATGGTGTTATACCAGTGGTGTAAAGGCTCGCACAGGGCGTTCGTGGCGGGAATTAGGCTCTCGCAGTTTGTTGTGGAACCTCTTCAATGGATATCAATCGTACGCTCATTAAAAGGTCACTATATGCCGATTGGTTTACCTAACCCCTGCCCAGGGTATGTACTATATGACCTACTGGTGTAATGGTGCTCACATTTGGAGAGCTCGGAAAGCATCAAGTGCCTATACAGAGGTTCCTGTTCGATTCAGGACAAGGTTGATAAATACTAGTCATCTAATCTGATTGTTTTTAGGCTAAATATCGCGTGTTTACGATCCTCCAGATCGTAGTCGCGAAGTGTATATATATAATATAGCTTCTTTTTGACACGGGCTGCGCCCTCCTCACTTCAGTTACCCTTGACCCAACTTTTCTAGGGTACTTGCTGTAAGAACTGGTGGTGTAAATGCGAAATGAGTGGTCTTAGACTCTTAGAGAAAGATTCAAGCGCGGCAGGCAAGTAATCCGAATTGAATTTATATCGACTGTCTTGATGGATCTGGGTCTAAGGCTGGAGAAACTTCTCCAGCCTTAGAAGAACCAAGAGAAGGCGAAGACAAACCCGAGAGAAAGTCCCCGCGTGAGGTGTATAATAGCTTGTGAAGGGAGCGTCATCGACCTACAATAGTTCGAAGACGCGCACATAACCGGTAGAGTGTCTTTCTTGGCCTGCTTGTCGACATGTTGATGAGTGGGAGGTCCATCTCTCAGCAAGCGGACAAAGTGACTCCCCCTCCGTACAAATCCTCCTCCGAAAGCGCAACAAAGTGTATTGACACCCTGGCTAATCACTGTAACCTCCGCATCCTCCACGGACACATGGCAACGAACAGAACAAACAACCGAGATGGGACGGCCTGGGGGCGACGACGGTTTATTCCTATCCGCCAAAACAGGCGGGATCGCGGTAGGTCGTGAGTCTTCTCCTTGCCTTTTATCATCTTCCCGGGCTCTAATCTAAAGCTAAAGATGCAGACGGAACGAAGGTTTCTAAAGTCGCGTGAGACGAAGGGGAGCAGTAGACAGAGAGGTGTTGTGATGAGCTAGATATCTGTCGCTCTCGCTTTCGAGTGCGAGTCCGATGCGACGCCCTTCCTACATGACAGTAATGACGCAACAAAACGAAGGGAGGAAAAAGAAGGGAAACAGACCTCGTCCGCCTTCTCCATGACCCACGGCATAGCGCTTAGCGTTCCCAAAGTACTTTACCGCCAGCCGCTCGAACCCGTCCAGCCTATCGTCGATGTCGTCCACGGGCCTATCGCTGTGGGATGGCTGACGTCCGACGGTGCGTTAGATGGATGGAATGAGTCTGGCAGTTGCACGTGATTGCGTGGATCTGTCGCGCCCAAAGACACGCTCTCGACGCGTGAGTCATCGTGACCAAGTTGCAGCCACGCCGCGAAGCAGGTTCTCCAAGACATTCACTCTAACACCAATATCTCCATCCCCAATGCCCCCCGCAAATTAGAGTCACCACATCCCTATCAACACACCTCATCGCAGCTGCTTCCCTATCCCAAAGCCTATATGCACTCAACTGCGCACACGCCTTCATAGGCGGGTTCGCATGGTCGGTGTTGGGGAGTAATCGATCCACCGAGATGAATTTTCCCTCCAACTTGTGTAGACTGCATAACGCATGGATGGGTTTCGCGTCTGCACGATATAGACGTATTAATTGACCCCGGCCAAGAAATGGATATGCAAGCTGTGAGGCAGAGGCTTACAGAGGTGAACGAGCAGATCGTGTTAGTTGGGTTGAAGTTGTATTTCATACACGTACGAATTCCCCCTGTCGAATTACGCGCGACGTGACGGATTACCTCAGAAAGCAGAAGGATCGTCCGACGTGAAAAACAGCAATGCAAGCAGTCATAACGTCTGCATTGAGACGTTACCCACCGGAGCACTAGGGCTCCCTGAGGCAGCGGAACCACTATATATGGCCCGTTCACCTTCCGGAGTCGGTCCGTCTTTCCTTCCTCCCTTCCTTGCTTCATCCTGCCGACAGACATACCCCTCCTCCATCCCTCCGTCCTAATCCTCACGAAGTTCAAGAGATGGTACACAACCCTCTCATCTACGCGCCCCAAAACCGTGCTCAAACACCGGTCCGACGAGGGGGACATTGATTATATGGTCCATTGGCTCACACGGAACGGGTTGACGATACAGTTTGGGGCGTATAGAGGCAGGAGGGGAGAAGAGCTGATGCTGTATGTCAAGACATATTTGGCGGAGAAGGTTAAGAGTGGTAGTGGGGAGCGGGTTGAGGAGATGTTGAGGGGCGTTGTTGAGAGGAGTGATTGGGAGGTTTTGGAAGGGATGGAGGTTGGTGATGTGGGTGGGGAAAATGTTTATGTAGAGTCGCCTTGATTGTGGGTTAGATTTGGGGTGGACGAGTGGGATATCTCAACTTACAGGCATCGAAACAGTGGAGGAGGGTGGTTATAATGTGAGAAGATTGATATACCCAGGGATGAGAAGTGAGTATTTTGTGTAGCTGAAGTGCTTGGACAGAAATAGTAAGCCGATGACTGACGACACTAATTGAGAACGGTTCAATGAAGTGCGTTGATGGTGTAGCGATAATCGCTCTGAGGTTACAGTGAGGTATGACTTAGCTCCAGGTTCGACTCGGACTCCTGGTCAATGCATGTGGGCAAAGCATTCCATAGATAACATTTTTTCCAACAGATCTACGCTGAGTGATACACTAAGAACTTGATGCAGGCAGGTGCAGCAATGACCACGCTAATAGTCCTAGACTAGGACGTTCACGTTCAATCAACGTTCAATATTCAATAGTCAGTACCATCGTCAACCAAACAGAACTTGAAGCTAACCCACAATTTTCTCGTTAGTTCCCTTATTTCTTTTTCTCAGGGAAGAGGCAATAACGCGGGTTGTGAGATAGCATACCTTCGATCATAAAAAAGCGTACAACGCTATAGGATATGAAACGACGAAGAACTATGATGAATTGAAGGTCGAACGAACCGCTTAATGAGGAGAAGGATGGTGGGACGGGTTTGAAGCTGTGTGCATATGCTATGCATACAACCGATTCGATACATACACCTCGCCTCCCCCTTCCCCCTCGTACTCCCCATCAACCATATCCTTCCTCCTCTTCCCCAACCCATAATCGTCCTTCCTGTGCGCCAAGAAAGGCGTCAAATCGAGGTCACGTAATCGTCCAACTTGTTGAAGGAACGACTCGGAGAATCAAATGCGTCTTTGCAATGTGCTGAAACCGCTCCAAGTGGACGACGAGCGCGGGTGGAGGCAAAGCGATGAGGTAACGTTTGTACGCTGGTCGCATTATCATCGGCGCATGAGGGACTTTCTTCGTTGTTGGGGGCGGGTCAGTAAGTGGGGGCTGGGTTGTGGTAGGCGGGGAAGGCGACATATTCGAACTAGTCGAGGCAGTGAGCTGTTGACAGGCTAGATGAGGTGAACGAGTCGCCCGACACAAAGCCCTCACCCTCATCTCCACTCCACGCATTGTTGAACGTGACCTCGCCCATATTACGATGCCTCTGCAATAGGGCGAGGACTACAGCATTGAACATGGGGAGGCTGCTCAGCCAGCCGTTGCTAGTGGCTAACGTCCCGGCAGAATAGGCAGAGAAAGGCAATGAGGAGCGGGTGAGAAAGTCTGGGGTGATGTTGATGCTGCCCCCCCATCGACCGACGCTGGGGGTTTCGCAGAGGGCTATGAGATCTGTATTTCAGGTGGTGAAGGCCCAGTCTTAGAGATCAAGGAAGAGAGGACAGCCGCTCCTCGTCTTGCTAGTGACCACATCATCCTTCAACCTCCCCATCCGCTCCATCGATCAACTCTTCCGAAGTTGAGGCAACAGACGGCTCGCGCTGGATCGTGGAGAAGGGCTTCCTGGTGGAACTACTTGACGAAGGAAAGCTCGTAAGGTTCTTGGCAAAGTTCTTTAGCCTCTCTCGTACTTCCGATGCGCGTAGTCCTCCGGTTTGATGCTTAGACTGAAGTCGTTGAAGTCTTCGGAGATCTGTGAAATGTGTTTACATTTCTGGCAGCATCAGTTGACCCCCCGAAAACTATGTGGACGAATGAGATGAGGGTGTCTTCTTCGTTTATTTATGGGCGACGGCGGGGGCGCACGTGGGTCGGCGGGAGTTAGCGTCGTTCCTTGGGAGGTGGTTGACGGTTTTGATGATGAAGTTGTTCCATCCGCATCGCGTCGAGTAATATCCTCTAAAACTCGTGTGCATCTATTTCGCCAAGAATCCCGAGCATCGACCTACCGAATGAAACGCACAAAGCGAAATCAGAACGCCCGGGTAAGAGAATAAACGCGGGGAAGACATACTTTGGGCTGAGAACCTTCCTCTGTCTGCGCGCCTGTGCTTCCCATGACTTGTACATCGAACTCAAAAACATCTCTCTGATCGGACATAGGGCTGTGACTATCCCACTCTTCGCTCAAATGATGCCCATTTGTGAGCTACGGGGATCGTCGGGAGGCTAAAGGGATCGAGGAGAATCGTTGGACCAAAGGCGGGGTCGTTCAGGAGGTGTGTAGCGATCAACTAGAATAGTACCAGAGTGATAAATAAGACACCTGAAAGCACTGGCACGAAACGCACACCTTGGAGCACAGAGTTCACCAAGCTCGTATTCCCATGATAGGGGGTACTTTTCCTCTTCCTCGCTTTGTCTTCTCTGTATGTAGAGTTCTGATGCGGTTGGTGGCTTTGCCTTTGCCATTGAGGGTGCCGGTGAAGAGGCTTGTGCTGTTTGCGGGTTGTCTTGACGCGTTTGTCCAACCTCCAGAGTCCAACCAGATTCCACAACTTTACCACACCTTGTCCACAATCCACAACTAAACAAGAGCGTTGAGCGTTAGAGTTTCCAAACAGGTCTATCGATATCAAAATAGGTGTGATGCTCCCTTAATGCCATTGGTTATGCTTGAAGCGCCTTATATATATCTCTTTTCAGGTACTACATAGTCCGCCACCTGCTTATCCTAATCTATCGTCTTGGACAGTGTCATAATTCTGCAGAGGCTTCTCGCAACAGCTCAACGACCTTGGCTTCAGCTGTCTTGTCGCGGGGCATGCGGATAGTCATTCAATGGATCCGGAGTAATTCATGTCAGCGTGTCCAGTTGTGTCCAGAAGAAATGCCCTGGCACCGTCGACAACAGCGCTAGAAAGGGCCCAGGGGGTAGGCGCTATCGAATCCCCTCACACGCCTATCAAGTCTTGCCTTTTCTTCGCTATTGCGGTAGCGTTAGACCAGGGCAAGGCGTCTATTCCTCCATGACCTGAGCGATCGAAAGGCTAATTGTCTCGACATGATAAATTTGACTTGCACACTGTACCCCCGCCCGCCGACGAATTTCAAAGCAGCGTCCGACGACAAAATCTGACTCACCAGACTCACCAGAACGTCATTCGTAATGCTTCACATCATTGCTATACTTTTACTCCTGTGCAACATTCCCCGAGTTCCAGGATGGGCTCCCAACCCTGGGTCATCGTGTGATCAGTGTTGCTGTTGCGTGGTAGTCGCCAATAAAGGAACCAGGAATTTCTATGCTCAGAATGGTGGCAGCTTTTTGGTGAACACGATTCCCAACTGTTATTACCTACAGACGCACCTCGATAGCGTCCTAGCGGACTGGGATGCGCAGAGCCAATGGGTGGAGGATGCGGATACCTTACCCGGGCAGTACCTCTACTGGATGCCAACCGATCCTGCCTACGGTTGCTACAACGACTTTGCGACTGTGACTGCGACAAATTTTAATGGTGGACCAAGTACCGGCGTGGAACCCCCATCCACTAGCAGCAATGGTGGTAGTGGTACTACTACAAGTCTACGAAGTGAGTACCTCAGTCTTACATTTCCGATGGTTGCTACACTGCCATGGCAGCCTCTGACACTGTCAGTGCCGCGACAGCGCCAGCAAAAACCGTTACAGCAGCCCCGCCCGTGGCAACCTCAGGTCAGAGCCTTAACGCCGAGATGTTGCAGGAGTGCGCCCCCGGGTGTGGCAAGAGTCAGTGCGTTTTCAGTAACCTCGTAAGCGCATTTTTGTCTTAGAAAAGGGAACTTGACGACCTGACCTTTCCCAGTCGCATGTTGACCCCTTAACTTACCCCATCATTGTAGGGACTCCGGTTGAGAACTGCGACCCAAATAGCAATGCGACCATCTCGAGTGCTATAGGAGGATCAGTCCAGATCACAAACACCTGGAGCGTCAACTCGTCATTGGGGGTGGGCTTCGGGGTTCTGAGTTTGCATGTCGAAGGCTCGTACTCATATTCAAAGACGATAACGTACTCGCAGACCATCACGATACAAATCTTACCTGGGCAAATGGTTTACTACATTCTTGCATTTTCTCATTGCGATATCTGAATTGGTGGTCCTTTTAGGGCGCACTGATTGCAAACGTGCTATATAATCGGACAAGCGGGAACATGGAAATCGGGTCCAAGTGCGTGTCCACCGGAGAATCGACAACTTTGAAAAGCTGATATTGCCACAGTCAACCAGTGTTTCCTATCATATCGAACCAACCTCAGGAGGTCTTGTCCTACGGGCAGCAAATAATCCCATGTAACTCCCAATTTGCTGCTACTGATTCGAGCCCAACGGCCTGTAGTGCTGCCATCACGCCGAGGGAGAATTCTTTGATGACATTCTTTGGCTTGTTGATTCCAATATTTGCTTTGATGGTGTAGATATAGTCAAGAACGCCTCGTCGAATATCACAAGTGAACTGTTGCCAGGAGAAATATATTTCTTCTTTCTATTCGGATAATAATAGCCTAATTCAATACTTTCCGCAGGATGCCCCTACCGCCGTGAAAAGAATAAATTTAGGTTGTGACTTGCGAGGCAACAGTGACAACTCTTCCAGCTCATTTTCAAGTTCTTGAAATTTTGCACGAAGAGCGGCACCCTTCAAAGACTCAGCTTTTTTTGTGCAAGCCTTGGCCTTTCGTGCAGCTTGAAATGTAAAGCACTTCATGACTGGGTTTTCTAACTTTAATCATTTTTTCTAAGGCAAGCACGAGGGGCTTGATATCAGTGACAGAATGAGTTTAGGGGTTGGCCTAGAAGTGGGTCTTCTAAGCAGCAATCGCTGGCATATGGCAAATGATAAGATGGTAGAATGGGCGTGAAGGAGGTGGGTAAGATTGGATGGATTACTAAGCATAAACAAGCCACAACGATAAACAGAGACAGCCTTTTAGAAAACTGAAGTGCATTGATGGTGTAGCGGTAACATTGGGTCTTCCCATCAACTTCCCGTTCCCCTCAGACATTGGATATGGCCTAGCTCCGGGTTCGACTCCCGGTCAATGCATATATTTTACTGTAACTGTTTTGTTCCTCTTGCAAACGGATCGTCCTTTGTCAAACTTCTACTATGACCTCACTAATTCTGAATTCATGAGTTGAATATCTTTTTATACGGGAACGTGGGGTTCTTGCTCCTAGACAGCTTCGATATAACATTCAGACGGCGTATCTTTTTCATGAAGACGAGAACAAATCAATAGGAACACTTGAAGCGACGCAACTCCAACTTCAAGCTGGCCGGAGATATGATTAACCTAAAGCAACGTCGACGTCATATGATTTATCTGACAAACCGTGTCCCGAGGCAGTGGGAGGTAAAATGTAAAACCACACTCAATTCAAATCTACCGCCTCAACGTTGAACGCTGATCTCTCGTTAATAACTGCCACCTCAAATATGCCTGAAGGAACTATGAAAGCGCTCTGGTATAACGCGGTGCGTAGCCTCACCACATAATGGAAGATCAGCACATTGACCGCGCGTTGAGTCTACAGCCTCGAGATTTCGAAATAAAACAGGTTCCCATTCCGAAAGTTGGCGACGACGACGTTTTACTTAAAGGTGGGTCGCCCTTCTCATTGCTCGCGTTGGAAACCTGAATTCTTTCTTAGTCTCGGCCTGTGGTAAACTTTGACGCTGTCATCATCTGAAGACAAAGGCGACTCACATCCCCTCTAGGAATATGCGGAACGGATGGTCATATAGACCAGGTGAGGGTGCTTGGTTTGCCCGTTTATTCTAGTTTGTTTATCTTCTATGCGTCATCGTAGGGGGAATTTATTTCCAAGTTCCCGGTAATCATCCTTGTCGACTAAATCGCGTGCATGAAGTGAATCATCTTCTCTCACAGCTGATCCCAGGCCATGAAGCCATTGGTTCTATCGTGGAGATGGGGAAGAACGTGAAGGGATTTTCCATTGGAGATCGATGCGTCGCGGACGTCGGGATCACAGTAAGTCGCGTACAGCCACACGGTCGGAAGTTGCTAAAAGCGAATCTTGTGCCTCACTTTCGATCTTGATCGTCATGGTAGTGCGATAATTGTTTCTACTGTCGCCGTGGGCAATCACTGCTATGCGAGGACTTTAACGCGCGGGGTGTCACTCAGGATGGCGGGTTTGCTGAGTATATCGTCTAGTACGCTGTGTTTACTTCCGTCTTTGTAGAGATAGCAGAGTTGACGGTTTCTTCAGCCAGCAGAAGAAGCTCTACAAGATCCATAATTTAACAGATGAAGAATCTACGCTCCTCGAACCCGCCGCATGCGCAATCCACGGGCTGGACAAGCTCAACCCCCCCGTCGGGATCGAGGTTCTCCTCCTCGGTGCCGGGCCAACCGGGCTCGTCCTCGCGCAACTGCTCAAATTGAACGGTGCTTCCCGCGTGGTGATTGCTGCGAACAAGGGCGTCAAGATGGATATTGCGAAGCGGATTAACGCTGCGGATGAGTATGTCGAGTTGGATCGTCAGCATCCGGAGGCGCAGTGGAAGAAGTTGAAGGATGACAATCCGCATGGGTTCGATGTTGTTGTGGAGGCGACTGGGGTTGAGAAATTGGCGGATGAGAGTATTAATTATGTGCGGAGGGGTGGGACGTTGATGATTTATGGGGTTTATGAGAATAAGGCGCTTGTTCATTGGCCGCCCTCCAAGGTACATGCAGCTGTTATTGCTTTATATTCACCTTCTGATATTTTTCCTTTCCCGCTCGCAGATTTTTGGAGACGAAATCAAGGTACGTTATGTGGTTCTCCGACAAAATTTGGTTTTCTATGTTTGATTTATAGATTATTGGTTCATTCTCTCAAACGTACTGTTTCCCTCGCGCTGTTGCATACCTTGACGGCGGAAAGATCAACGTCAAGGGTATGGTGACTGATGTGTTCAAACTTGACGATTATCAAGCAGCCCTGGACAAAATGAACAGTAGGAAGGCGTTGAAAATTGTTATAAAACCATAGAACTGCATATATATATCTCAATATACTTTTTATGCATCTAGCTATCATGCAGAGGTAGATTTCGCCAGACGCGTTGGACGCGACTTGATCACGTGAATGGTCGTGTGACTTGACCTGCCAAAATTTCGATCATCCACGAAGCTTGCCGACACTCCTGATCACGAACATGCACAAAAGCTAAGCGGCGCAAGCAGGTGTACCCTTTGTCAGCTACTGCTCTCCAGAGTTATATCAGAAACTTATTTACGGATTATGCACACCGATGAGTGTGTGCAAGTCGTGCAGGCCACTATGCTGGAACAGGCTGAGGACGACGCTATTATGCCCGCACGCGTAGCTGCAAAGGAGATTGCCTTTGGCAGTGTGAGTGCTGTCCTTCTGCTGCTTTAAAATCATCTCATTTCTCTTCAGCTTGCCGGGATGGTGTCAGAGATACTGGAATACCCATTTGACCTTGCGAAAGTACGGCTACAAGCGCAACTCATTGCCCCTGGGCCAACGAACAATGCGCTGCGATTCGACGGACCGTTAGACTGCTTGATGCAAACTTGGAGGGATGAAGGAGTACGTGGGCTTTACAGGGTGTGTTTCTGTGCTTTTTCCATGATTCAAGTAGTGACTTCCGATTAGGGACTACCTGCGCCAATAGTGGGGTCTATGGCGGAGACGGCTGCTCTTTTCCTCTCATATTCTGCGTTCCAGAACCTCATACGGAACGTTTCCTTATCCTCTAATACCCACCTAGATCGTTCCGCACCACTGTCGATCGCCCAGCTAGGACTTGCGGCTGCAGGTGCTGGTTTCGTGACAAGCTTTATTCTGTGCGTCTATTGTAAAATGCCATTGTTATCCACTCTTCTTACCCCTGCGATTACAGAACTCCGATTGAGCTGGTCAAATGCAAGATGCAAGTCCAAATGATGAATCCCGTACATGCGCACCCTAGCACACCATCCGCACCTGGCCGCATCCCACATCGGCCTGTGCCAATAATAACATCAGACGGACGGATACACTCCACCCCAACCACTTCCCGGTCCAATCCCTCCCACCGCCTCATACACGACGTCGCCTATAAATCTGCTACCCTCCCTACTCAAACAATAAACCCACCTGGACCCCTTTCCCTCATCCGCTCAATCGTTGACACCCACGGCGTACGTGGCCTGTGGTTAGGCCATACCGGCACACTTCTCCGCGAGACTGGAGGCTGCGCAGCTTGGTTCATCGTTAAAGAGTGGATCGCGAGACTCTTGGTCGCCAACAGAATACCAAAGGACACCCGCGCTCATCACAGCCCCACACTCCTCCCTTGGGAATCCGCTTTTTCGGGAGCAGTAGCGGGTGCGGTTGGGGCCCTCATTTTATATCCTGCGGATACGGTGAAGAGCGCGATTCAGACGGAGGAAGAGCTTCGGCCTCGTGTTGTTGTGAAACCTGGTTCTGCTGCTAGTCATTCCTCGAGAAGACTGCCCAGCACGTTCATGGGAACTTTGAGGCGGATGTATAGCGTGTATGGGCTGCGGGGGTTGTATGCTGGCTGTGGGATGACGGTTGCGAGAGCTGTCCCGAGCAGTGGTATCATATTTCTCGTGTATGATGGACTGAATGCTTGGTTTGCGTAGGTCCGAGCTGGCGGGATATTTACTATATCAGATAATTTCAGGAGAGCCTCGCATCGAGGAGGCATAGAACTATACATTATATACATAGATAGAAGTGTAGCTTGTATTTGCAATTTCATTTTCTCCTTTCCTCCTCACTTGCTTGTCACGTGTCAGTGGATAAAATCGAATTTAAATCCAATCCATGATCTTGCCTTCATAGTTCACAGTTCCTGACCAAAGTTAACGCGTAACGTCGCGTGTTCGGCAAGGTGCGTTACATTGCGCACCCTCCCATCGCTCACCTCGAATTCACACAGAACGATCTAGCTCTGTCCTGTACCGACGGCGCCGTCAAGTAGTAGCATGAGCCAACTCGCACCACCCACTATTATATCAGATCTCCCTCCCGAAATCTTATCCTCAATCTTCCTTCTTAACACACCTGCGGATTCATTCTATCAAATCGACGACCGTGTTAAAAATCTTCAAGACATAAGCAGACACACCTCCCAGGTCTGCCGCCAATGGCGCTCTTTGGTGCTGGAGAATCCAATCATCTGGAGCCGAGCTATCGATTTCACTCGTGGATCTCACCAATGGACAGAGGAACTTTTAAGAAGGGCTTCGGACTACCCTCTTACTTTGACTTCTCGCTACCGCTCGCTATCGTCAGATATTTTGGCGAGAGAGTTGGAACATGTTCCACGGTTTGGTCGATACCAAGGCAAATTCACGGCGAAAACCTGGTCACTGGTTGTCGATGAATTTCAGCAGCCCGCTCCCTACCTCGAAGGCCTTTGGCTTCAGGGGAGTGGCAGTGACCAATGCAAACTTCCTGCCACGATTTTCAGTGGGAATGCACCCCGTTTGCGTCAGCTCTGGCTTCAACTCTGCAGCTTACATGGCGACCTACCATATCTTGCACAGCTTACCCTCCTATCCGTATCGCAGGTGTCATTGCGAAACCCTCCGCCCAAAAAGTGACACTTTATCTTCTCACCCATCTGCAGGTCATAGACTCAAACATAGGAACCGAATCTCGTGCAGGCGTTTGTCTACCAAACCTCGAAGATATCACACTAGCGGCGTCGCTAAGCGAAGCCAGCGCGTTCCTCTCATCCCTCATCCTAAAACCGACCTGTAGTATGAGGGTGGGCATCCAGAAATCTCGCCCAGGAACAGACTTCGACGTCACTGCAGGGATTATTGTGCAAAAGTTTCAACATTACTTCTCCAAGGCCACTGAATCCGATCCCCCTCTCTACCTGCATTTCAGCAGGGGCTACTTTTTTGTCAGCAACCGTGTTACCTCCCCCACTGGGGCTCCATCGGCACCAGAGACCCGTCCGTATGTCTCCTTCCATGTATTTTGGTCCTCCGTCGAGAGCGGCCTGCTGTCCACCTTGCCGCACGTGTCTTCGGCTTTTGCTGGCCTACTTTCACAAGTTACTTCTCTCGAGTTATTCCTCAGTCCCCAACTCACATCCACAACACATTCAGCCATCGCCAATGTTCTACGACAAGCAAAGAATATGACCTCGCTTGTCCGTTTGAATAAACAGACAGCAAATGTATTTTTACGGCTGGAAGGAGTCAAGCGCCCAATCAGCACTCAAACTAAGGGGGACCTTATATTTCCCTGTCTACGCACAATCGATTTCATCGATCTAAGGATACCATCGGATGCGGGCACCGACCGTACCACTCAATCCCTCGTAGATTTCATTCGGTACAGAATCAGCATTGCAGGCCCCATGAAGGAAGTTTACTTTGCAAATCTATATGATGTTAGCCGGCATGGCCCAATGGGATGGGGTTTGATCATCACCGAGGTTCAGACGGGACGCAAAGTTCTAACGTTTCAAAACCTTCCAGAATTTACCTCATGCGTGGCGCTGCCATCTCGTCACTCGTCGAGCGTGCAACTCACTCGATATTTTGGCCTCCATGTCGCTGCTCACCAGTCTGGTGGTCCTAGACGTAAATATTGAAACTTTACTTTTTACGCGAGGCAAATAATGTGACATCCCTTCGTTTGGATGTGCTGACAGCAGAGAAGTACTAGGGGCCCCTGCCGTAGTCTATACATTTGTAGGTCTGAGCCTCAATACTTAGTATCATCGCCCGCAAGGCCAATGAGAATTCGAATATTCTATGTCACGCTCGCGTTACGTCACACCGGGTTTTCCTGCGCTCTGTCCATGACCAGTCGGGTGACAATCTGTCCTCGTATCTTACTCTCAAAATGCACACCTAGGACATACATTTCAAGGCGCAACCTATCTTCAAGCGCTGTTCGACTTTCAGACGAAGCACCATCAACAAGTGAAGCGCCATTAGACAGCAAGGCGTACTCGAAGACACTTTTCCTTCCAAAGACATCTTTTCCGCTATGGAGCAACCCGGCGGAAGTGGAAGGTCAATATAGGTCGATTACTTGCGATACGTTGTACCGGTGGCAGGTGCGAGAGGGTTTTTGGTCGTCTGTTCTGTTGTCATGTTGATCGGCCTTCGTTGAAGTGGAACTACGCGAAGGGCCCTCTCTTCGTTTTGCATGACGGACCTCCTTACGCGAATGGAGATTTGCATATGGGTGCGTTTCTCCCCTTTTAAGTCTTTTAAGAGATTTTTGTGACGCTTCTATCTAGGCCACGCGTTGAACAAGATCCTCAAAGACATCATCAACCGCTATCACGTTTCTCTCGGACACAGAGTCCAGTACGTTGCAAAATGCGTTGCCGATATTCTGCGTATAAAATATATGCTATCAGTTATGTCCCAGGGTGGGACTGTCATGGTCTTCCCATCGAAAATAAGGCTTTACAGGACCTAAACGTACGCTTCAAATCCCTCTTGGCCCGTATCTCTTGAATAACCAACTGCGTACTTTCTCAGCGCTCATTTTCCGCATTGTCGTCTGGAGATATTAGAAGCGCGGCGAGGGACACTGCTCTTCGCGAGATTTCATCTCAACAGTCCCAGTTCCAAGCCCTCGGTATCATGGCAGATTGGGATTCGGAGGAGGGAACGTACCGGACACTGGGTATGGCTTTCCTTAGTAGGGGGTCAACATTAGGACTGATTTCGTGGTTCAGACCATAGTTATGAGATGCGTCAACTACGAATCTTTCAAAAGATGGTGGAGAAAGGTTCGATTTGTTCCCGTAAAAAAGACCTTGTTTCCTCACGTCATACTTTCCCCTAGGCATGATTTATCGACATTACCGGCCCGTACACTATTCCCCTTCCTCACGTTCAGCTCTGGCAGAAGCGGAACTGGTATACAAGGACGATCATGTTTCGCACTCTGTGTTCGTGAAGTTTCAGGTTGACAGGGATTCTCCAATTCAAAATGATACGTTGAAGCAACTCTTAGCGACGGAAACTTCGGTCAACTTGCTTGTCTGGACAACAACACCGTGGACGCTTACAGCGAATATGGTAGGCTGGTCTGGCCATGCCCAGCATTATTGACGTCGAACTAACTCTACGGTTATAGGGCATCGCCATCAATCCTGAGCTCACCTACGCTGCTGTAAAAACTATAGAGAAGGAACCCCAAGGCGATGTCATCATTGTGTCCTATGACAGGCTAGAACATTTGACACCTGCGATTGGCCAGACCGACCTTCTCGTAACCTTCAAAGGTCAGATTCACCTCCACAACGTTGGGCAGTACTCAATCGTCGGATAGGTTCGGAGCTGATTGACCTTCGGTATACTGCAATCTTCTCAAAGTTGGTGCCGGCCTCTGAACCCCTCAAGATCATCTCTGCCTCACACGTAACTGCGGAATCTGGTACGGGTCTCGTACACTGCGCCCCAGCGCACGGTGCAGAGGATTATCACGCCTTCTTGTCACTTGGCCTTATCTCTACCTCACATAACATCATATGTCATGTTGACAAGGAAGGCCAATTCAACCGGAATGTGGCTGATGTCGTTGGTGACGATGCAGCTGGTAAACTTGTTGGCCGTGCAGTTCTCACAGATGGTTCAAGGGCTGTGGTAGAGCTGCTCCGAGAGATGGGAAGTCTTGTCAAGATCCAGCGGGTCAAGCACCGGTATCCTTACGATTGGAAGACCAACGAGCCTATCATTGTTACGTCGGTTGTTTTCCTACAACATTGACCACTGCACAGTCTGAACCTACCCTTCAACAGTGCAACTTCCCAGTGGTTCGCAAATCTCGATGATATCAAGGATAAGGCGTTGGCTGCGCTCGAAAATGTGTCCTTCTTCCCGCCTGTTTGTGTGTCTCATTTTGTTTACCTTTTTTGGCCCCCCTTGATGGCCACGCTTAACAGCTCAGAATCGACTCGAGTCCTTCGTCCGCTCGCGCTCTGAATGGTGCATCTCTCGTCAACGAGTATGGGGGGTTCCCATTCCTTCTCTGCATCATATTGAAAAGGACACAGCAATTCTCGATTCCACGACACTGGAACATATCCTCAGCGTCTTAGAAGAGAAAGGCGTGGCCCACTGGTGGGATGGACCCGTTGAGGATTTCCTCACCCCCTCCCTTTTACAGCAGGCGCCCGCATCGTCATGGCGCAAGGGAACTGACACCATGGACGTCTGGTTTGACAGCGGCACATCCTGGTCAATGCTGCCTGAGATGGGTGTTGGAAAAGATGACACTACCGGCCGCAAGTTCGACGCTGATGTGTGTTTGGAGGGATCTGACCAGCACCGAGGATGGTTCCAGAGCCAAATGTTGACCTCCATTGGCGCAGCACCCGCGGATAGCGACCCAGCCAGCCCTTATGGTGCATTGATCACTCACGGTATGGTATTAGACGAAAAGGGGAAGAAGATGAGCAAATCGCTTGGTAACATTATCAGTCCCCTCACAGTCATCAACGGTGGAAAGGTTGGAGCTGCTCCACCTGTATCGTGGTGCCTTCCGCTTACTGCTCTTCATTCTAGGATAAGAAGTTGGAGCCAGTGTATGGTGCAGACGTCTTGAGACTCTGGGTTGCCACTATCGATTACTGGCGTGACGTGTCCATCGGCCCAACGGTTCTCGCACAAGTGGCTGAATCCATGCGGAAGATCCGTAATTCTGCAAGATTCTGTCTAGGGAACATCGGAGACAAGCAGACGTTCAAGAGAGTGCCACGTGAAAAGATGGGTTTAGTGGGTTTTCTTTCTTCTTTCCTCTCATTTCGCAGCGATGCTCACTTTCACGCAGGCTGAGAGATACGTTATGCATGAACTGTACCAGTTAGAGCAGACTGCATTGGAAGCGTATGCATCCTATAATTTCCTGAAAGGTCTTGTGTCTCCCTCATTCTTGCGACGTTGGCTGACGCCATCTTGTATAGTGGTCAACGCCCTCTCGCACTTTGCCAACATCACACTATCTTCTCTCTATTTCGACATCACCAAAGATTGCCTGTATGCTGATACCCCCGGAGGCCAACAACGTAGAGCTGTTATGACAGTCCTTGAACATGTTTGTGTCATCATCATTCATCATATCTATTGGTAATAAACCTTCTGCAGATTCTAACAACGATGACCAAAGTTATGGCGCCCATCCTACCTCACCTCGCTGAGGAAATCCACGCCCATTGGAAAGCTGACGGCAAGTCAGTTTTCACGACGCCATGGATCCCATTGGTACGCGTGAGGCAATAAACTCCGATTTTTGGCTCTCACCCCATCGTAGGATCCCCAATGGAAAGATCTACATGCTTCGCAGGACATGACTTCCCTCTTTGTTGTCCGCGACGCTGTACTCGCCCTGCTCGAGCACGCTCGCGGAAAAAAGTCTGTCCGTTTGTTCATCAGCCCTCTTGATATCTAACGAAAAGGCTAGGAATATGAAGAGTTCTCTTGAAGCTGAAATCGACATCATCTTTCCTGAAAACGTCTCCCAGGGTGAAAATGCACTTTTAGATGTAATTCGAAGAGAAGGTTTGGTCCAAACGGCATTTTTCATGTGACTGTCCAGCTAAGTTCACACTCCAGAAAAATTCCTCAAAACCCTATTCATTGTTTCCGATGCATTGATTGTTGAGGAGGAATACATCGGCTCATATGACGATCCCAAATATGCTCCCTCTTGGCTATACATAACCAGCATAGCGATACCAGGTAAGCCTCTCCACGCCCCTTCCTTTCGATTAGCGATCCGAAAGCCCTTGCTCTAGGTCTTGATGAGGATGCGCGCCTGCATCTCCATGTGCGGTCACCTATCCTTCAGAAATGCCCTCGTTGCTGGACATATACCCGACAAGAGGAACAGAACCTCTGTAAGCGGTGTAAGAAAGTACTTCGTCAATGAAAACTCTCCACTCGGAAACCCCAATTCATCTACTGATACGTTTGGTGCGCTTTGTTACATGAGAGAACGGGGCGGCTACAATCATATGTCAATGTAACAATCTCCAAAGGTCATGCGTCTTCCAAGTGACCACCTTCTTCATGCGAAGTCGTTTGGTAAAGAGTCTCGCGAGATCAGTGTCGAGAGTGCCTAAGCGGCGCAGAGCTTCGGATTCAGACGAAGGGAGAAGGGAAGCGATCTTGAGGAGTAACTCTGGCGAGGATTCGGACGTTCAAGACGCAGTCGACTCTTTCAACAAGAAAACGAAAAGGGTCAAAGCACGTGAAAGAAAAGGGCATTGACAAACCACGCTCCGTAGACGCGGACAAAGCGGACATGGACACTCAGACCCATGTATCTACTCATTGAAAATCAACGCAAATTATGGTGATTCCGTCAACCATTCGCCACAGACAAGATGCCCCGAGCAGCCACGTTGGGCAGGTTTTTTTCTAGCAAAGATAGCGCCCATTTCCTACACTTTGGCACGCGAAATTCAACTGTTTCGAGACTTGCAAAACGAGGCAAGGCGAGGGTGTGCTCGATTTGCCTCCAGGCGATCGTCTTAAGTGCTTCGGGTTCGTGCATGAGGAGCTGAAGACTAATTGTGGCAATATTTGGTGAACACAACTGTGCGAGGATTTCGGAAATTTTGTCCCGTGGTGGGGGTCCGCTTCCTTCCCATTGGCTGACCTGCAGATGGCTGATATAAAGCGTCTGAAGACCTGTGTTGTACACCAGATTGACTAGATAGTCAACGTCAATATAGTGGCATCATGAGGGCAGAGCATTCAAGGCGACATACCTTTCCTGATGCGGCTGGGTGTGTACAAACTGAGATGTTTGAGCGTAGGTCCAAGTACGCGCAAGAAGTTTGCACAAGCGAGCGCGTCGTCTGGGCCAAAAACTCCCCCCACCTCTAGTGACTCTATTGGTTGGGTCGCGCATCTTAACATCCAATCAAAGAATTGCCCCTGTTTCTCCATGAATATTGCCATGTGCCGAAGGCGGGGAGGCAAGCGTAGGTTGGGTGCCAGGGATCGTCTAGTTCCCCATGCAATGTCGGTCAAAGAAAGCCGAACCAAGTTTCGAGGTGCACAAACGACCCCGACAAAATCTGAAAATCCGGGGAAAGACCAGCTTCGCAGCTCTAAACCTTCCAGGCTGAGAAAGTCCTGGAGGTGCGAGATGAGCTTTGGGTTCTCGCCATATCCTTTGAACAACGAGAGCTTCGTGATCGACGTGAATGTCTTGACATGGCGGAGGACGTTGTCGAAATGGAAGTCAGGGACTCGTCGACACGATGCATTGTTCAGTATGAAGAAGTGGTCTATGTGCCCAGTTTGCTTCTGGATGGTGAGATGCCGGATGTAAGTTCCGATCGTGGTATGCGGGGACGTCACAAGGTCCAGGAACCCTGCTGTATTGCCTGGTTCAATGGTCATCTTCGCATAGAAGTGAACTCTGCATAGGGAGAGCCAAGTTCGACAGACTCTACTGCATGCTGCGAGCGCCGCTCTATCGTCGTGGAGGTAATCGATGATGATTTGGACAAGTTCACATGGGAAGTGATCTGATATCGTCTCGGACAAGGGGAGGGTAATCGAATGTCTGGGAGGGCTTTGTTTGTGGGTTTTAAGAATGGATCTTGGCGTAGTCACGACGAGGGATTGGGATGGAGAATGTAGTTTGGAGGATACGGCCATGATAGAAATGCTGGGGACTCGGAACTGCGTAGGAGCGGCCTTGCGGGCTGTCAACTTGTGACTTTGTTGGATAAATGACCCCTCTAATTGCTCCCAGGTCCGTAGCGGGGTATTTTGTGAATAATCTCCCGAGAATCTTCCAAATTGCCGGGAGTCGAGAGGGTCTGGTGAGGAGTTGTCGGAAAGATGGTTGGACTCGTTACTTGAGCACATATGCAGCCAATGATGCTGTGCACTGGTTGACAGAGACTCAGGGTCTCAGGGCGATAACCTGTTATTACTATGGCGACGACGCTGTTGCTTAGTCGACCGTTTAAGTATGGGGAGATATTCGCTGAAACCTGTTGCCAAATATTAATGAGCTAAGGCTCGGGGCCTGGGCCAAGCGGGAGGTAGGAAACTGTCTCGATTTACCAGAAACCCAACAGAAACCGTCAATCAATTCCCGTTAGCCCTTTCGTCGACATCAAGCAGTGGTCGCTCAAACATGATCCAGCACATGCTACTACGCAGTCAGAGTTGCGGGGCGCTGGGGAGGTGATTGCCGCAGATTAAATCTAAGAAGGCAGGGGGATAAGAGGGCGGCGCCGGGCGCGCGGAGTATTTTCGTAGAGAAAGGATAGCTCACGAATCACAATGTGCGCTACACCGTCACAGCAACGCACTGCTTGCTGTCGAGAAACCACTCGGGTAAGTATCTTTCCGTTTCCGTTCTGTCAGCTCCTTGACGCGAGAGGAATGTCTTGCTCCTTGTCGTGGGTAAACATATTGCCTGTATTCATGCCCAAGTCCGAGGTGGAGATAAAAGGCCTTCGTGCACTGGCAGATGCACACGGAGGCTTAAGAGATGAAAAGTACTTGATCAACAAATATTTTGAGAGCTCGAGAGATGGCAACTTTTGATCGAGACGTGGTCCGCTAAAAATAACTCTGAGTTCAAGACTCGAGTGATAAATCACTGCAAAGCGCTCCCACGTAAAAGGGAAGATCACGGTAGTCTTTGTAGCACATAATTGATGGGTAGCCATCCGCACCGGCGCACCCACATGAAAGTCGGAATACATCACAGTCACAATGAGAGATTCCTCAGGATTTACCCCTCTATCTCAAGTTCTCTGCAGAGAAAAGGAAACGGCTTCGATTTGCTTCAAATGATTTACAGATAATAGTCTCCCCACACATCCAGCGAGCCAAACTAATAAGATCGCCCAAACATGGTCCAGCGCTTCGCATCACTACCGCACGCCGGGCATTTCGTCTTACCATGTTCAATCGGGGTCCAAGGGGATTGGTCAAACGGAATGGCAAGTGACTTGGCACCAGCTGATGGCGCACGCTCGTCCTGGGGTTCAGCACTGAAAAATAGACAGCAGGTCAGCGTCAGGGTACCAAAACAACGAGGAAAAGATAACTCACGATTTGCCACTCCGTTCCTTGATATCATCCTCACAAGCCTCGACTTCACACCACGGCATCACGACGATGCACTTGTTGTCGAGCGTGGGGATGACGTCCTTCCAGTCCGTCACCTCCTTGACGCGAGACCAGTATTGTTCCTTGGCGCGATTGAACATGTTGTCTTGGATGACCTCAAGGAAATCGGCGACGTTCTTGCCAATGTTAGCGAGGGGAAGCGGCTTCTTGTCGCCGTTATCGCGTCGGACAGAGAGGGTTTGTTGTTTCTTGAGGTCGTTGGGTCCTATCTCTAGACGAAGGGGGACACCCTGACATATACGTGATCAGCCATTGCATAAGTCACAACGGAGAAACAGCTATACCTTCTGTTCCCAATCATTGAACTTGTAGCCAGGAGTGTACCCCTCACGAAGGTCAGCCTTAGCCCGGACACCAGCCTTCTTCAACGTCTTGGCCAGCTCCTCGCAAGCATCATTGATCTCAGCCCTCTGCTCGTCCGTCGACTTCGCCGTGATACCGCAAGGAACGACAATAACCTGAATACTCGCCACCCTCGGCGGAAGCACCAGCCCTTGATTATCACCATGCACCATGACCATCACACCAATCGTGCGCGTCGACAACCCCCACGAGTTCTGCCATACGTACGACTTGGACTTATCAACCGGGTCCTCCACGAAGATATTGAACATCTCCGGCCTGGAGAAGTTTTGACCTAGACAATGCGATGTGGCCGCTTGTATTCCGCGGCCAGAGGTTGGGATGAATCCTTCGAGGGTAGTGGTGTACAGTCCTCCAGCGAATTTCTCCTTCTCAGACTTGATACCTGGGATAACGGGGACGGCGAGGAGATCTTCGTAGACTTGACGATAGAGGTCGAGGATCTGTCGCACCTCGGCGTCGGCTTCGGCTTTGGTGAGGAAGGCGGTGTGGCCTTCTTGCCAGAGGAACTCGCGCGTGCGGAGGAATGGTTGTGGGTTTTTGAATTCCCAACGAACGACGCTGTTCCATTGGTTGAGTTTGAGTGGGAGGTCGCGATGACTTCTGATCCATTTGGCGTAGTCTGGACAGACGTTAGACATGTCGGAAGGAGATGTCGACAACACGTACAAGGGTACATGGCAGTCTCGGATGTTGGACGGATTGCAATAGGTTCTTCAAGGTCGGAGTTTCCACTGCAAATATGTGAATAGTGTTTCTTTGCGTAGATGTAAGGGAGCTCACGCCCTCGTCACCCAGGCCACCTCTGGAGAGAATCCCTCTATATGGTCCTTTTCTCGCTCTAATACAGACTGAGATACGAACATAGGGAAGTACGAGTTTTGAACGCCGAGTTCCTTTATCTGGGTGTTAAACCAAGCTGCACCAGAAAACGAATCAGATAGGCAAAGTGCCACATGACAATGACTCACTTTGGATCTCCTCCCAGATGCTATATGACCACGGTTTAAGGATATAACACCCACTGACGCTGTAATAGTCTAGCATGTCCGCTTTGAGCAGAACCTACCACACACGATCAGCCTGTATCGAATATGTCCAAGGCAAACGTACGTTGGTATACCATCCGGGGAAATCAACTTCCTTCTTTACTCCAATGGCAATCTGAACCGCACCCTCGATCTTTGCATCTTCTTTCTCCTTCACTGGAGGTTTTGATGTCTGAGCTACGGCAGCTGGGGAGGGCGCAGTGGTGTCCAAGTCCACCACCTTGATTTCAGTCGTTTCTAAACTCTTAAGATGAGCGACGATGTCTTGTCCTGAAAGAAAAACGGTGTTGCTGGAGGAAAGGCCGTGGACGGCGAAGAGTGAGGAGGATTCAGCGATCGAGGGATCCAAGACCGTGACGACCTTTGAAAATATCTCGCTGTCGATTGCAAGAGGGGATACTGAAATAAAAATGTTAGATAATGATTTTGAAATGAACAAACAGGAGACGTACGGGCGTTCTTATCAACCGAAAAAAACTCTTTGAGCAGATCCTCCGACGCCAACCGCAGCTCCTTCAAATTCAGCTGCTTGGCAATGGCATTCGAGTTGGTCTCCGTCTCATCGCGAGCAATTACGACGACCGGAACCGGGGTAGCTGATTTCGCAGTCTTGGGTTTGTAGACAAGGGTTTTGATGAGCTCAAATGATTTCGGAGAAGATTCATGGGCAACAAGGGCCTCGCGCCACGCTGCTGGGGATGTGGTTTCGGCATGCGATACTGTAGAATCTAGAGTTATGTTGAGGGCCGAGAATGCACTCGCAATCCTGTCCTGGAAAGCCATGGAGGATGAGAAGAGGCGGAAAGAGGCGTTTGTGTGTGACTCGACGAAATTTGGTCTCCTGACTCTTATCGATATCAGATCCCGTCCCACCAACCCAATCCCGTGGGCGCGCAGTAGCTGTCTGGCAGCATGTCGCCCTGCAAGCATGAATTGCAAGGTGAAAGCTTTTTGTTGTGCTGGACGCGAAATTTGCGCCGTCAACAGGGACCAATGATCGTGTGGATGACCCTGCTGATTATAACCAACTCAATTACTGCTAGAGCATCCTGGACAGCACTCTCAATGAGACAACTCTAATGTTCACTAAATTCGATGGCTCATAACTGAGAAATGGGATGATTGTCTTTGCTAGTAGGTGTGGCCACCGCAGACTGCCCAGAGAGTCGAGACGCCCAACCCTCTTCTCACATTAACTCTTCTCACCACGGCCAAATGAGCAGGAGTAAACCTGGATCATCTTCGTTGAATGGCTCAGGAGGCATCGAACCGGTAAGTTTGCGAACGGCTTTCCAGCTCTCTCGTTCTAACGATCGCGAAGACACCTGAACCCAAAGCTGGGCCTCGCCATAGTACGTCTGTCCTTCTCTTGGCAATGACAATTCCCTCAACGTCGGCCACGGCCCATTTCCCAGTATACTACCGGATTTACACCAGACAAGGCGCACTCGAATCGAACAACCCCATCTATTCCAACGATCGCTTCATCAGCCGCATCGTATCGAGATCCGTAGCGCCTCCGCATACCGCTGCATCCTTGAAAAAGCATATCTGCAGGATTGAAGGATTCGATTTATTTATAAAGTGTACCTTGTATTCGTCACTCTCGGGTGACCAAGCACCTGTAGAGGACTCCGCCCGTCTCGCGCTCAGAGGGACATCTGGGCCAGGTGTATCCGAGATAGACCCGGTCGGTTTGGTCGTTGACGTTTCGGACGCCGAGAAGCGATCAAAAGTGTCTTCGGTGGAGGTGAAAGATCTCGTTGCATGGCCGTCGACGCGTCTCTATGGTGCGTCTTTAGTCCCCAAGGGTTTCACTCTCCCACCTTCTTATTAGTGTATTACCGTGTATACGACGAGGGCGGTGAAATTTCCTCCAAGACCTCCTTCGATGACACCGATTCGTCTCTCGGCCGGCTTGATACCCTATGTATTTCACCCCCATACACAGCTCTTTCCTTGAAGTATTGCATCACGAAAGCAGAAGGGGTATCTCCAGACCGGGTTTGTGATCTATTCGAGGATGAGGGCGGCGACAGTACATTGAAAGATGGTGATACTGTTGCTCTTCTCTCTGATAGTTATCCAGGCGTTTCAAAGGAAGAACCTCTAGCTATTGTTTACGGAGTGCAGAAGGATGCTACCAACCCATCAGAACAACTGGAATTTGCGGAATACGGCAGTCAGTTTCAGACATACCCTTTCATTCCGTGACTGATCTCTTTTTAGCTTGGGAAAATATCGATGCGTACCAGATAGGGTTGAATGCTTTTTTGAAGAAACCCTGCAAGTCTTTTGTTCATGTCAAAGAATAAACTCCTAATAGGCCTCTTCAACATGTTTCTTGCAGTTGTTCCCAAACTTCCCACGTTGTAATCTAAGCCGCTAGTGCTAGACCTTACTATTGGGATGATATACCCGATACTCAGCAAAGGTATCACGTTACAGAATCTATACATCAAGCCCAAACTTCCAATCATGCCACAGACTCAATGAGGCGTAGATGGCTGAAGATCAGGCTCGGACTTAATTGCAAGTAAGCTTTCTTTTGATGTAATCACCCAGAGCATCCTGCACGGCAGTGCCAATGAGACAACTCTCTCAATTTTCACTGAATTCAATGGCTTATGACCGAGATTTTCCAAGAAATGGGATGAGTTTTACAGAGATCGACCCACGTACTGCACAATAAAAGAAGCATTTACGCCCATATTCGTCGACGCAACGTTCCTCATATTATTGTAAAGGCTATCAGTCCCCACCTAAATCAAAGATTTTGAGGTTAGGGATTAAATGCTTGCTGAGATACAACACATTTTCGTGCACCAACTTGTACTTGTTTGTCCAGGCCTTTCATTGCTCGCTGCGCTCGCAATTTTGAGCTGACATTGCCCACCTTCACGACTAATACTATCCAACCACGTACGTCGCCAGCTGAAAAAAATTGCTCGTATTCCGGACGGGTAGAAAAACCGAAAATCCCAAGACTGTTGAATCACGGGAGTGTGCGAGGTGGTCAACAGAGCGTGTGTTCCAATTGGCTGGAAGTGGAACCAGCGCTTGTCATGGCAGGCGCACCCCAGAGACGCCCGACCCTCTTCTCACACTAATCTTACTATCACCACGGCCAAATGAGCAGCACTAAAGCTGGATCATCTTCGTTGGATGGCTCAGGGGGCATCGAACCGGTAAGTTTGCGAACGCCTTTTCATCCCTCTCGTTCCAACTTCAATCACGCAGGTATCCGAACCCAGAGCTGGGCCTCGCCACAGTACGTCTCCTTCTCTCGGCAATGATAATTCCCTCAATGCCGGCCACGGCCCATTTCCCAGTATACTACCGGATTTACACCAAGCAAGGCGCACTCGAATCAAACAACCCCATCTATTCCAACGATCGCTTCATCAGCCGCATCGTATCAAGATCCGTAGCACCTCCGCATACCGCTGCATCCTTGAAAAAGCATATCTGCAGGATTGAAGGATTTGAGTTATCTACCAAGTGTACCTTGTATTCATCACTCTCGGACCAAGCACCTGTAGAGGACTCCGCCCGTCTCGCGCTCAGAGGGACGTCTGGGCCAGGCGTATCTGAGATAGACCCGGTCATTTTGGTCGTCGACGTTTTGGACGCCGAGAAGCGATCAAAAGTGTCTTCGGTGGGAGTGAAAGATCTCGTTGAATGGTCGACGACGCGTCTGTATGGTGCGTCTTTGGCCACCGAGGATTACTCTTTCATTTTAACACGTTGTTAACACGTTCTTTTCAGTCTACTACCGTGTATACGACGAGGGCGGTGAAATTTCCTCCAAGACCTCCTTCGATGACACTGATTCGTCTCTCGGCCGGCTTGATACCGTCTGTATTTCACCCCCACACACGGCTCTTTCCTTGAAGTGTTGCATCATGGGAGCAGAAGGGGTATCCCCAGACCGGGCTTGTAATCTATTCGAGGATGAGGGCGGCGAGAGTACAATGAAAGATGGTGATACTGTTGCTCTTCTCTCTGATAGTTATCCAGGCGTTTCAAAGGAAGAACCTTTAGCTGTTGTTTACGGACTGCAGAAGGACGCTACCGACTCATCAGAACAACCGAACTTTACGAAAAAACTTATAGCGAAATCATACGGCAGTCAGTCTCAGACATACCCTTTTTTCCATGATTGATCCCTTTCTAGCTTGGGCGGACTATGATAGTAGATGGCACACGACGACAACTGGTGAAATATTTCACACAGATGGGATTTCATTAACGAAGCCATACGATAATGGCAGCATTACCGGTACTTTCCTTCCAGTTTGTCGCGAAGCCCTCCCGCTGACCACTATGTGATGCAGAATGTGCATGCTACGTAGCAGTAAATTCTTCTGGGAAGAAAGCCTGCAGGTTTTTTTTTTATGTCAAAGAATAAATTCCTAATAAGCTTCTTTGTGTTTCTCGCAGTTATTCATCAGGGTGAGTCCTCCCAAACTACCCGCGTTTTAATCTAAGCCGCTAGTGCTAGATTATACATATTTTGGTTGATTAGGATGATGTACCCGATACTCAATAAAGCAATCTTCTTGTATCACGTCCAGCCAGGATGATCTACAGAATCTATCATGCCGCAGATTCATTGAGGCGCAGATGGGTGACGATCAGACTTGGACTTAATTGCAATTTTTTTGAAAGATGGCTTAGGTGAGCATTGCGAGGGGAGTTGAATCTGAAGTGGGGGCGCTCAGGTTGTCTGGACCGTAAAAATTGGCGCCCTTTACTACTCGCAGGTGAAAAGGTCTTGGAGTTTGACCTCTCATCATAATAACGAAGTACGCGCAAAGAGAAGGGTTCTAAACGCAACATACAACGATGTAAACAAGGATGAAATTGGGGTGAAAGGCGATGTTGGTGTTGTGTCAATCTCGAAACCTTCAGGCGCAGATAAGAAGTTAACACGATTTTTAAGATCTAAGCTAATAAAACACACAAGATTTGAGCATTGAAGAACTCTGACCAGACGGCCTGGCGGCCCTGGCCCTAGAGATTCGTGAGCCTAAGCAAGACGGTGGAATGTTGAGTGAGTTACCAATACCTCCACTGTAAACTCTCAAAAATATTTTTGTCAATTGAGGCTAGCACTGTGGAGAGAAATGGTTGTCAATTAGATTGACTTGCTTTGATGGGCAACCTTGGCAAAACAACAATGTGACCATCTTATCTCCCTTATATATCAGCTCATGCTCAATGTTCTATCCAATAAATCTCCACACACAGCCACATGTATATTGTCAAACTCTGTTCAAATTTTCAAATGCATAGCATGGATTGTTGTGGTGCTATAGCTTGTTGACCCGTTAGTGCTGAAGACCCATTAGGGGTCACATGACGGTAGAAGGTGTATCTATAAGGTAGAGGACATCCACTTCCTTCCAACGTCACATGATGAGTGTGACAATTCCAAAAGTGTCTATATTTCTACAATAAATTCCTCAAATAATAACAAAAGCTTTTCAGGACAATCGGTTTCCATAGAATTGCTCCAAAAGTAGTTGTGATGTTGTAGAAATAAAGAAATCAGGAGAAAATTGAATATTTAGTGTGATCGCCCAGAAATACTGCCAATGCAGCGGTATTCTGCAGCGCATCTTGTGGAATCCTGTCCCTCTCCTTTCAATGCATCAGTAAGTTCTACCTAAATTTGTTTGCATTAATGTGATATTGTTGGAGGTTTGCCATGCAAGCTGACCGCTTTATGGATGCCTATGAAAAGGGCCTCAACAGCCATCAAGCTGCTGGGGCAGCGCACAAATATCGAGGACACTGTGTTCTCCCACAAACACTTATGGATGACATGGAGAAAGCAAATATCTATTAAATTTGCTCTATCCAGAGCATCTACTGGACTGTTTGCCTTTCCATTTCATCAATTCCTGGCATGTTACTGTACATAATTTCATATTTCTGGGGGATTAGACCTAGTTCTTACTCTTAAAACTTTTACTTTTGTATATAAATGCTTAATCCAATTTTAAATGATTCTAGGGTCTTCGATTTTGTGATTTGTGGGTGAGCAATATCTAATTCTCATTTCTCTTATTTTCTCGAGGTGTACATAGTTCCTGATTTAGATGAGGATGTCACAACAAAGTAACTGCACGTGATGTTGGGAGGAAGTGGATGTCGAACGTTGCCACGTCGTTTCTTACACCATGATGATCACCATCCACCGCCGTCTCAAACCATGACCACCCACGACATTGACAACAAAGACGCTGACGATGCACGTTGCTGTGCCCAGGTGAGTACAGCAACCCCTCCCAGCTCCCCTTCTAAGTTTTGACCAACCAGGTGCTACGTCGCTGATTGCGACGTGGCAACCACACAACGAACGTTGAGCGTTCGACGTTTGTCGTCGTCTTTTCTGTTACACACCACATGACACGCCAATGACCCGGCATCCATGAACAACAACCCAGTGCCCACAAACGACGCCCAGCAACCAGCGACAAGACCCATGGCCCACGAAGACAAGAAGAAACCCCACCAGCCACCACCCGGCCCCCACAAATGGTGAACCAGCCCCCACAGACGCCAAAACGAGCACACCACACACAAACAACGAAAACGACCGCCCACGCATGAAGACCAGTGCCCATGAAAACGACCGCCGACGACGATAGCCACTGAACGGGGACCAGCGCCCATGAAAACGACTGCCTACAGACATGAACAACCGCCCAGGAAGACGAGTGCCCCCAAAACAACGCGCCCACGAACAACAAAGCCGGCCGCCCAGTTACAACAATGACCAAAGGACGACGAGTGCTCATGGACGACGACCACCCCCGTTGACAAACAGAGACAACTGTCCACAAAAGTGAACAGACATGGGCAACGACGAGCCCAGGTGAGTCCCCCCCTCTTCCACCCTAC